GTAGTAAGTCATATACTGGCAATTTACTGTGACCTTAAAATTGACCTTTGACCATCTTTTTACTATGAACTGAACTTTGCAAATTTTCTTTCTCCTTTATCTCTAAAACTGACAGAGATAGGTCCATAGTTACTATTGAACTTGAATAGGAAGTAATACACTAGCAATCTGTGACCTTGAAATTGACCTTTGACCTACTTTTTATGATGAACTGCTTTTTGCATGTTTTCAGGCCTTTAAATCTGCAAAATTGGCAAAGAAATGCCCATGGTTGCTATTGAACTTGAATAGAAATTCATAAACTATGATATTGAAATTGACCTTTGACCTACTTTTTCACCATGAACTGAGCTTTGCATATTTTCTTGCCTCTCATATCTTTAAAACTAGCAGAGATGTGCCCCTTGTTGCCCCTAGGTTTTCTCTTTTGTCAGCATATATGCACCATTAACAACACTTTTCAAGGAAAACCAATAGGCCTTTTGTCTAGAGAATACAGGAGTGATCAAGGGTAGGAAAATGCAAGTCAATTCGAAAATCTGCTTGATTGTACCATTTTTAGTTATATTTTTTTGCATATTTTGAGAACTCTTATTGATTGCATCTTATAGAGCTTGTCAAGCACAAGACTGGTGATGGTGTCCCTTTTTGGAAGGGGGGGGGGTCCATACGAATGCCCTTACTCCAGCTGGTGGTACAATATCCGGAGGCGGTATCGCCTCTCTGATCCTCTAGTTTGTGAATGTATTGATATTTGCTAAAAAGCTTGAATTGCTATGTTTATTATTATTATTATTATTATTATTATTATTATTATTATTATTATTACAAGCATTTATTTTGATTAACTTTCATGATTTCTATAACTTGCTCGTTCTTTCAGATATGGTAAGATCACCTCCACAAAGGCAATAATTGACCAAGCAACAAACAAATGTAAAGGTAAATACACTGTTGGCAGCGGTTGGGATGAAATGTGCTCGACAGCTTAATCTTTACTTTGATAGTTATCTTTTCATATTTTTATAATATTACATAGGAAAAGGTGATGCTTCAAAGCCTAAGTAATTCAAGGAGAAAAATAGTATTTTTCTTCTATTGTTTATGTTTTAATACTACATATTCTTCTTTCTTTTGTAAGTCACTCAAAAAAATATGCTTTTCATTTATTTGTTTCATTTTAATACCACCATTTCTTCTTTCTTCTGTAGCTCATTCAAAAAAGTTATCATTTTTTAATTTATATGCTTTGTTTTCATATCCTCTTTTCCTCCCTCTTTGCAGGGTATGGTTTTGTGGACTTTGAATCTCCCCAGGCCGCTGACATAGCCGTGAAGGCACTGCAGGCTCAAGGTGTCCAGGCACAGATGGCAAAGGTAGGCAATGTGAGTAACATCTGGGGAGTGGACAAACTGACCACAACATCCTTATTTATTTCTTTAATTAAGTTCATTTTTATATATTTTGATTTTAAAAGTGTGCTGGTATTAATTATTATCATTTTTTATATATAAAGGTTTGATGGTTTTAAATTGGGAAACAAATGAAATGATTTTTAATGATGTGATTTCATTATTTAAGGAAATTATAAAATGAAAATTGTTTTCGTGAATACATTTTCTTGATGCCATCCTCAAGACAGGACCATAACACCTTCAGGCCTGCTACCTTAGGAAAATAATTTTGTTCGCTTACTGATACTTCTTATTTAATAACTGAATAATATTCTGACCAGGTATGCATAATTAAAATGGCGAATGATTGCTTTGCATTTCCACATTTTGAAGTGAAATGTGTACATATGTAGATAGACAGAATGTTGTTCAAGTAATTTTCAAACAAATGAGAAAACACCACTTCCAAATCAGATGTGTAAAACAACTATCTCGATTCCTCCAGTCCAATTTTGCAACCCCACCTTGTCACACAATTTCGGTACACAGCACATTTCGTGTACGTTCCATCATCAAAAAAAAAAAAAAAAAAAAAAAAAAAACCATCTGTAAGTAACACGTCCTGGAAAACAAACCAACACTGATCTATTACTAATTGTTCTCGCGAGCAGGAGACTGGCAATTAAAAGAGCATCCTTAAGATTTATTGTGCCGGTAGCAATGGCTAATTGATCACCCAAGAACAGCTGAGAGAGGATGAGGTAGAAGGCAGCTGGTAGGCGGGAGAGGCCCCGGTTTACAGAGATGTCAGACTGTGTCTTAGACTTTGTAATTGATAGGTTCACCTGGTCCTGCGTTCTGGAATGTGCGCTCTCACAAGATTGCTCATAGCGACAGCAGTATGGCCACTGTTTTTCACGATTCCATGCACCCATGCTCTTACAGGTTGATTCTTTTGAGAATTTTGTCAATTGCGTTTGGAATTCTCATGGATTGAACATTTTATTTCTTTATTTATTTTTGTATATTATTTTATTTCACCACTTTGTAAGGAATTGTTTATCAGTTTTGTTCAAGTTCAGTAAGGAAATGCCAAAAGACTTTTTGACTGTACTTGTTCCCATCATAGAGTTCTTACACGCATACCGCCAAGGTCCTGGCCAGGAGGTTACATACTTTCTAGACAGAAATAAGTGTTCAGTTTCTCCACTTACTGTTAATCTTTTTTTCACTGACCTTTCCACAGAGAGGCAGTTTGTTTATCATAGGTGGCCAGAACGCTTACCTGCCAGTATGGCTCTATATGTATGTATGGTTTATTATTTCTCTTGGGCCCACTTAAAGAACCACCAATCTGAAACTCTACTCCATTCTAACTTTGTTGTAAAACAGGGCTAATATCTTTATTAAAGTGGAGTGAAACCGATTTGTTTTAGGTCAGTGTTCGCAAAAGATCTTCAGTCTTTGAGTTAAGATGTACTTTCGGCTTAAAGTTCTCATGTGAAAAGTGATCCTTGAAGCCATGCAGTTGTTCAGCATGAGAAGTAATCTCATTACTTAAAAAGCATTAAGTCTGTTTGGATAGAAAATGGAAATATATTTCACAGTTAAAATCCCATGAGCAACCCCAGAATTGAATGGAAAGATTTTAGACCAAAAAAAAAGAAAGAAAAAAACCTGTGAATTGTTGCCCTAAAATGCAAAATTAAATAGGAATTTTTGAGACAACAAAGATATGTGAATTTTTGCCCCTGAAACACATCAATCTCTGTCTGTATATCTTTAACCATCCATTATATGAAGTGATTGTCCTTTCATGAAATGCGGATATGACCGTCATCCGAGGACAAACACGCAATGATTTATGGTTGAAAAAGGCCTATTTCCTATTTCGTTGATTTGAATGGAACTTAAAAAAAATAAGTGCATGTACTTGAGAAAACTTTTTACCCTGGTTTAAAATGGTTGGCATGAAGTGCTGAAGTTCATCATCTAGAGTCACTTGAAGTGGTGTTGGTGTAAGATCGCTGTAACTTGAAAGGCTTTTGTTCTATACTTGCATTAAAGGGTCTTCGGTGAATGACACGCAATAGTTAAATTAAAAACTGGATTATGTCGTCTCAGCATGCGTCCTTTTTTATGCAGGAAACCTGACAAAATGGGAGTACTGGTCTCCAGCTTGAGTTTAGGAAGGCCAGTTTACACTGGAAGGAAATGGAACCATTTTGTCATGGTTCGATCCAAGATTGTTCCGTTTAGATTGCAATCAATGTGATGTCAAAGGTAGATTTAAAGAGTATAGCAGATGAAAGTTGAGATTCTTCGAGGCATAACAAATACGTCTCTGAAGTTATGCCCTATGGGTTTGATCCAGGAGCGCATTAATGCATTAATGACCGCAGTGTAAACTCCCCAAGAGCAAAATATATAAAGAGTAGATCTTAAAGTTCAAGGCATGTTACACTTGACCGACTTTAATGAACCAGCTCAAACTTATTTGACAGAACAGACTTTTTGAAGTCTAAATGTCACGGAGTGGCTTAAGTAATGATTTAATCAGGCATAAATGAGCATACTTCCTGTATATAAAAGAGACCTACTGAAAGTGGCCATATTCCTTACTATAGACTGGAGAGTTTTGCTGTATTTGTTTCATTTAAATAAGGTCTTATTCTTCAGATCCTCATTTGTTGACCGAGTACATATTTTCTTAGACCTAGAGGCTGTTTTCCATTTTTGATACTGATATATTACAATTGTTCAGATCATGCTTCTCTTTTCTCACATTTTAATGTAAAAAAAGAGTGGACATTATGCACATTCTCACATTGAGGTCCTTTCCTTCTGTGATACGAATTGTACAACTACATCATATTCCGCATATCAGCACGTCCTCACAAAAAAAGATAAATTGCGTAAACACACTTTTTACACCTAATGTCAGCAAAATTAAATGTTTTTTTTTAGAAGATTGGTCATCTATGAAAGCCTATAATGTACTCTGTAAATAGACAATTTTGTTGACCTTATTGCTCTTATGGCTTCAAAATACATTTCCTCCTTGCTGAACTTGATTCGGAGAAAGATTCTAGGCTCAAAGGCAGCATGCTTCTTTGTGGAGGAAATTGATAGTCACAAAAATGTAGATTTAAGTTATCTGACCTGTATCAAGAGTTTCACCTTTAAAAAACCATCTTCTGTGCATTTCTCCTGTGATCCTTTACATTTTTTTTAAAGATATCTGTATACAGATCAGGAAGAAAACATTTTTAAAGAAGGGGAGTGCATAAAAAAGGCATAGAAGATCTAGAGAATGAGGATGAAAAGAATGAAATGGAAAGAACAGGAATTGATGATGTGTGTAAGACTAAAATAAACCCAAAAAAGGAATCATGCAACCAATTCCAAGTCAGAAGTCAAGGTGAAACAATTTGTGAAATCCAAGATTAGATAAAAACTTGTGCAATCTAAGGCCAGATGAATATGGGTTATAGGAAATCGAGGGGAAATAAATTTCTTTGGAGATTGTCTTTGTTATCATGGTTGTTCATTTGTCCTTAGAGCATTTGAGTCCTAAGGTCAGATGAATAGTTTGTCACATGGTTGGCATTGTCCCCAGTTTACCCTCATGATCAAGGTGTCATCCAACCATGGGTCAGCGGTTGACGCTGTCCCCAGTTGCCATGGCAATTTGTAAACTAAACAGAAGACATCTATTTGAATTATTGTAAGGCAGTGAAGTTTTTGTCATGATGACAAAATAAGTTACAGTTATGAACTGTTTGCAATTGGTGGCACAAAGGTGGATTTGATTAGCAGTTGCACAAGCCTGACAGTTTTTGTCTAAACCGTAGCTTGGATTTGTTTTCAAATTTCATTTTGTTTATGCTACCAGTTAGCCCCTCCGAGAAATTGGTGCCAATTAAAAAAAAATTATGAATGACAGCACACAATGATACAAACATGTTTATTTATTATTCTAACCACCCAAGTCAAAAACTTCTAACATTGCCACATTTTACCCCAAAAATACATGCTGAAATTGGAACTAGGCCAACTTAAAACCAAAAAAAACTTGTGCAGAAGCACCATGGTTTTAAACCTTAGTTCAAATTCCTCCGTCTGTCAAGCTACCCCAACATCACACAATAGTTTTGGATCAAGTATCATAGAAACAACAAATACAATTATGTTTTGGACTTCTCCGATTCCTTGCAAACATTTCACAAAGAGTCATTTGATGACTTTGTGGCTGGGAGCATTTTCTGGAGTATATTATTCTTCCAGCTGAGTAGACATGTGTTAGGAATTTCTGTCTGGATTAGAAAGTAGTAGAGTTACCTCGTGAAGGTTTTAGACATTACCTTAAAAAAAGAGAGGCAATGAAAATTTGGCAGCTGTGAAAATAAACCTGGTAATGATGGATAGGAAAAGTTTCACAGTCAGGGAGAGCTTGACACTTGATTTTAATGAAATTATAAACAACCCATACCTCCAGATACATATGTATATATATACAGAATTAGAGTTGTGAAAAAGCAGGTACCTGAGCATTAAAATATACCCAACATAGCTTAACATACGAGTTACATTGGTAAAAAAGATCTTTGACGTATGAAAAAGTTAGATCTGGAGGTACATTGAAAATTTGAAATCCAAAATAAAATAAAAATTCAACTAGTTGGGAAATTTAAGACAACTGCACATTCTTCAACTATGTTCATTTTCTTTTTTCATGGTATATTACTTAAGAATAAAATGCTATTCATGCTTTTATTGCATTCATATATCTACCTATTTTTCATTCCAGAATTCCTGAGAGGAGATATCTATGAAATAGGCAGTCGGTTCCTGAATGTATTTGCCCATTCCAGAGAGAAGAGGAACCCCCCCCCCCCCCCAAAATAATTTTTCTCTCACTTTTCTCTAATATCACTATGGACTTAAAAGCCAAGACGTCCATCTTTTCATGAGAGCCTGCTTTGAGCTTTTTCAATTTTTCTATTTTTTTCCTACAATCATCAATTCTTCCAACACAGATCTTACTTTGCATGAAATTTACAGGGACATTTTCTCCTGTTCCAGTCAGCAAAAGGAGAGTCATATTTTGGTCTTATTTTTGGTCTGGACTTTTTTACGTTCTACAGAAAAAAAGTGCATCGCAAAATTTATCTCCCCCTTCTCTCTTCCTCATTTCAGCAACAAGAAGAAGACCCCACAAACCTCTACATTGCTAACCTTCCCATGTACATGACAGAGCAGGATCTAGAAAATATGTTCACCCCCTACGGAACTGTCATTTCCACAAGGATTCTAAGAGACCAGAGTAGTAACAGCAGGGGGGTGGGGTTCGCCAGAATGGAAAGCAAAGAGAAATGTGACCAGATTAAACAGGCATTCAATTCAAAGATTTTACCAGGTTAGTTACTAGGTTATTGTTTGAATTATTCTGGATTATGATATAGGTTAGAAAGAATGTACAGATAATTTTGTTAAAAACTTTTTGAGAATCGTAATGATTTATTACAAAAATCAAGCAAACTTCATGTTACTCTAAAAATATGGTGAATGTATACTTAAGAAGCCTTAGAACAGCCTAATCTTGGATTATATATTATTCAAGCAAGAAATAGTATAGCGTGGTTGCTTGTGGGGAGCTGCTGACCTTGAAAAAAAAGGGATATATTCAAAACACATAACACCGGAAGCAATGGCGATTCATTTGATTAAATTATGTGTTTTAATCCCCTCACAAGGTTGTAAAGACGCCCTCTTGGTCAAAAATGCTGATGGCGGAAACAAGAAGAAGACACAGTACAAACAGAACCCAGGATGGACAGACCGCGGCGGGGAGGTAATAGCCTCTTTAACTCATATTTTTTGTTTCTTTCAAATATTCTTTGCTCATGGAGATATTAACACACACACACTCACACACACACACACATACACGCACACGCACACACACACACACATAACACACACACACTAAGGCTACATTCACAATGAAACTATCCGGCTAGCTGCTGAGCACTAATTCTACGGGAACTCATTGAATGCAATCAGATTAACACACTCAAATGTGTCTTTCTCACATTGAGTAGAATATAGAAAAGCTGGTGATTAAGCGAGTACATTGGAAACCAGAGGTGGGGTGTTAGTCTGTTAACCTGATGGCATTCAGTCAGAGTCCCTGTGGCGTTAGTGTGCAGTAGCTAGCATGATAGATTCATGGTGAAAGCACCCTTATATACTCAACATGTAGAGGCCACAATGAACGTACTAGGATGTACTTATATATTGCCACATACTGAAAGTCCAGAAATAGGTTTAAAACTATTTATTTATTGTTCCTTGTTTGAAATTCTCACCAATAATGAATTAATTGGCTGTCAAGTGGAGAACGCATATGCATTTAATTTCAAAACCTGTTTCTAAATTTACAAAGTCAATAAATGACAGCTGTGACGCTGACAATGTTGAAAACTGCTGAATGGTTTGTAAACAACTGTTTATTCTTTGTTTCCAGGGAATCGCACTGGCGTATGATCAGAGTGCGGCTGTTCAGAATGGGTAAGACAAAAAAATACACAGGATGTCAAGACTCACGTGGAACATATACATTTTGATAATGTTAAGTGATAAAAGCAGGTTAAAATTTCTGTAGACATTTTGAGGATTGAAGGCATTTGCCTACCCTATCTCAACCATAGGTAGAAATCAATCAGTGGAATAACAGAGGGATTAGATTGGCTTATTTAGGTTAGAAAATTGTAATGGCATCTTCATAGGAGATAGTTGGTGATAAGTGTAGCTGAAGGAACACAGAATTTGTCTCTTGGTATTCTACAAACAATCCTTGTATATAATAAATGATAAATTTGTAATAAATTATGGTTGATAATAATGTTGAACTTAGAACACTAGAAAGGTAGCAACAGTATTGTAAACTTAGTGAGAGTCAGTTTTTAACCTTGGTTTTAGTAAATCTTCTTTGATTGATAAATAATAACTATCATTCTACAAAGATCAATCCAAATCGGTGGGTACACTCTCTGAATGCAAACGGATTAACATTTTATCGCACCTCCTCTTGGCATTGAGTAATATACAGAAAAGGTGGTGATTATATAAAGACATTGGACAAAAGAGGAGGCGTGTTAAACTGATTGCGTTTAGCGAGAGTCCCCATGGAGTTGGATAGCCCCATGTAGACTGATAGTTTTATTGGTAATAGGCCTTTATAACAGACTGTTACATATGATGTCTACAATTGCCAGCCTATGATGTTATCCATGTCATTTTATCATTACAGCCTTTATCCTTATAGCCTCGCACAGACTATGATTTCGCCAGGGATGGTCCCCCGTTACACGGTCGCAACCACCGCCGCGGCGGGCAACTATCCCGTGCAAACGGGGGGCACGTCTTGGATGTACCACCCTCAGCACGTTATGCAATCCGCCATCACGCCCGTAAGTGCTACTTTCGTGGACGACCACAGACCGGTAAATTTATGGCAAGGGGTGGAACCCACTTTATTCTGGTACACCACACTGTCAAATATGACAACAGTATTTATTATATATATATATATTCATCATATATCACATTATCAAAGATGTATATATAGAAAAACTATATATATATTTCTGTATATATTATATTATATATATATACATATTTATCCCCTGTCTAACCCAAAATGGCATGGTTGTCAGAACAGCAGCAAACTAACAACTTGGCGAGATGTTTATATTTTTACGTGGGGAGCCATATTGGCTGTGGCGAGTGTTCTGTGTCCTTCACTGGCTGCCAGATGGGGATTGGTGCTTAGCTGACGGATTTGTTGTTTGAACCTACCTGCCCACACAGGCGGCCATTTTTCTTTCTTCGTCAATTGAAAAATATCCCATAAGAGTGCCAAATTTTCAACCAGTTAGAAAAATAATGGCTATATGTAAATATACATCTGTGCCCGTACATAAAAATCATTAGATAAGTCTACCATAATTTAGCTGTGGTCATAAAAATCCTGAAATTATTAATCCTACAGCTTTTATTACCTGGATTAGCTAATGAGAGTACAAGAAATATTCAGTCCTCGAAAGTTTCTCGAAACGGAAACCTGAGGTCAATGAAACTGTTAAGTCCTTACCATCACCTGGAATCAAAATTAATGTTGACATACTAAATGAAAAATAGTTGAAAATGCAGTTCTCACCAGATTTTTAAATAAGTTTGCTTGTCAGCTTGGTACCTTTTCCCAGTGGTATAGTGTCAAAGTGGAGGACCCGGGACAGTATGGGAGGGAATATACTTACTTGGCTTGTCCCTGAAGCAATTAGTTCCCCATCTCAAATACATGCACCATTCGCTTCATTATTGATGTCTGTAACAGTCCTGAGATCATAACACAAGTCTTTCTCAAATCAAAAAAATATATATATAAAACTATTGGAAAAGCTACAATTTTGAGATGTTGCCTTCTGCTGTTACTTGGCAGTTGGTTCACATCTTTGCATGTATGTTATCTAAAGCAATTAAAGTAACAAATAAATGTTGAATATTTGGTTGTTTAGCTTAAGAGGGGGAATTCTGTGGGTATAAACAACAAACCTTTTGTGTTTGGAGGAAAGTTTGTGTTATGATTACACAGTGTGTGTTGTCAACTGACCAGCCTTTTTCACTCGCTCAAAAAAAAAAAAAAAAAAAACGGTGTAATTTTACCAAATCATATTCTATTTATCATGATTGAATTGATTGATAGATGAATATTCAGATGTCCTTCTTTATCTTCTGTCAACCAGTGTCCACATATGCTAATATAATGGCACACATACAAAGTCACGCACGCACACACGCACACATGCAATGCACGCTGTATACGGGCACAAATGTAAACACACATGTTGCATTCACTAAGCAACCCTATTCATCACAAATCAAATCACATTCAGAGCTTTTCGAATTATCTTTGGCTGACCCCTTCTCATTGTGATTATCTTTTGTGATTACATCATCACCTTGTTTGTTTGTTTGTAGTAATAATTATTCTGTGAATTGTTCTGTGTGATTTGTCAATTCAATTCGTTCTTGAGGTGCTTTTTTGAATGAAGACAAACCCTAACTGGTTTAAGAGCTAACGGCATCACACGATGACCTAACTAGCCTCTGCACAAACTGTTCTTGTATGTCACCCACCTCCATCATGATAGGGGAATTGATTTTCAGTAAGTGAATTTCAACCTGAATGATTTGGGAACAGTCATCCAGGAGACTTTTGATTGATTTGCCAGTTACCATAGAAACTAAATTTTGCCATGAAAGACCATTTGGATGGGCAGATCCAGAGATATTTTCTGAGAGTCTTTCGAGTCATCTTTGTTGATCCTTCCTCCATTTTTTTACCATCTTCCGGCAGAAAAACAATAGATGCCCGTCAATGTAAACTTGAAAATTTTGACCCTCTTCAGGAAGACCCATAAGACAGCCTCTATCCCCCTCTGTTTGATTAGTTGACAATATCTTATCCAGTACACGGGTACAGCACTGGGAGGTCCCAAGGCATGGAGACAGCTGTATCACTTAAGTGATTTGGTCATCTTGTGATGTCATTTAGACTTAAACCAGTTCAGGTACCTTTGCCATGAAGCAGACATTTGGAATCAAAACGAAAGAAAGAAAGACAATATTGGAAACTGTTGCATAAGTCAAAGAATCTGTCTTGTGAAAGCATCTTTTTGTCTTTTACTGAAAAATTAATGTTTTTAATGTTGTTTTATTAAAAGTCTTTGCACTTGAAACCACTTATTTTTAATTGACCAGTAATAAACTGCTGTTAGCTTTTACAAGACTTTAAAATAACAAAAATGTTCCAGGTTTGTCTTCATGGATATGTCAAATGGCACCTCAAATGATGTGTGTATCACCTTGTAAATGCATAAATTATGATAATTAATTCATCACAGAATGTGTAGTTAATCAAAGTGATTGTGCCCAGTTAAGACATTTCTGTCCAATCTGCAGCCCAGGTCAGTATGATGAATGCACAATCTTGATCGTAATTTTGGCCAGATTTTGTACAAATGCAACCCTCAGTGAGGACTATGGGCATCATTTAAACATTAGCACGCCTCTGGACACAATATTGGCATATGTTTTGATACATTTGCATCTTTTTATTCACTGCAAGGTACATATTTGGTCTTCTTTATTATTGATTATAAGGAACATCACATTTGTACTCTGTTCTTGCAGAAAAAAAAGGCTGTATTTGTACATGTTCCCACTTTTCATCATGTTTCCAACCATGTTAGATTGCCATATCTTGGTTAAACTTATCTTCACAATGTGTTTGATAACAATTTCATCATTATACGACATCATTCAATTGACTTCGGCAATATTGGCAGGGTGGGACAACAGAGGGATTAGATTGCCTCCTTATGGTGAGCTAATTGTAACAAGACAGCTTGATAAGATTGGTTGTTACCAAGATGGGTTGTTTCAACTTGGCTGGAAACGCCGTTAATGTTAAATCTGACCTGCTTTGATAATGTAGTCAGTAAAGCACTAGAAATCCTAGAGTAACATTTTTCATGTAGCTTCAGAGATAAGTCCAAGTAATTGTGTTAACAAGAGCATGTGAATTCCATGGCTCACCTCTATGTACCCTGACCTAGTTTTGAATTTAGACTCCAATTCTACATTGGGAAATGCTACCTAGTTTACTTTTTAAAGTAATCTGAAAAAGAAAGATTTCTTAGATACAGTGTACAAAAGACGAGAATGTTTAAGAGAAAGAAAATATTTTTTTACAAAGCAAAGCATAAAAACAAGACTGTTACAACTTTGTACTCATTTGATTCAAGTATCATTATGAAAAAAAGAAGCTTTTAAAAATATTCGAGCAACAACACACTGCATTTGATAACTCGATTCTTAGATCAAGGGTATCTCACAGATTGAAAATTCTCTCAGAAAAAATCATTCATCCCAATGTAGAATCCGAGTTTTCTTTTAAGACTGGGAATCGGGGTGTAGTATACTCCAATGCTGCTTCCTTACAACTTCTCCCCTCTCCTCACTCGGCAAAAACTGCTTGTTAATAATGATAATCCCAATGCTAGATTGTTAATTTCTGTATATTATTTTTGCAATGGGGAAAGAGACATTTGGACCAACTGACCTCTACCTGCTGACAGCTGTGTGAGGGGGCTATCAATATTTATTAAAGGTCTTAAATGCTGTTTATATGAATGCTGACAGTTGGTGGTGCTGGGAGGCAATATAATGGGGGTTCTACCTCTTGGGCATGCATGAGCCTCGTGTTCGCACATGCAGCATTTTCTTTCGATATTTTCCTGGTTTTTCTACTTCTTATTTATTTTCGTGTATATATTTTTACCATGTGTGTGAGTTCATATTTATGTGTATCCTTCAAACCTTGCTTATTTTATGTGTTTATTATTTTATATATATGTTTGCATGGAAAGCTTTCGAATGCACCTCCGAGGTAGTAGCGCTGAGAATGAATGTGTATGCATGCATCTAGCACGTGCACATGCATGTTGTATTCTGTTTGTGATTGTTTTGTTACCATTATTACGGTAAGCTTTCTATACCTTTGTGCCTTGCATGGGGTGTGAATGCACTGTTTGTTTATTTGTTTTTTGTTGATTATTTGTTCATCTTGTTAATGAAATTGTTTAGCATTAATTAATAATGTTGTTAAATCACTGTCTGGAAAGCTGGCATGTGTAATTTGCATTTCATAATTTCATTTAACTGTAAAATGATTTTTGTATTGAAATATTCTCAGTTACTAAGAATGATTTTGATAAAGATTGCAGCAGTTGCTGTCAAGTTTTAATTTTTTTTTTCAAAAAAGCTGGCTTATAATCATTGTTGTTTGATCTGCAAGTTGACTTAATATAATAATTACATCTTCACATATAATATCTATATATTCCAGTTTTTGGCATATTGTCTGCATTGTTTCGTACCTCCCCATGATGTTACTCCAGTTTCCAATTTTTTTTTTTTTTTTCAATACTTACTTCTTGATATATGCATGTTGTTTGTACTAAAAGTTGGATATTTTCAGCTGTTTCATTGGCTATATAATCTCCCAATGAGAATCATATTTACAAATCTGCACGAGACCCGNACAATTTCATCATTATACGACATCATTCAATTGACTTCGGCAATATTGGCAGGGTGGGACAACAGAGGGATTAGATTGCCTCCTTATGGTGAGCTAATTGTAACAAGACAGCTTGATAAGATTGGTTGTTACCAAGATGGGTTGTTTCAACTTGGCTGGAAACGCCGTTAATGTTAAATCTGACCTGCTTTGATAATGTAGTCAGTAAAGCACTAGAAATCCTAGAGTAACATTTTTCATGTAGCTTCAGAGATAAGTCCAAGTAATTGTGTTAACAAGAGCATGTGAATTCCATGGCTCACCTCTATGTACCCTGACCTAGTTTTGAATTTAGACTCCAATTCTACATTGGGAAATGCTACCTAGTTTACTTTTTAAAGTAATCTGAAAAAGAAAGATTTCTTAGATACAGTGTACAAAAGACGAGAATGTTTAAGAGAAAGAAAATATTTTTTTACAAAGCAAAGCATAAAAACAAGACTGTTACAACTTTGTACTCATTTGATTCAAGTATCATTATGAAAAAAAGAAGCTTTTTAAAAATATTCGAGCAACAACACACTGCATTTGATAACTCGATTCTTAGATCAAGGGTATCTCACAGATTGAAAAATCTCTCAGAAAAAATCATTCATCCCAATGTAGAATCTGAGTTTTCTTTTAAGACTTGGAATCAGGGTGTAGTATACTCCAATGCTGCTTCCTTACAACTTCTCCCCTCTCCTCACTCGGCAAAAACTGCTTGTTAATAATGATAATCCCAATGCTAGATTGTTAATTTCTGTATATTATTTTTGCAATGGGGAAAGAGACATTTGGACCAACTGACCTCTACCTGCTGACAGCTGTGTGAGGGGGCTATCAATATTTATTAAAGGTCTTAAATGCTGTTTATATGAATGCTGACAGTTGGTGGTGCTGGGAGGCAATATAATGGGGGTTCTACCTCTTGGGCATGCATGAGCCTCGTGTTCGCACATGCAGCATTTTCTTTCGATATTTTCCTGGTTTTTCTACTTCTTATTTATTTTCGTGTATATATTTTTACCATGTGTGTGAGTTCATATTTATGTGTATCCTTCAAACCTTGCTTATTTTATGTGTTTATTATTTTTATATATATGTTTGCATGGAAAGCTTTCGAATGCACCTCCGAGGTAGTAGCGCTGAGAATGAATGTGTATGCATGCATCTAGCACGTGCACATGCATGTTGTATTCTGTTTGTGATTGTTTTGTTACCATTATTACGGTAAGCTTTCTATACCTTTGTGCCTTGCATGGGGTGTGAATGCACTGTTTGTTTATTTGTTTTTTGTTGATTATTTGTTCATCTTGTTAATGAAATTGTTTAGCATTAATTAATAATGTTGTTAAATCACTGTCTGGAAAGCTGGCATGTGTAATTTGCATTTCATAATTTCATTTAACTGTAAAATGATTTTTGTATTGAAATATTCTCAGTTACTAAGAATGATTTTGATAAAGATTGCAGCAGTTGCTGTCAAGTTTTAATTTTTTTTTTTTTCAAAAAAGCTGGCTTATAATCATTGTTGTTTGATCTGCAAGTTGACTTAATATAATAATTACATCTTCACATATAATATCTATATATTCCAGTTTTTGGCATATTGTCTGCATTGTTTCGTACCTCCCCATGATGTTACTCCAGTTTCCAATTTTTTTTTTTTTTTTTCAATACTTACTTCTTGATATATGCATGTTGTTTGTACTAAAAGTTGGATATTTTCAGCTGTTTCATTGGCTATATAATCTCCCAATGAGAATCATATTTACAAATCTGCACGAGACCCGTGTTGAAAATAGGCATTTAATCTGATAGAACAAAACAACTTGTGTGTTGAAGTTGTGTCTTACTGTCTCTGCCACCTAGAGGTGACCAATACTAAATTTACTGAGACTGCCATATATTTTACCTATATTGACCAGTGAGAATGCTTTGAGTATTCAGCCCTTGCCATAACCTCAAAACTCTGACCAACCAGAATGCTGAAAGTATTCAGTCCTTACCACAAGTGCATAAAAATAAGCAGAGCAGTTCTGTCACCGTGGAAACTGGTGTAACATCACCATGGCAACAAACCCCTTGACTTTACACGTCCTTTGGTTTCTTTCCTATTTCAAGGTGATTCCCACAAGCTTACATCCAGGTTCCACCATGGATCCAAATCTTATGCCGACCCTTGCTGCACAGATGGGCCAATTACAACTCTCTGGAGCTTCGGTAGGGGAGGAACATGGACAGTTGTAAATTGTTGCTCTCTAAAAAGAAAAAAAAAAGAGATAGACCTGGGTGGCAGAGTTGCTATAATTGCTATTGTCAGTGATGACGATGGTGGTGATGAGGCTATTTTAATCCCCACATAAACTTTAAATGAGATGCAATTCTACACTTGGGTCTATGGATCTTTACGATAACAATGTTGTTACTGATGATATGTTAATGATGATAAACATTATGAATTGTAGGATGGATGATGATAATGATGATGATGATTAATGAAGATGATCTTGACATTTATACACTTATATTCAGCATTTGTTGAAGATTTTATGACAGACTTTATTTTTTGCCAGACATTTCATTTAGAAATTTTCATCTTTCAAATGGTTACCCAGACTCTTAACTACTATATAATCTGTTATTGCGTATCATTAAATGTGTTAAGGAAGTTTACAAGAAGGTTTACATGCTGTTGAGGGACATTCTGAAAATCATCCCACATTCGTATTTGTGTATTGGAGGTATTTATTGCAAATACAATATCTAAATTTTTGTGAGTTTATATATGTGTATGTACAAGAATGTACATTTGGAAAGCAAAAATATAAAAATTTGCTTTATATTTGACAAAGGAACAATGGTGAGAATAAAAACTTAAATTGATTTTATCATTAAGGGATGCAATTTTAAGGTTGTTAGGAACACAGAATGGTCGAACCAAGTGGTAACAGTTGTAAAAGAATTTGGAAAGGAAGCAAGTCCAGATTTACAAATGGCTTCTTGCAATTTTTTTGTCGTCAAAGTTGTTGTACATTGAGTACTATGGTTCTTTTTATGTTAGACGTGGTTCTTTTGAAAGTTGGTTCTTTCTTTGTTTTTTGGGGTTGAAAGGTTGTTGTTCTTTTGGATATAAGTCTACAATGGATGGAATGTTCTAGGTATAATATGCATGTTTGATTGTCTTATCATAGAATTTTAGGTGTAGGGATCAGTTTTGACAATATTAGCTAGTTGCTTCACTCCATATATAATCACAAATACACATATATATACATATAATCAGTAATGAGTAGGTTTTGTCTAGGACAGAGCTTTTGTACATAGCTAAGTGCATGTTGAATGATGTACATAGATTTTTCCCAGTTGTTTTCTTCTTAAACGTAATATTTTTGGTTTAACACTCCGTTCACGGATATATAGAGATCAGCAAGTTTTTTTTTTAACGTGACTCTGAAAATGCAGAATAAAAATGGCATTTTTCTTTTTTTGATCAGCAACTAAGTGGAGTAGTTTTGAAAGGATTATGAATAGTTGGAAGATATAAGTTCAGATAGACTGAAAAGGATGCATTGGGATAAAATGGTGTTTGTGGAAGCTCAGTCCAGTGCAGAAGGCTTAAATGGTTTGACAAGGGCTTAAATCATTTGACAAGGGCTAAAATTGCAATTAAAAGCTCTATAAAGTACAGAAAGGTCATTGAGAATTCTGATGTTCTCTGTCCTAAAGAAAATGCATTCAATATGTGTATAAGGGGGGGGGGGGGGGGGAAGGGAATGGCAGATGGAGTTGATGTTGAATGAGGATGCAGATTTATATTTTAAAATAAGATGTTAAAAAAGGAAGATTTTCATTTTTATTCTTGGATTAGGCCTATGGTGACTGTGACCCTGGGGAGATGGGGAAAAGTGTTGAATTAGCCCTGATACTACTTTATAGCGATCCATATTACAGTTTATATTTAACGTTAAAACTCATAGTAATTCATATAAAGGTCCATATTGACCCATAATGATTGCCTTTAATTAAGGTGGAATTTTGGTCAGATGGATTTTTTAATATACCTCAAAAAGTGGCTAACAATTCGGTATTATTGAAATAATTATGAAATGTTTAAGACCTGTGTTAATAATTATCAAGTGTTAAGGACCTGGGTGGTTGAGAGAAGGCATAGACCCTGTGCTGAATGTCGAGTAATAAGGGGTGTGTACAGTTTGTGTTCCTAGTGGCTAGTTGTTTTTGTCTTTGGGTTCTGTTGGCAAACAGTTTTGAAGAGCTGGGGAGACTTTGGTCACCTGTCCAAATTGCAGCCTCATTTTAGCACAGACTGAAATTGAGACTCCATTGATGGTAGTGGATAATGTAGACTTCTTCCATTTCTAAGTCTAGTCTTATCAAACCCAGAGGTAGTGTTTTGGGCAGTTCTTTATTGTATTCCACACTCTTTCAATGAATCAACATCTTGTTTGTCAAATAGGACTTTTCTGATTGTAGTCTATCTTGGAAAGGTTCTTTTTTTCCTGGGAATTTTTACGTGTACATACATATAATGGAAATGTTATGTTGTGCATTCGCTATATTTTATACCATTTAACATTCATCATAGTCACTTATATTTTTAGGAAAGAAAGCTGCAATTATATTTTATTCTTTAGAAAGCTAGTCAAGAATTTTATATTTAATCCCGAAATAGATGTTTTTGTGTGACTGATGGATATTATATTGTTTACCATCTTACACGTGTGTGTTGGCTATAATGGAATCATTTTAATTAAATCAAAATTGCTTGTATCATTAAAATTTTGCTCATTTGGTGCAATTACATTCATTGTGAGAGAACCTTTCCAGATAGGCTGCATTGCTTGGCTGCCTTTTCAAGTTTTCTGACATTTCATTGGGTGCTGCCAAAGGTGAAGGTCACTTGAATCTGGTTGTCTGCTCTTCAGAAAGTCTTGTAGAACCGCTGCAGTAGATTGTTGTCTTCATTAGTATATATCAATTTCATAGTTACAATTCCAGGTTATCCATTTAAATCTCGTTTTAAAGTTGATAAAAGGTCTGTGATGCGGTATATGTATGTTGTTGAACTCCATCATATATTTGGAATATGCTATTATTTGCAATACATCATTGTTACGGAATACACTGTTTTTAGTCAAGTAATATTCAAACTATTCTATCAGAGTTTATGCTGTGGTTAGTTACCTGAAGTATTCATCTTGGAAGCTACCTTAGAAAAATTGTTAATTTTACATTTGTTGCTAGTTTTTAATAGTCTCGAAGAAGGTTAACATTGTTGTATATTCTCCAAGCAGATGCCACCCCAAAGATGATAAGAAAAAATTGCACACACTGTTGATTATGATAAGTTTATATAAAATTGGTAATAATCGGAGAAGAATTTTTGTTACTCTTTTCACACAGAGCTTTGTTAATTGTTAAAAAAAGTATATAGATTGCATATTCATCTGTACTTTTAGCACCCAGGTTAAGTTATTTGACAACACGATGTTTATATGTTGTTATGTCTTATATACTCTACGATACAGTTGCTGCTGTCGACTATTTACTACAATAATGAAATGTAGATTCTTATTATATAATTTCTTGTACAGGTTAAGTGTGTATTTAGCGCATTCATATATGACTTTGTTATTAATACAATTATTCTCAACCATTTTTCGAAGATGCCAAGATTTTAAATTATTTTTGTACTGAATGTGATATGGTAACTTATATGGTAACAATATGGTAACTATATTGGTTTTCCTGATATTATTGGTTTGTAGAATGTAATGCATTCTTTTTGGTGCAGTTAAGACCTCACTTTTTATAGAAACATTGCTTTAAAGTGTGAAACAATATATTGTTTACTTGCTTCAGAATTAATGAAAAGTCACACCAAATTTTAAACCATGAAGAAATTTGACCTTGATTGCTGCTCCCATATGACTATTGTTTTATCTTAGCCAGTTTACAACTAGATTTAAAATTGAAGAAATAAGCTCAATTCCAATGAAATTAGTTCTTACTTGCTTAGATTTGGTGTGCGTCCTTGTAATTTTGGTCTGTCTTGTGCAGTGGTGCACTCTACAGTTTCTATAACTAGCCAAGACAAGCTGGAGTGAAAGGTTGGTGTCACTGGGCTTATATGTATGCTTGGGAAATAACAAATTTTAACAGAGGAATTTTTAATGCTTGTTGCACCTGTCCAAGGACACTTGAGATCTTTCTTGAAGTTTCTGCTGACAGCAGCATATCCTCTTTCCACTGGTTGTTGAGGTTTTTACAAATGATGCCAGCTAGTGAAGGAAAGTTTCATTCAATACTTTTTCAAATAAAGTTATGTATACTGTTTTATCTGAGGTACAGCAAGGGTCGGATTGTGTAATTCACTTGTTGTGTTGTTGACATTTTTAAGTTGTATAATCCGTATTAATTCATATTCCCCTTCTTATGATAGTTTGTTGTACAGGAAATAACTTTCACGTATTTAACTGATAAAGCATTAGAACTTGGTTAATAGAAATTGTTAGAAGTTGCAGTGCAATGGAGAGGGATAAGACAAAGAATTCCATTGTTTGTTTTTTTGTAACATTCTCTGTCAACAAAATCTTGTACTTAGTGAATTCAAATACTACGCTTATTAGGTAGAAGAGGATTATCTTGTACATATTTGAAATACTGCAGTATAAATAGCTTTTAGTTTGGTGGTAGGTCTTAGTAATCAAACATATTTAATTAAAAAAAGAGTTAAAATTGCATGGTCTTACAAGATTGTATAGGCAGTGTTATAAAACATTGTAAAAAAAAAATAAGGAAAAAGAAAATAAAGCTGCTGTTTTGTCAACATTAGTATCTATGGGTGGGCAGTTAATTGTGTATGCCATAATATTACTATACATAATTGGATAACATATAATCATCATCAAGTTATTATCAAAGGCACAAATACATGTGGTATTATTGAAGCTAGTTAGATTTTAATACAGTTGAGTGTTTTATGTATATGCACAGAGTGTGTATCTGCCCTTGAGTGTGTAATATACATATGTATATATGATATAAAATCAGTGTATGTATTGCATATACATAAGCACCCACATTTGTTTCCAAGGTGCTTTTTTTTGTGTTGAGTATGTAAAACCTTTTAAAAAATCATGTTAATGGAAGAGCATCACCCATGGCACTGGTGTTGACATTGCAACAGTTTGTCAAAATAATTACAGATTTAAAGATTTTTTTCTTCCGATAATTCTGTTGAGAGTTGAGTAGCAAAGCCATTGTAGTGTAGTGGAATAAAAGTGATGAAAATGATTTTTTTATTTTTTGTTTTGAATATTTTTTCATGTTGTACTGTGAGAAGTATAACTTATTGCTGCAACTGTTGTGTAGGAAATAGGATCTGATTTAAAGTCCACTTTGCTTCTTTTGGAAGTTTATGAATTCAAGATACAGATTCTCATCCAATTTTACCCATAAAAATTGTTTAAAATTTATGTGGTATATGAAAAAAAGTCACATTCGTCTGGACCCAGTGTAAAGTTGAGAATCATAAAGACATTTATGTGCTCTGCGGTACGAGTATGAGTTTGGATTCACTGATGTACCAATGAATGAAGGTTTGCAACCAAAATGCCACATGCTGGCATTAACCCTTGTTGAAGTTCCCGAGGAACCCTCCATAATTTAATAACATCTCAACTGCTGAGACGAAATTATATTGTTGAAATTTTGGTACGGTATCACCCTCTTACATGCAATTGGACCTCATATTCCATAGCTCAGATCCATGTTTGTTCTTGCACAACAGTTACAGCATCAGTGGCTCCATCTTCAGTTTAATATTGAATCCCATTGCGGTTACACCAAACTTGGCTTCAAAGACATATGCCATTGGATTTTGTAGTAGATTGATGCCTGCAGAGTCGTAGGTATGACCCTGTTGGTGCATGAATAAAGACCCATAGTGTTGTGTGTAACTAAAGCTCAACTATGAAGATAAAAATGTGGAGAAAATGGTTGCAGTCCTAATCAACGACCAGTTCTAATCAAGAAGACCACTGTGGACATTCCCAGAGAGATGGCAACCTCAACACTTGTTTCAAGTTTACAAAGGAACACAAGGTAACAACCCAACCCCGATGTGGATTGTCTTGTTTGGTCACCATATTATACTGATATTAGCGCCATCTATCTTTTATATTATTCCTCAATAGTGGGTTTGCTTTGGTGGTGGCTTTTGCTTGACCAGAACCGTAGGCAAAAATCAGTCCTGGCAGACTGTGCGGTGCTGATACTTGGTGTCAAAAGAAACGGAATTTAAGCAGGAATTACCACACATTTAATAATTGTACTACCCATTTCAAATTTTTTTTTAATGAGTAATAATAATAATGTTCAGAGACAACACCTCTCAAACTCGTTGCTGATATAATTTTGAAGTAAACATAACCTCGTCACTCGTTCTTGGCAAAGAAAATAAGAAGAAAACCTCAGCACCATGCATCTGCCGTAGTGTGATCTATGTTATTTACCTCTTCTCCACAGTACGAATTCTAGCCTAAATCATATTTATACCATATGGTGCATGGAATACCACTGCTCCTCTTTACATATATTACATATTTTTCCGTATATATTTTATAGTTAGAAATTTAATCCTCACTGGTGTGGTTGTAGAGCTCAGCATTTTTATTCACAGCGTGATTGTGTATGTGGATAGTAAATAGGAACATGCACAAGCAAGACAGAAAACTAAGTCTAACCTCTGCTTTTATCTGTAATAGACTCTGGGATACTCTTGGCTTTAACAGAAGGCTGGCATTGAGGGGACAGATAAGTACAGGCTTAGAAAACAAAGGTCTTGAAAGACACTCTGATTTTTGCTGTACTTTTCAACTTTGTGATTTGGCCAAAATTTTCAAAAATGTTGATAGTTTTAAAGGTTACTGTCACCATTTTGTACATATATTAAGGCCATATTGGGTAACTCTGCCTCTGTCTCAAAACACTGCCATTTTGCTTTTTAAAAAATCATTGGCTGGCTCCAAAACCAAAAATATAACTAGATTCTAACAACCATAATTATTTGAACCTGTTTTTAATCACCCCAGTGAAGCTAGTTCCAATATCTCACACCTCGCTCCATAATGTTCCAATGGCATTGTCAACCATGGATTGCTGGCATTGTCAGAACTGATTCAAACAATCAAACCATACATATGTGTACAGTTTATGTATATATATACATGTACTTATAACTTTTATGTTAATATTATAATGCAATTTTTATCCACATATATTTAACTTATTAATTGAGTTGGATTTCTTGTTCTTTGATGGATAATTCTAATAACTACTAGAGGTCATTATTTTCACTGGAGTCATTTATCTTTGGATTCAGTTTTTTAAACATTTCATTAACACAATGGGCAGTTCTATCTTTACTACAGGTAGCAGTTAACGCCTGCTTTTAAGTTTACTTTTTGCTTTGAGAGGGGCTTTGAGTAGTTGTAAGTAGTTCTAAGTTTTGCTTGCTAAGTTTCAAACCTTCCTGCTGTGTATGGAATGCATGGCAACAGTCACTTCAACAGCAGCAACTATGAAGCAAAAGCATCAAACAGGCAACTTGCTTAAGCACCAACTGTGTGGGTAATATTCCTTTGATGAGAACAATATGATTTTGTCAGGAAGAGTTGATGTTCTTCTGAACAATCTTTAATGTTTTTTGGTGGCATACCAGTCGAGGGATGTCAACCACATCTGGTGTATGAGTTGTTTGTGTCTATATTGCTGTACCCCTAGCTAGAGAAGCTTTATACTTCACAGCACATGTAATACAACACCCTTTCACCTCATTATATCATATTGGACCTTAAAATGTATTGACCTTGACATCTCACAGGCCATGACCTTGCCGCCTATAGGTTGTTGACCTTTGAAAACCCTCATCATATTTGACCTGAAAGTTTGTTGACCCTGACCCTCCACAGGCTGTGACCTTGACCCCTACAGGTTGGTGACCTTAACCTTTGAAAACCTTCACCTTTATCAAATGTGACCCAAGGGGCGATTTACACATGTAGTGTTCTCTGACAAGCTTGGTAAGCTTCAGTATTTCCTGCTATGCATAGAGCATTGGGGTATGGGCATGTTAACAGGAAAATGTATAGTTTCTCCACTCTTTCCTCTCTCAGCAAGCATCTATGTATGCATGCCATTTATTATAGCAGTACTCCACTATGTCGTTAAAAATATTACCGTTTAAAAGGTGAACCATCATCACTGCCTGTCACACTAAAATTGGTGTGATCAAATTATGTAATTATCAAAAAAAGTATGAAGCATTTAGTACAAAACTCTTTTACACAAGTATATAGAAAAATAAACCTCCTTGGTATAACTTTTTTTCACTTTTACTTTGTTAAACACTGTGAGAGATGCTGTTTATTTTGTTGACCGTGAAGGAAAGTTGGAGCAGTGACTGTTTGTCTTTTATTTCAGTATATGCAGGCGGGACCCTACCACCAGATGGCCTACCCAGCAACTGCCACCACGCCCATTTTACAACAACAAATACAGTACGAGGTGAGTAGTTTTCAATCTTAGGCCACATTCAGAACAGTGGACTAACTAGTCCGAGAGTCAAATATGGCAACCCACTAAAAAGCTTGTCGTCTACTTCCCTAATAGGCACTGAATATATTCCCTGTGGGGAAGTATTTTAAGTGGGTCAGCCATATTTGACCCTCCGGCTGGTTAGTCCACTGTTCTGAATGCCTTACGCAGGTGCAGAGGCCTTCTTTTGGGTCTTCCAGAAGACAGTCAAATTTTTTTCAAGTTTACATTGACAGGCATCTAATTTTCCTGTCAGAAGATGATCAAAAATGGAGGATGAATCAACAAAGATAAATTGGGAAGACTGCCAGAAAATGTCTCGGGATCTGCCAATTGCCAATGGTTTGGTGTATGGATATTAAACAGAGGAATTTTTGCAAATTAACCAGTCTTGTACCACTCACAGTTCTAAGCTTTTCTTGTAGGTAATATATTTATTTATTTATTTATTTATTTATTTATTTATTATATTCATATTTTCAGGACAGTACTTCAGCCCCAGGGGCACCAGAAGAACACCATCACTATCAGTACACACAAACAGCTAGTGCTAAATAAGACACCCCTTGCCCCCTCGGCAAGTCAAGAAGGGTTTTTTTTTAATTCTGAAAAGGAAGGATTTCGACATTTTCTTGGGAACAGACACGCTGTTGTAAACTTAAATAGAGGTGCATTGCCAATCACTAATATTTCAAGAGGCCAGAAAATTTAGCCTGTTTAAGATGGGAAGTGTCATCGTATTCAAGATGGATGTTTCTTGGGGTTTTGTGCACTTTTGTAGAAAGGAAGAGCTTTAGGACTTTCCCAGTTTCTTCTTGTTCCTCTATATCAGTATTGGTTATCCAACCACAAGATGATTACAATAACTGGAAAATATTTGGGCTGTAATGTATGAATTTGTTATGATCATGGAACAAAGGTTCATGGATTTTTTCATGACTATGGAAGAATGTGTTTTGATTTTGAAATGAGATAGAAGAGTTTCTATCATGGAAATTACAGATTTGCTGAGCTTGGAATGGTGCTTAAAAGAAAACCCTGAATTTCAAAATGAGCTGTGCATTAATATTGCTGCTGGCTGAAAAAACTGTTCAGTAATTGTGGTAGATGAGACAAGCGATTGTGACGACCATGGAATACTTTATCAAACAAAACACGAACCAGATTACTTGCTGATTTGGTATTATTTAAATATTTCGTTTTTTTAACAGCAATTGCCAAGAAGACTGGTCCAAATAAACAAAATGACGTTTTTACTTGAAATTGCTGTTAAACCATTTCCTTGCATGAAGAAAAGGCAGAAATTGTGGAGGGAAAAGGAAAGATATTGAAAGTGATACCTACCTTCAAACAATGACAGAAGTATTTGGTATGTCCTGAACTATGCCTTTTGCAGATGACTTCCTTTCAATTTGTATAGAATGTTCTATACCTTGTACAAAATACCTATGCTGTGTACAGAACTTTTGTGAGTTGTGTTAGTATTGCATGCTGTTAATTTTTAACATTGATTAATTACTTTCTTTTAAAATTATTATAAAGGTAAAAAAAAATGTTGTAAAGATGTCAGCTGGGCAACAACATTTAGAGAAAACTAGAATCTTAACAAAAATCCTTTGGGGGAAGACTGATGTCCCATTTTGTTGTTACTGTTTATTTATTTATTTATTTATTTATTTATTTATTTATTTATTTATTTTATTTAACCCTAGTTGCTGTCATAGAACCTTTTCCATTCATGTTGTCCAGTTACTAGATGTGTTAGTGATTTTAGCGATAGATGTGCTCAAAATGTAAATAGAATAAGTTGTGTACAAAGATGTAAACTGACAAGAAAAGGCTACATTGTTGACCACCAGTCTGAACCCTGGATTAACTCTCCATCATGAGTTATACACAAGCAATTTACCAGTAGCAACCCTCATGACAGATAGCCCTAAAGAAGGTTGCTGTGTTGAAAACTGGGCGTGCCTCGGTTTAGTGACAACCATGATAGGGTTTAGTAAGTAGCAGTTAGCTATGTAGGTTGGCATGAAATTGTTAGTAGATAGGACTTATGTATATTGGTTTCCACGCATGGAGAATATAGTTGCCAAGTGCCCTAGATTTATTGAGACGACCTAACGATTGGATCTATTGTCCAGCTTCCCATAATGACATCTGAGAACGTTGGCAGTATTTTACAGAGAAGATGCCTAACAAGACACTTGACTCTGTCCCACTCATGGTTTTGCATCTCCAGGATTTTTTTAAAGACTTGTCCTGAATGATGAAAGCCGCATGGCAACTATACCTTAGTCCCTTTATGAAGTGTTCATTCATTGTAAATATGTTAGGATTGACTTAAGTTTTTTCTCTGTTGAGAAGTATTGTTGCAGGGAAATGTTCAAGCTGTAAATGGCATGTCACAGATCCTGCTGCCATCTTGTGACTGCGCACAGACTACTTTGATCAAGGCCATTTTGCTTTTGTCGAAACTATTTGACAATTATTTCATTTGGCCTGATAGTAAAACATCTTAAGTTTGAGGAAAACACCAGGTACATTTACTTTTTAAGCTTAATGTAGTCACACTCTGTGGATTCAGAATGTTTTGTGATAATGTGATTGGGTTTTTGTGTATTTGTGCTTTATGACAGTATTGAGGGTTATTTTTTTCTTTGAAATTTACATGGCCTCAGATGTAAAAACAAGAATGTGGATATAACCAATCAAAATTGAGGCAGCCATTTGCTGCAGGAAAACAGTGCAATATGACAACTTCTATCTTATCAGTCAATCTATTTTGTCTGCTTAGTGAAGAATTTATGTATTGGAATGTAAATCTTTTTACATTGATTCATATACTACTTATACTATACAGTCATCTTTTGACCATATTTTGTCTGTCGGGTTTTAACAAATTTTTGAAAAACATTAATATATCTAGTTATAATAACCTGTTAAATATGATCATCTGTTAATGCAGTGTTGACCACTGAAAGTGAGAATGATTGGTTGCCATGCCATCCTGTATCCGTGGTTACATGGTTGAATATTTTTGTTGCTATGGTTATTTTTCCTTTTACGGCAACATGTCAACAGAAGTCATTTTTCACATATCTGTTATTGTTTTTTATATCTTTCTTTGCACTTCTAAAACAGTTGAGAAACAGTGTAAAGGGGTGAGTTCTTGCAGGGATAAGTTGAAAGGTTACTTTCTTGAACGGGGGCAATCCTGTATGGAGTTGCCAGCACCTTGATCGGAACAAGTGCAAAACTTTTCATGTAAGTTCCCTCTCGAAAAGTGCCATTTTGTACATACTTAAATTACTCCATTCTTTTATTACTGGCACGCTGAAGAAGAGCCCAAAAAGCCATAGCAAGACTAGGTAAGAGAAAACATTGGTTCTGCTCTGTTTTCAATGCCTTGGCACCTTTAACTGATTCTGCAGTACATGCTGTAACGCAGGAGACCAATGTCACCAACGTCGCATTACAACAGGGCGAACTGCAAGGTGCCCGGTTCGCCCAACGAGTCAGAGACGTACGTGTACTTCCATAACTCAGCGTGTAAACATGACTCTGCGTGTATCTCCGTAACTATTGTGAACTGGGCATTATATTACTGCGCCTATGGCTTCGCGTTTGACCCGTCTGGACGGCTTACGTAATGGCCAAGAGATCCGAATGATTTCTTTAAAATGACACTTTAGAATTAAAAAAAAAATAGTCGGTAGCCAACATCTTTTGTTATAAAGGCGTCGTTTCACGGTTGTTTTTCTCATTTATTTGCCAATTTTTACTCGTTAGTGAGCACCCGGTTTTGATGCGTCGCGACGTGACATTGGTCTTTGAGGAGAACGCATTTGCTGTATATCGGAATAAGATGTCTATATGTATAGTTGCAATAATGAATACCGTTGAGGAGTGATGAAGTTGCTAATGTTTTGTTTGGGAATTGATTAAAAACGAATAAAAATTGTTGAATCGCCATTTTAGAGTTGTGTTTTGACTTCGGATGTGACTGAAAGACAATTTTACACGTTTGATTTATCATAAATAATGTTATTATTTTGATAACGAGAAGATACATTTTATTAACAGAGGAGTAATTCAAAGGGACTGCTGCAGACCACAAGATGGTCAAAACTTAGTTTTCCTGCATTAGCTGTGTACAGCGTCCTGATAATTTATTTTTCTATGATGAGTATAGAACTCCGACAAACAAATTACTGTAAGAAAGCAAGAAAGAAATACGATTGGTCACGGCGTCTCGCTTCTTTTATCGAAAAATCAAATAGTGGGGAGAAGACATGGCCCTTGCTAAAAGGCATATAGGCGAATTATTGGAGCAAAATGCACTGAAATGCTCTTTGTGTGAACCTGTGATGATTTCCCTTACCGCCCAATGTCACCGTGACATACGAAAACTTACGATTATTATTCTAACATCTGTGTCCTGTGGCCATTTCTAGATTCAATTTCTGATTTGTGGGACAAACATAGTAACCAGTCTCTTGGTACGTTAAAGTGACATGCTGAGCTCACTGGAGTGACCGTAGACTGAATGAGGTAATAAATGTGCCTCAGCTTAGGCCACTTTTGACAAAAAGAACTTAAGTTCGAAAAGTGGCTTACACTTTTAGTCTAAAATTTAAGTCTCATTTAATCCAAGAGAAATCAGCAAATCTCCAATTCGGTAGGAAATTGAGTCTCTGTTACAACAAGCAAGAAGGGGCTAATGTTTCGGATCTAAACTTACTTCATTTAAATGGGCTATTTTACGGTGATTATCAAACTATATTTCTATATCTATTAATGAAGTAAACCAGGTTTTGGTCCGTAAGTATAAACAACACTGGGCTAAAGATATTTATTTAAACCACCCAGTCGACTCAGCAACGCATGTAATTTAAATATGCATTGACATCTGGGAAACTTTGCATGTCAAGTGACTTCATATACAGTGAAGGTAAAATCGTAGAATCGTAGGCCCGTTGCCGTGAAAAGTTGGAAGCACGTTGTTATTGAAAAGACGAGGAATACAACACCATGGCTAGCCAAAATTAAAGCGACCGTGTGTTTGCGTAAAGAAACAAAAGAGAAAAAAAATAGAAACAGTAGTTTAAAAAAAGACAAAAAAAGAAGGGAGGGGCGGAGGAAGAATGAAGGGAGAGTCAAGACGTTGACTTCCTACCCGCAGTATTAAGGTGATCGTTAACTTCTGATCCAAGACGCGTCTAACTTAAGTGTTTGACGTATCCTAGTTTTGGGACAGCGTTTTTTGTTTGTTTGTTTGTTTGTCTTTTAAACCCAGTTGCCTTGTCCTGTTTTCGTCTTGACAGCAAGATCCAAGTCCGTCACGCGTCCTCAGTTCCTTCCTGCTTTGTCATTGTTGACATAACCCGCATTATTATGGCATCGAAACTATTTTTACCTATGTCCAGCAAGAAAATTACTTAACTTAAAATGAGCCCCTTTATGGCCCCCTTTCATGCTCCCCAGACCGTTTCCTAGGGCTAGGTATATCATCGTTATGGTTGAATCCCAAGGACGTTTGGTTTGAAGCCGTTTGAAGCTGTGCTATGTGCGATACTACCAACTTGTAGCCTTCTACAGTTGTACCTATATCCAGGATACCCTGTACCAGGGCCAAGAGGAGATTCTTCACAGACATTTCTTTGGCTTATTCTGTGAACATTTCTGTGCCATGAGTTTTTTTCTTTTATACATTACATGGCGTCATTACTTTCCTGGTCTCTGGTAGAGAGTAAAGATCCGGTTTTGGAAATGAACTTGGTTTCAGGAAAGAAATTAGACTGTTGGTCTTTAGGGATTGAAAGCAAATAGGTTTAGTCAGGTTAAGGATAAATATGTAGTAAACCACACAGTGAAAGTAACTTGTAGTCTGAAACATTTGCCACATTTTCTCCTTTAAAATTAAGACACAGGTGTGGCATTTGATCTCAGCACACTACTTATCAAACTCCCACTGAAACTGGTCCTGATCCAGTGATTAATCTTTCACCTGAAACGTGTTTTGTTTTTCTCAGAATTGCAGTTTTCAGTTTGACCTTATAAAGTATTTTGAAGCGGGGAAACAAAGAATATCTCCACACTGTTTTTTTTTCGTATGATTTACCGTACTTAATCTCCATCACTTTATACATTTCAAGGGGGTATCCTCTACCAGGGCCGCAGTTATTATTGTGGACATTTTTGGCTGAAGCGACAGCAGACCAAAATGACTGTCTATTTATCTTGAGACATATTTGTGAATATCTGTGGAAAATCAATCTGTCGCCCTGGTAGAGGGTATCAAAGGGGTGGGGGAGGAACAATGATTGGAAAATATAAAGCAACAGACTGAAAATTCCACTATAATATGTTCCCTTTACCAGAGCCACTGATCGTTTTTTCACTAGATAATCACAGATATGTCTTTAGATAAATAGACGGTCATTTTGCTATCTCGCGATAGAGAAGAGTACACGTGTTTTCCTCGGGCCTGGTAGAGGGTACATGTATATGATATGTGGGGTACGTAATGGTGGAAAAAAGTTTGGTTTTGATTCGTTTTGTCTCCACCCACTTACCTCCCTATGCCAAGCCAAATGCTGGCCAAGAACTTTCTCCTATTGTGAACTGATTTAACACCTGTACAATTTTAGCATAACGCCAGCGTTAACACAATTAATTTATCTGTAGTCTCTTTACACCCTCCTCTTGCCCATTGCCATTGTTCTTGAACGCAAAACACATTAAAAGAATCAAAGACACGGTTGCGGGAGTTGACATACGGTAGGTCTTCCAAGTCTTTAAAAGAGGTCACAAAAGCGTGGTTTTACTATAGACACCTAGCAGCATAGAAGACATCAGGTTTTCCAATGGGAAAGTAAACAAGTTGTGGTCCTTCTTTTGGCCTTGACCAGTACACGATGTATGGAAGGTTAAACTTATGGATCAATTTCACAAACTTCTATACGCGTTACTAATCTCAAAACTGCGTGCGTGCTGCCTCCATATCATTGTTATTATGACGATGGATGACATTTCTGTAATAATATAATCGTTTATTTTTGTAAATGTGGCGATTGAGTAAGACGACAACTCAAGTGATGTGAAAGCAACCTGTTATTAGTGCGACAGAGCGTGGAATTTCCGTTCAATTTAATCTTCCTATTTTCTGTTTATGTTTTTGTTGATATTATGTGCTTTTATTGCTGAGAGTGAATTAACTTACTAAAAAATGCACAATTTTTTATGTCTTGAAAACGCAAGAAATTCAAACAAAGGATATCTTGGATTAAGGCAAGATATGGAAAATGCGTTTTTGTAAAGTATCTTAAAATGCTGTTTTTGATTTTAGAACTCGATAGTATGAGGGTAAGTAATCACTGGAAAATTGCCGAGGACGCCAGGTAAATTCATTAAATGTAATTTTTCACGCCGTGTCCCTGTATATGCCACTTTAAGTATAGAATCTCTATCCCGTTAGGAAAACCTAGCCCGATTTGCTCAAGTAAGCTTATACCTGCAAATGTAGTAATGCCACAGTGCTTAAAATTGGCGTGTAATTGACGGCTATGCATTTCACTTCCTAGGACGATGAACATGACTTTTTGCTACGCCCCTTTTTGTGTCTCCTCAGTTTTTGAATATCTTCATCTGACAAAAATGGTTTTCGAATTTACACATTTCATGTACAGTGTTCGCATGGTGAATTCAACTTCAAGATGTAAGTCAGTTATCATCGCGCCAAGAAAAATCCTATCATTCCTTATAAAAAAATCATATAATAATAAATTAACTATAACATTGTCAAAAACATCAATGTGTCCCGATTACGCTCTCGAGACAAACCTACGTTTTCTTATTCAGGGTAATTCACTTTAAATTCAGATTGACATTTTTCTATGTAGATGTTCCCGGTTGTTGTAAGTTCGTCGTTATGGCTCTAAGGGTCTAAGTCATAAGCAACTGATGGAGTGGATCCAGGATTATTTGAAAGGGGGTTCCAGTTTTTTTAAAGAAAGACGGGTTTCGGATGGGAAGCCGACCCTTGCCCCCTTGGTGTGGGGTTCGGTGTTTTGCAGGGCAAACAGTCCGATTTGGTGCAGTTTAGAACTTTGATTCAGCTCTTCAAATTTCGAATATCAAGAGGGGAATATTGGTGTGATTTTTTTCCCAGTAACCCCCCTGACCCCCCCCCCCCCCCTGCAATCCATACTGGGATGATACGAAGAGGGCAATAATCATCGCCTCAACCTTGGGGAGAGGGAGTCGGGGCGTGACATGTCCACCGAGTGGATCTACCTTCCGCACCAATGCGCACCAATGTGACATACAACACCCCAGTGACAGGACAGGAAGAATCAAAGGGTAGTTTGTCAACGGCAAAGAATACCACCTGTCATCTGTAATGGATGTAATCAAGCAAGGTGCCCGGTCTGGCCAGTTCGGTGTCCCAGGGTATCAGTATAAAATAGACCGCGCCTTTCACACCCAGTGACTTAGGTGCACATACGCTGACCGTACGCTTCGTCTTAGCGTTCCGCTGCAATAAGTCATTTCAACGTGTTTGTGATCAACGAGAATCATGGTAAGTTAAAGTGGATGTTTGATTCAAATAAAAGTACTGGACTTGAATAGCATATTTTGTTATATCGTTGCCTAGTGTCAAATATGTTTTAAAACGACAAATCTTGACCTTAAGTCTTCTATACAGCGCATCGAGAACATCAAAATTTTGCTATCCGCATTGTTCTTAAAGGCAACGTCTCGAACAATGTATAGTACAGTATGATGCACGTCGTCAGTCGTTCTTTTATCTAATTTTGCATACAAAGAGTTGTCATGTGACCGTGACGATATACGCTATATTCGGTTATAGCGTTTTTTTTTTCGAAGTGCCAGTACTTGTTTTTCGATTTGTATTTCAAATAATACACTGCCACCTTTTTCGCGAGGGTCGACCGTGAACACTTCGAGCGTTAAGCCCCCTTTACACTGGACGGTGTCCTTTCTGCGTCCGTTATTCGGCCCCGTTTGAGAGTAAAAAACAATAATACTTTTAGTGCTGACAACTAGTCGATCAATGAGCATTCATTTTGCAACCAAAGCGATGCTCGTGCCTCCTTTTTACGACCACAGCGATACCAGTTTCAAGGACGCAGAAAGGATGCCGTCTTGTGCAAAGGGGTTTTTAGTGAGGGGTACTATGGCATATAGCGTTTACGTCACAGTGCATTATCTTAGACGTAAACTGCGATTAAATACCAAATTTAACACTGTAACATTTTATTTATTTATTTATTTATTTATTTATTTATTTATTTATTTATTGCATTTCAGCCTCTGTTTAACCTCAGTGGAAACCAGTACCTCCGTAAGTGATACATTTGAGATTATATATGCACAGAAATATTATTCAAGAAAAAATAAAGAATCGCAATTGGATTAAGCCAGTAGCATGTAGGCTGCTTTTCAACCTATTCCTTGGATAAACGTTTATTTATTTATTTATTTGATTTGTTATCTTTTCAAAGTTTAGTGCGTTAGTGATGGAACATTTTATTGCTATTACCTTCGTCGTAAAAATAAATCATGTTCTCAAACAAAATACCATTTCAAATTTTTTACTACACTTGAGCTCAGAAAAAACGCTACAGATTGTTACTTTTTTGTTACCATTTGTTACCGAAAGTAACTTACTAGTTAACAGCAATAATTAAAGGGTTTTAGAGCCGACACGTTATGTACCTGTACAAAATGCAGGTGTTTACGGTGTATCGGTATTCTTTCTCCAAGTTCTTACGCAAAACGCAAATACTTACGCAAAATATGCTTTTTTTCCAGAAATTTCCTGCTATTTCAACAAGTACGCCAACAACGGCTCTCTTGGGAAGCAGGAGATAAAGGCTGCACTGAGCAGGAATGGCATTGAGGCGTCTCTTGATGACATTCAGGGCATGATCGACGCTATTAGTATCAACAGTGAGTGTTTTTGAATCTTTATTTACGTCAAAGTGAATACTTTTTTCATCCAGTAAATGAGTTACATTATACTGAGATTATGAGAAAATTAACTGATGCTGGATCTTAGATCACGACGATTTTGAATTGCGTCACCAATGACAATTCAAAACCAGTTCATGCTTGCGATAAAGGTCGAAACCTCGTGATCTTCATTTTAACGTGAGACCCAGTATCATATTTAATTTTTCCGTTACCTCAACATTTTTATTCATGTTCATCTAAGAAGGCAAAGCGGCAAAGCATAATCGTATTAGTTAAAATCAATTTTGATACTTAAAATGAAAAAAATCAGTCCTTGTATTGTTTAGTTATGATAAAAGATATGACTTACCAAAATGAACGAAAATTTAAAAAAACAAACAAAAAAAATGTGTTTGAATATTGATTTAAAATAACAATTCCCTATAAAAAATAGGCACCGGTATCAACCTGCAGTGCTTCCTTGACTACTGCGCCACCTACACCGGTCTTCGTGACACAGACGCGGAGTACGCCGAAGCCTTCCGAGTGTTCGACACCACCGGATCCGGAAGTCTGACACGTGACGAGGTCCAATACGTCATGACTAAGATGGGGAACAAATCGTTCGACTGCGAGGCTCTTTTCAAGGAGGCCGACAAGAATAACGACGGCACCATTGACTATGAAGGTAGGAAGCAAAACCAAAAAAAATCAATAATTTTTGCATTTAGATGTGCATTTAGAAAGGAGATCAGCTTAGATATACATTGCTCTTTATACAGACGCTTTGTTGATTGCGCCTGAAATGATTTAGTAATTAATGCATTGATTAAATTTTTGATTTATAAGTTTTTTTATTCACTTGATACCTTTCTGTTTGTTTTATCTTTTATTTACAGTTTGCAATTAATGTTTATATACAAAAAGACAAAAAAAAACTTGTGAGGCGCCCAGGATTTATTTGTACATTGGAGGCATAGGCCCCTACTGTGTCTTTCCGATATACGTGGTTATGTGTGTCCGCCAGTCATGTATAATTTCCCATTAACACATAATAACAGTTTCTGCAATTTAACTTCCAGAGTTCGTTGCCGTCATGAAGCAGAAGTTCTAAGATTGGAATGGGAAAAACCATCCAATCAGTGAAGGCAGACATGGGCACGTGGCACAAAGTACTAATTGCTTATCTAAACCCAGCATTTCAAAGAACGAAAGTGAAACGTTATCTGGACTCGTATTAGCATTGACGTTGTCTTATAACAAGTAAGTTCGAATCAAAGTATAACTTCGACTTTTTGACTTAAAACAGCAGATCTTGTGCTAACACGTAACCAATGACAGGATGGTGCCGACCGCAGAATGGTCGGTGGTACCCGCCAGGAGGGGGTTTATACTCTCGGCATCAAGACTGGGAGGAAGAAAGAAGGAAGGAATTAATTGGAAGAAAAAGAGATAACACCTGGAAGACAAGGACAACAGCTTACCTGAGCCGTTGTTCTGAAAATGGACGACAATTCTGAGTGAAAACGAAGAACTGGTGCATTAATTGCGATTTGAAAAATAAAAATATAGAAAGCCTATAATTGCTAATGTAGCAAATTCAAAACTCTACAAACATTGACTTGTCTTTAATTCGTACGGTGTGCCGATGCTCTTCTTTCAGACGCAGCTTACATTTACCATCAGAAAAAAGTAGAGTTTCGAACACAGTGGGTGTTAAAGCCGGGAAATGCATTATTCATTTTGGTCATATACATGGATTGTAAGGCTTTTATAGCTAAAGATTAGAATTAGTTGAATAAAGCTTAGTGAGTAGTGCAATTGTGAGTGTTGGAGTGCGTTTGTTACACAAAGTTGGCCTTCAAAATAAATACTTCAATTTAAGCGCGTCCTTGGGGCATCCTTTGTAAAAAATAAAAGTCAATCTGAAACATACTGCCCATCCATTGCTTTCGTTTTTTTTTTTTTTGTTTTTTTTTTTTTTTTTTGCAATAGTTTAAAGGAGGCGGCACATTTGTCAATAGAGCAAGTCACAGCTATTTTGGGACGGAGACGTAGGCAAGCCGTTGGTGAATAAAAGAAAGGAGGACGCACGGCTAAAAAAAAACGATTAAATGTTTCAGCAAGTATATCTAAGAACTCAATACGTTGGACCGAGGCCGTTTGGGCACGTCCTCTGCTTTGAGGGCAGCGCATAACGCTGTTGACATTATTCCCTGATTTAAGTATGTGTTAACATTTCATGTTATACAATAGTGCATATCTGTTATTACTGCTGAAAGTATTAGGTAGCGCATTCCATCGCACTGAAAATGTGCAGCTCATGTGTTTGCGATTAAATGTGCCCCCATTATCCCGTGCGAAAATTACAAATTCTAAAGATTTTGTTCGCCGTGATAAATGGCACTACTCTGCTATTGCGGGACTGATATCACACTTGCTTGTTATTCCCGCTTGGCTGAATAACATTATTTCCATTATGATTGGCATCTTCTATTATTATTATCATAATCCTTGTTGTTGTGAGTTGCAGCAGTTGAATAGCATGGTTGCTCTGAGCGTAAAGGATGTGAAAGTAGACAGTAAATGTTGCATGCCGAAATCCTATCCTGTCACGTGCACTTCCCGGCTGTCTTCTCTTTGGGCTTTATGGACGGGTGTAATTGTACTTAGTGTCCCCTCTTGTCGCCCAAAACCAAGGATGAACGTTGCATTTCATTTGCAATTTTCTTCGTTACTGCATCAGAAATCATAGTTTTTTTCTCTCTTTTTTATTACTCGTTATAGATGCACAATTAAGAAAATACAAGGAAATTTAATTAACATAAACTGAAGGGAAAAAAAGCTATGTAACGATAGGTAGGGCTTAAGCATAATGTCAATGCGCTTATCCAAGACGCAGTTTAACTTTATAATATATCATAAACAAGAAAATTTTTAAATAATCCTTATTGAAAATAACTGTGTTCCAATAAACAGCGGCATATCTTTCGTTTGTATGAAAAAAAATAGTCATGTTCTTTTTGTTTGTTATACATATTTCTTTCTGGTGTATTCTCTCTCTCTCTCTCTCTCTCTCTCTCTCTCTCATAAATATTGGTGCGCCGAGTTTAAAGCATTACACTTCGATCCTCCGAATCCTTTGTATGTGAGTGAACAACACCCTTTACTAATTTCAACCCGTGCTTTTCACGAGCACGAGGCGAGTACCCGCCATCGTCACGTTTCAACGCCCAGGCAGCGTGGTCGATTCGTGGATCACACTTCGTGTGCAGCGTGTTTGCGAAGGAGTAATATTTATTAAAATGCATGCTCATTACGGAGATCGGAAGCCCAGTGAAGACGAGGCCAAGCGTGACGCAAATAATTCCAACAAGATATCCTAATAGCTGGGATGGGTAGCAGTCCCCGTATCCGACCGTTGACATGGTAACAATGGCCCACCAGTATCCGATGGGTATATTCTGGATCGTTGATTCATCACTGGTTATTTCCGCGTAGTACAATACGGGCCCGAACAGCATGGCTCCGAGGCCCAAAATTACCAGGAGAAGTCGAATTTCTCTGAAACTTGCCTTCAGTGTCAAATATAGAACTTTCAGAGACACTGAGCATGAAACCAGCCGGCACATCCGAAACATGCGCAAGGTATTGGTCAGCCCGACGAAAATCGCTATGGCTTGAAGTTCCGCAGACGACAGTGACCACATGGCCATGAAATTCCTAAAGAAAATGTACGTGCACCACCTGCACACCATCCAAGCGAGGTCCACGATAGCCTGGGGGCTCTTAAGGTACTCTCTCTTGTTTGGAGCTGAAACCATCCTTGCAAGAATATCCAAGGTGAAGAAAATAGTCGCAACCAAGTCTGCGTACGCTGCTTCGCCCGTGGGTTCTGTTAACATGAACATCATTTCCTTCTTGCTAAAGTTGTTGGGAAAAGAAGAATTCGGTACCTCAAGCGGGGATTTCTGTCGCATTGTTTTCACGCTGTTTATGGCCTCTGTTCCGAAGCAGAGAGCAGCGAATACCGCATAGACAAACATGTAGAACTGAAATGAACAGAAAGGTATGAATGTATTGTGACATACATGTAACATATCGCTTAAACCATACTAGGAAAAAAGTTGTTTATGTTGCAGAGCACATTTTGTTTTGCTTTGTCATGTTATCATAACAGTCATACAGTCTCTCTCTCTCTCTCTCTCTCTCTCTCTCTCTCTCTCTCTCTTTCTCTCTCTCTCTCTCTCTCTCTTACACACACACATTCAAGACATAGTGAGAATTTGTTTCAGTTAACAACCCTTTCATCATATAAACTTTCCCAAAGATTATGGTGGTGATATTTATATTGTCAAATAACACTGTACGTATTTTATATAAGCTAAGCCTGGGTTCCCATGCCTAGATCGATCCATCTAGTGATCCATCAATTTATTGAGACTCCCCAGGGAGATAGATCGATGCAAATGTCTGTGGGAATGGTCCCTATATTTCTTGTATATCAGACTGTCTTAATTCTTAAAATGGTAGGATCTTAATTTAGTGAGACTCCCCAGGGAGATAGATCGATCCAAACGTCTGTGGGAATGGGCCCCTATCTTGATTGTAATTCCTATTTAGACTACCAGCAGCAACGCCAATCAACAGGGGAACAAGGATTTAATGATTAGAAGAGGTTAAAAGCAGTTCGAACAATTTCCTGATGGATGGTCTTCACTCTTAACGAGCACTTGTTGAACGACTATCTGAGCCATGAATGATGATCCGCAACGGACTGAAAATGAATTAATAATCTTGTTTTCAAATGTTTGTCCGACAAACAGCAAATGTTGCATAGCAACCAAGGTTTCTGTCATCATTTGTCCAATCAAATACAAAGTAAGGTGATGAAATTAATTGCGTCCATAGCAACCTAGGTTATACCAACATTACTTAAAAGCAAATAGTTGTCTCATTTTCTCATATTTGTTTTCACATTGGCTCATCAAGGTCAACAGTGAGGATTAATCGCATTGTTACTTGTTTTGTTCGAGAACCGATCTGTTAAAATGGTAGGTTAATGCGAAATACGTATATATTCCTAGTTTGTAATGATATTATGGAAAACTAATGCAAATCGTCCATATTACTTTGAACGTCGGGCAGGTAATGGTAATGGTGATGAAGTGCCTTTTTGTTCGGACATACGGTAGTTTACTTGATGCTGTCAACGTAATTTGTATGATGGATTATATCTATCATTTGACAGCCTGAGCTTTTTACATTCCCAATCATCAGTTTACATCGAGAGAACAGTTTCATTAGCTCTAATTTGAATCAGTTTACATAATTTTACAAAGAAACCTAACTAAACTTCTTTCAGCGTGAAGTTATCAGTATCCACGTAGGACAGGCCGGAGTCCAGATTGGAAACGCCTGCTGGGAGTTGTACTGCCTTGAGCACGGTATCCAGCCTGATGGCCAGATGCCCAGTGACAAGACCGTCGGTGGTGGTGACGATTCCTTCAACACCTTCTTCAGTGAGACCGGCGCTGGCAAACACGTGCCCCGTGCCGTTTTCGTCGATCTGGAGCCTACTGTTGTCGGTGAGCTGCTTATTAGGGCATATGTTTAATTCATTTTATATTCACTGGAGAAATGTGAAATCAATAAAAATCCGTTTTGATCATCTTCTAAGTATTTTGAAACAGACATACATCTTCCAGTAGCGAAATTAATTTATAGAAACATTTAAACGGTTCAAATATCATTTTTCCGGTAAAATAAAAGGATATCCTTTGGCATTTCTCTAAGTTATACTATCTGAAACTATACGGCGGCATTCGATCGAATTTTGTGGCATAAATTTTGACCTCAAATGCATCTTCAAACAACCAGTTTATAACCAGTTTAAAATGATCCAAATCCGAATGGCCTTAATGTTACTTTCCAAGGCGACGACCAAGACGTTCATAATAATCATATTAAGAGTCCTCATTTACTCCAATACCTTGGTAATTATGAAGAGTTACCTTAATATCATCGCTATAATTTGTAAGATGGATGGCGCAGTTTGTGTTCAGAGAACAGAACGAGCGCGCCTGCAATTAGTTCTTCGAAATTTGTCGTGGAAACATCGTTAATTATCTTTCCGTTGTTGACAGTGATATATCACCACGCTATTATCATCAATAGTACATTGTTACAGTGTAGTGTTGTTTCATTATTCTTGTCTCCGTTAATTTGCAATTTCAAAATGCTATTAGGATACGACTAGAGTCGCGTTAGCTATAGGAAGAGTTTAAACACAAGTCGTTTTTGTCCATACCGCCAGCCAGAAGTGAACCCTAAATTGCAATCACCTTTCTGCGACCTTTCTGTAACGTTGGCATCAGCTCAGCTGGATACCATGGAGGGGGCTACAATCAATGTGTTGTACTTTAAGTTAGAAATGATACCCTCCGTATTAAAACTGTTCTGAACGCGACCAGACATCCATAGACACGGTTTATAGTATATGGTTAAACCTAGGAAGATGATGCATTATCTAGTGATAGTGTAAACCAATTGCTGGAAATTTCATCCCACAAATAACTCACAATGAGTTCAGATCTCAGCCAACGGAAAGGCAATTACAAAAAAAAACAAAAAAAACATACATGTACATTAGGAAACGCGGATTTAGATGAATATTTAATTCTTTTATCCCTTACTAATAACTGACAACAATGATAATTCCTTATGACTTAAAATTATCACAGAAAAATTTAGTGTGGGGTCACGAGTGTGATGTCCTTGTGACCTATATCGAGAAATCAGTTTCTTGTAGTCTTAGTGCCCCGACTTTCAGGAAGAATTCAATCATTCTTTTTTTCACTAATGGATGCAGTAAAGATGATCGAAATGGCCAACATGAATTTCAAAATAAACAGGATCGTCTAAATTCTAAAAAGGGGACAAAGCAACTTCTCTCATATGTTGACTAGGGACGGTTTTGGGAAGGGAATGCTGGCAAGATTTGCCCGATGGACCATTTTGCTAATGCTTTCTTTATCCCATCAGTTTTTTCTCCTGAAATACATCAGTCTATCAACAGGCAAGTGTGTCTCATCATCTTGAATCCAGCATGTTAATTTGATGTAATTTCTTCTTCAGACGAGGTACGCACTGGTACCTACCGTCAGTTGTTCCACCCGGAGCAACTGATAAGCGGCAAGGAAGACGCTTCCAACAATTACGCCCGTGGTCATTACACTGTCGGCAAGGAACACATTGATCTTGTCCTGGACAGAATCCGTAAGCTGGCTGACCAGTGCACAGGTCTGCAGGGTTTCCTTATCTTCCACAGCTTCGGTGGCGGCACCGGTTCTGGGTTTAGCTCCTTGCTCATGGAACGTCTCAGCGTCGACTACGGCAAGAAATCCAAGCTGGAGTTTTCCATCTACCCGTCGCCTCAAATCTCCACTGCTGTCGTCGAGCCCTACAACTCAATCTTGACCACCCATACCACCCTTGAACATTCCGATTGCTCGTTCATGGTGGACAATGAGGCCATCTATGACATATGCCGTCGAAACTTGGACATCGACCGTCCAACTTACACGAACTTGAACCGTCTAATCGGTCAGATCGTCAGCTCCATCACTGCTTCCCTGCGTTTCGATGGTGCCCTGAACGTCGACTTGACCGAGTTCCAGACCAACCTGGTGCCCTACCCACGTATCCACTTCCCTCTGGCCACCTACGCCCCAGTCATTTCAGCGGAGAAGGCCTACCACGAGCAGCTGTCCGTTGCTGAAATCACTACAGCTTGTTTTGAGCCGGCCAACCAGATGGTGAAATGCGACCCCCGCCACGGCAAGTACATGGCATGCTGTTTGCTTTATCGGGGAGATATTGTACCAAAAGACGTGAACGCTGCCATCGCTACCATCAAGACCAAGCGTACCATCCAGTTTGTGGACTGGTGCCCAACTGGTTTCAAAGTCGGCATCAACTACCAGCCACCCACTGTCGTCCCCGGCGGTGACTTGGCCAAGGTGCAGCGTGCCGTGTGCATGTTGAGCAACACCACCGCCATCGCCGAGGCCTGGGCTCGTCTTGACCACAAGTTCGACTTGATGTACGCCAAGCGTGCTTTTGTCCACTGGTATGTCGGTGAGGGTATGGAGGAAGGGGAATTCTCTGAGGCTCGTGAAGATTTGGCTGCACTGGAGAAGGATTACGAAGAGGTTGGTGTCGACTCGGTTGACGACGAAGGCGAGGAAGACGAAGGAGAGGAATACTAAAGGAGTACTTCCACTCTCCACAAAGTACTATAGTCTATTAAATTCTATCATAACGAAGATTTTGTTTTCATCGGCGTTGTTTTGTGAGTTTGTAAACGGACAATACATCTCAACTTCTTTACAAACTTTGCTGAAATATCAAGTTACTCGGAAATAATAAAATAAATGATATAAAACTCCACTGAATACATATCTTCTTATATCCGTCATCCCTTTCAATGATTTACAATTTTCATAGCGGAAGACCTAAGCCCTTGGATTCCTTTCTAGTTGCAGACGTTTTTTCTATTGATGTCACAGTATAATATATATGTACAACGAATTGGCTTACCTTTAATATTAGAAACTTAGACAAATGTACTGCAGTCTACTGACTCTTTTTTTCATATAGAATTGTTCCATATGTGTTATTATAGTTGTTACAGTTAACAGTGTTTTAACCTCAACATGCGTTTCTGTTTTCTTTTGAATGTTTACTCTGCTCTCGTTAAATATAGGCAAAATAAAATGACGATTCGTCAACTCTCGATCCTTGATGAAAGTACATGTATCATAACGGGATCTAGATACACTAGTAACAATTATCTCCACCAATCCTGTGCAGAATATGAATATAGAATAACCTTCATGAAATACGAGTGGTAAGATGGCTTGAGTTAAGAGCGCTAACTCGTTCCTTGTTTCTCAAGTAATAAATTTATGAGTAACCAAAGTTACAATATTTTGTTTGACGATGATTCTGGGAAACATGGTAGTTAAACGAGGGTAGTGTTTATCATGTATGATCTAGGGCACTCTTTGGCACCCTGAGCGTCAGAGATAACTTGATACTTTTAAAAAAGTAACTTAAAACGACAAGTGTACCCTCCACCAGGGCCACAAATTGATTTTTTTTTACAAGATATTCACAGATATGCCTTGAGATAAATAGACGTTCAAATGGTTTCCTGGGAATGTGGAAAAGCTGCCTAAAATATTTGCCACCCTGGTAGAGGGTAGGGCAAGGCTTTGATATAGTGTAGAGGTAAGTTTCAGGTTATCTCTGAAGCTCAGGGTGACGTCAGCGAAGGATGTTTTCCTCCAGATGGCGCTATAATTTTGGATTTTTATATATCTTGTGAATTGCGTTATAAGTACTTCTCACATTTTTATGAAAAGTATGCAGAGCATTTCTTAAAATGGATTTTACACTTATAATAAGCATATCATTTAATATTTTATAATACAGTCTGCTGGTCAAACATGTCAAAAACTGCTCAGTGGAGCATGCCAGTGACCTACATGTACAGTACATGATGGCATGACATTTTAGGGGAAGTTTAGGGTCTGCGATTTTGTTCTTCTGCTATATTTCAAGATATTTTTAAAGACTAATGTGTCCTGTGTATTTTTTATTTTACTTAAATAAATGGTTTTCTTCACCCGTCAAAAATTGATTAGTTTGAATAGAAAAAGTCCACACTTCGTCCTGCCTCCTCCCCTGTAAATCTAATAGTCCCGACCAGGTAGAAAGAGATGTCACTTCTTCAGTTCTGAGTGACCATGAAGCGGATACGAAGCGGTCAAGAAACTAAGTATACAAATATTGAAATTTCAGCCGATTCAGGGAACTGTTTTATGAAATTAGATTTGCCATTTTATTGTAACTTATTTGTGACTCATTTTGGAAGAGCATTTTAACACGCGTATGCTTAAAAGTAGAGTTGGCCATTCCCCAATATTTTCCCCATGTAACATTTCGCTTCCTCCACAATTTCATTTATGCATGTCCATAGAATTTGCAAAATATCACTTATGCCTTTTTGATAACTATATAAAACTTCATTTGTAGAAAAATGAGAGTAGATATTTGTTCTTGAGAAATAGTCAAGAAGGGGGAAATACTGTGGAGTGGCCCTTGAAAAACCCTAGTTCTTGTGACCTATTTGTCACTGTATTCATTATTGAGACAGGGACGAAAGTTAAAAGGATAAAAACCGTTCATTTTGGCCAAAAAATGAATTTTCCTGGGGCAAATGCCAATTCCCCCATACTTCCCAGTGGTTAATGAATCCATTACTACATTCAAAGTTAGTCCCTGTTTTTTTCTAAAAAGTTTTTTTTTAATAAACTCTTAAGAGATTATTGGAGAGTGTAGCCATCTATGGAGGTTACGTGATTCGATGACTAGCACAGATTTCAGATTAATTGTTATAACTGCCTTCTTTTGTGGTAAAATAGAATTTATTATATTTCATTGAGTTGTTTACAATTTATATTGTGAAATATAGATCTTATACGAAGAGTTAACGTGTTAAACAGTTTAAATGTCAGCACAAAAATTTAAAGAACGCGAAGATTGTTTAATATGTTCACTGGTATAAATAACCCCCTTCACGCATTTTGACGATATTCATTTTGGATTTATTTGCATTATGAAACAAGTAGACAAATTGAATGCTCAACAATTGGTACACAGATGCCTCAATGACTGGACGATCGTGAAAAACCGTTTACAAAATGCGCGGGAAGGATCATTCATTCTAATTTTATCTCTACGTTCACATAAGATTTTATTAACAAAAAGACAATTTAAGTAACAACACAATCCGTTAAAATGTGTGACGGTAATCGTTAATATAGCGAAATCTTCCTGGTGGATGATTGGGTATTCTAGTTATATATAAAAGATAAAATATATTGACAGTTTAAAGCTCAACGGACATTCTTTTCTAATTTTCCAGCAATTTTGCAATGATATACCCTATCCAAAACCAGTGAGAAAATTGCGATTTTTAAGTCCATTTTGGAATTGTTTTATGTATTAATTTTAATGATAATATGTCTGAATTTTCCTTCATGGGTGAAAATCACAAATCTCTATCTGCATAACATAAGTGACTTAAAAACTTTTAGAACTCTGTAGAGCGACAGGCCCGTAGCCAGCAAATTCTTTTCTCTGAAAAAGTAGACCTTATTCAATGAAACCTTCATGTATCTAGATAAAATTTACCCAGAGGGGACCTTATCCCAGCAAAAAAGGGGGAGTCTTTTGAACCCCCTCCCCCCACCCCCCCACCCGGGCTACGGGTCTGAGCATGTTGCTGTAAGTGGATATGGTAAAGCTTGGTCATAGAGGAAAACGCGTTGAAATGTCTAAAGAATTAAAATGTTTACCACATGCATGTAAAGGTCTAATGCTTATTCTATACATCTAACATTTGTTTTTGCTTTTTTAACGGCCAAATAAGAAAAAAAGGCACATAATCTATTAGAAATTAAAAGTTTGCTGACTTCTGAGTGGCAAATGTCAATTTGCGAATCACAATCAATTAGATGTTTTTTGTGAAGTGAAAGTGTAAACAAATTGATTATTTTTTTACGAAAGTTGCTGTATTTTATTATTATATTTTGTAATTTTTTTTGCTGTTTGGTGACTGTATATTTTTTAGCTTTGCAGTTTAGTGTGAATATATATATATATATATACATGTACAATATGAAACGCTGCATATTAATATATCACTAAAAATTTGTAACTAAAAATTTGTAATTTTTTTAACAAATCTCAATTTTGCGTCATGATGAAGGGGCCGTCCATGCGATTGTAAGTGAGCACTGTTTTCCAAATTTTACTGTTCCCTTACCAGCATCTTTCACTTCACCGACCTGATGATGCAGAACATTATTAAAATGTTAATTTTCTTGTGTTTAGAAAAAATGTATATTATAACAGTTGCAGGGTTTCATATCTGTACATGTTGTGCATGTTTTTTTTTTAATAAAATACAAAGAGAGAGTGATAGATTGCAAGGAGATTTTTGTATATTCATATTCTCTACTCTTACGTTTTATTTGATTACGTCAGTCGTATAAATGTCTCAAACTATTTTATAAATGCATTATGACAAATTTTGGTAAACACAACAAAAATGTGTCTGTTTCTTTCAACGACTCGTACCAAACGAGATAGAGATTTGTTTTATTTCACGAAAAGACATAAAAACATTGGCGGATCTAGAATATTTTAGGGGGCTAAATGATGAAATTTGGAGCAATTTAAATTTTGGGACTTGATTATGTGAGCAGGAAATGGGTTTCTGAATGGAAAATGAGCACTCGATCCGCCATTGTTTTGCAAAATTGTAGATATTGAAATACTTTGTATAGTATCAATAAGATCAACCATAAGACGAGTAGTTTAGTTGATAATTTATTAATCAAATCGAATAAGCAAAAATTTGTCTTATACACGTTCTAATAATGCAGACATCAATTATTTTGATCTATATAGTCAACCCTTGTAATAATGAACATATTCCTAAATTTAATTATAAAATTTAAAGACAATACACTTCAACATGTAAATGCTTTTGAAATAAATGAATAAATGATGTAAATTATTTTGCTTTCACAATGTTTTTATTGTTAAATTTAGATATCCTACGAAGAGTTATTATCCCTTTAAAGGATCGATTCCCAAAGACGGTAAATTTTCGTGGAAGAAAAAACGAATGATCGCCTCAAACTATAAAAGAGAGTCCCAAAACTATAAAGGGAAGATGCAAAGTTTAGGGTGGGTGGTTGGGTGAATAGAGCAACTGGTAACGTTGCAGACTACAGACCAGAAGGTTACAGGATCGATTCCTAAAGCAGACATTTTTGTGAAAAAAAAAGAGTATTCGTCCCATAACTATAAAGGGAAGATGCAAAGTTTAGGGTGGGTGGTTGGGTGAATAGAGCAACTGGTAACGTTGCAGACTGCTGACCAGAAGATTAGGAGATCGAGTCCCATGGATCATTCATTTTGTAGAAAAAAAGAATTGGAGTTCATTTACTATAAAGGTTTCGTTTAAATTGCGCGAAATTCTTTGGGTCCAATGGCTCAGTTGGCAGCATCACCGGTTCTAAAGTTATAGAAGGAAGAATAGGAGATCGAAATGGACAAGATAGAATGAAAGTTTTTTTTTTATTCAAATTTTACTAAAACAAACATTAGAGAGAAAAATATGAAATCTGAATAATCAAACAATAAAGAAGTTGAAAGTTATGAACAGTTTTTATTCGTTTAACTTCAGTGATACTAACGCATGGCTTAGAATACGCAATATCAAGGAAATGGCATTGAATGTGTTACTACAAAGTACGACAAGCCAAACATCTGAGTTTATTCGGAGTAATCATTAGAGTTACAATTCCCTGTGTAATACAATTGAAAGTGATGTCTGCGCTCATCGAAACTACAAATCATTATATATAATAATAATAATAATAATAATAATAATAATAATAATAATAATCGCAACCCATAGTTCGAAGTTTTAAAGGATTGTGAAATATATGTATTATAAACGTTGAATATGTCAAATATTGGTAACATATGTTGATTCAGAATCTAAAATGGGACACTGTTGCCATAAACTTTACAGAGCACAAACTAGACTGACATAAATTGTACATAGAAAATATCATTGAAAAAAGCACAACAGACTCGCTCAGTTTGATATATTGGTACAAAATGACGCTGGCAAAATGGTATCTTTCAGTTAGGATTCTCAGTCAAAAAGTAGAAAAATAATTAATACCAGTTCCTTTCGTAATCGTATAAAAGTAAGCAAGGGTTGACTACAAAATTATTCACACATTTGCTCCCTGTCGTGCACAGTTTGTGTACTGTCTCGCTTTTAGAAACCATTTTCTAATATTATGCCATACTTATCTTAAATTGGAAAAGAAAAGTTGTATTATTTAAAATTTGCTTTATGATATTGGCAAAATGTCTCGAACGAAACACAAATGGACTCTATTCAGGGAAATTTGGTAGTTCAATTAGAAACTTTTTTCTCATCAGATTTATTTCCCCATTATAACAGCAAATGTATATTAATTCCTAAAAAAATCTATCCTACCCCTAGTTTGAAAGCGTAAAAGAAATATTTTGTCCCCTTCCAGCACTGAAAATGTTGGTCTGTCACTGATAAGACACAACGCCAATACACCGAGAACCAAAGTTAGTTCATTCTTAGCATGCGTCACACCGCATATTCTTAATTTTATTGAGTTCGTTCTAATACGTGTGGACAACCTGTAATAACGTGAGCAGATTTACACTTTCAAAATGCCGTGATTTCAAGTGTTAGTAAAGTGTTTTCAATAAATTGCAGTATATCTTTTCCTTGACATCAACTGAACACAATATCTCGAAAGAGTTTTCTGTATGTATTTCACGTGTAATTACGACGCATTGCCTTTCCAAAAGTTAACTTTATTCAAATAATTATTTTTGTTCAAATTAAGATAAAAAGCAATTAGTTTCAAGAGCACTTCGTCTTATTACATATTTGTCCACACATCAGTTTACAACAAAACAGAAAACCGGCCGTACTAGCACAGTGCTCTACCATGGCTTACTGATAATTTTACGGCAATCACTTGATCATTTTTGATAATTTTGTAACGATCTCTCAATCATTTTGTTTCCATACATCCCTTAACCAAGGTATTTTTCATCGACATCAAATCTGTTTAACGGGTGCTCCAAAACTGTCGTTTCAGGTTCGAGAACTGATGAAACAAAAAATCTTCTAACAAATTACAATAAAAATCATCGTGAGTGGAGAGAGCACTGTACGGGTATTACGACTTACAAGCACACATATAGTATTAAACCAGCAACAGCCAAACTTCGACAAGCGAGACAATCTTGGCATGGATGCAGGTGCTGGCCATTCAAATCTGACGTCATCCAGGCATCCAGTAAGCGGTAGTTAGGAGTCACTGAAAATAAAAGAAAAAATATAGGTTAACGGGACGGTGGGTAAGGCTTTGATATAGTGGTAAACATATAATCGTTACAAAAACCCACTTTAATTATATTACACACGACAATATAGTAGTCTTTGGTTGATTTAATAGACCAAGGTGTATCCCTCCATGATGATGATGGAGGAATATCGTGAAGATTTCATTTGTGCAAACACGTACCATTTAACACTTAAATAGAAACGTATCGTACTGTAGTAATGCCCTGTATACTAGGAGATTAACAAAAAGTTACCAGTGCTCGGATTACACAAATATTTACAGCAAAACCTGATAAATGAAAACGTTCGAGTGACGGAAGTAAATTGTGATAAATATTTGACAGAGGGGCGTGGTCGGCTGACTAAAATAATTAAACTGTATTCTTTTGCAGTGTGCAGGGACGGAGAAATTGGTTCGACTCGTTTCGTTCGTAATGTTGTTTTAACATTAATTAAAATTAAAATTCCTGGAGGAGAAGGTTTACCTCCAAAGCTATGGAAGGGTTACGCACCCGCTGTGCCCACCCCCCTCCAAGGTACATGAAAAACGCGGATCGTTACTACCCTCTATCAGGACCACAGATTGTTTTTTCACTAGATATTCCTGGATATACCTCTAGCTAAATAATGGAACTTTTCTGCACAAGTGGGTAATATGATAAAAGTTGACCTTCTTCATATCCCAATGCACTAACATAAAGGATTCCGTATTCCGAGCGCTAGCAAATTTAGGTCATCTTGTGAAATCGAATTCTTTACGCAAACATTTCAATACAGATTAGAAGATTACAGGGGCAGAACGTAAATGTAATCATGAACACTGAAGATAAAGGAGGAACACACTACCAACCACACACACACACACACACACATCACATCACGGCTAGTTCTGCAGAGAAACATGTGTTTGTTTGTTTGTTGTAATGAACAGAATATATTTCAAACTTCAAAAAACATATCGCTATTGTCTAGTTACCCATCCAGTCGTCGTGTTAAAGCCGGATGTACGCGTTCAGACCTTTGGACAGCTGGAACAAACTCTTCACTTCTTCATTGGCAAATTCGGCACCTCTGGAAAAATAACAGAAAAGACTTTATTTGAGCTTCAAGCTCGTTTTGGACTGCAAAGCATTCACACCAATGGCTATTATGCCTAAAGTGGGGAATGCAATTGCAACATTTTGAGGAAATTTCGTCAATGCAAATTACTCAAAGTTATCTTAATAATCAGCTTAGTACTTACAATAGGTTGCTGGGGTATTCAGTGCCAAAATATCGTTCAATACGAGGAAAATGTAGCAGCGTGGCATATGGGGCTCCTTTTCCCTCCATTTTCTTCTGACCTTGGTCGTTCCTAAACACTTCTCACTGAAATGCTCTCCTGGATTACATAATTAACACAGTTGACCCTTTCCGCACGGAAACCTCGATTTAAGATTTAGTCTTGACCACAAGTTTGACATGATGTACACCAAGCGTGCTTTCGTCCACTGGTATGTCGGTGAGGGTATGGAGGAAGGATGAATCTCTGAAGCTACTGAGGATTTGGCCGTGCTGTGAAAGGATTACGAAGAGGTCGGCGTCGGAGACGAAGGAGAGGATTACTTTCGGAGTACTTCCACTTATAACGAAGTACTGTAACCTACTCAATTTTATCAAAACGAAGATTTTGCTTTCATCGGCGTTGTTTTGTGAGTTTAAAAGAGGACAAGATATCTCAACACTTTCTTCACAAATTTTGCTGAAATATTCAGTTACTCGGGAGGAATAGAAGAAGTGATCAAAAACTAAATACGGATCCTCTTATATCTGTCATCCCTTTCAATGATTTACATGGATAACTCCATCTCGCACAATTTAATATTGGCAACTTGGCAAAGTGCACTGCAGTCTACAGACTCTAAATTTAATTTAGAATTGTCTCAAACGTGCACAAATAGTTGTTAAAGTTGACAGCGTTTTGTGTTCAACATGCGTGTTTATTTTCAGGTCTACTCTCATGGGAAATAGGTAAAATAAAATAAAATTCCGATTCGTCAACGCGACCTGTTGTAAGCACATATCATAACGGGAATCTAGAAAGACTCAATCATGCTGATGTTGTTTGTTCAAACTAGCCACGTGTACCATCTACAGCTGCATTGTGTCCCAATACATATTTAGCAGTGGACCCTTTAGGCTTACTTTAACGTAGACCCCATACCCATAGACACAATCGGTCTACGTAGATCGATTTAACTTTGTGGGGATTCTCGATGAGTGCAATCAGCTTAACAGATGAACACGCCTCTTCCTGGCATTAAGTAGAATATAGGAAAGCTGCTTGTCATATGAGTAACGTTGTAAACAAAAGAGGCGTACGTGTCATACAGTTAGCTAGAGTCCCGACGGCGTTGGATCGATCTACGTAGACCTAAAGCGTCAATGTGAATGAGCCCTTAAATATGTACTCCGCATTTCTTTCCTTACGTCCAGAGCGTATCGCGCCGACTTGATAGCTGTCTCCATTTCTATAATATTAGTGTACAGTGTATTTCATTCATTGGCTTTTGTTTTAAATATACTTTTTAGACTAACTACTTTATGTCTTTTTCTTTTTAGTAGTGTATCTGAAATCAGAATTCCAAATTATCTATTACGTAGGCATCTCTTTGTAGTCACCTATATATATAAGTGGAATTAATTTTGGAATATATATATATATATATTCCAAAATTAATTCGGTGCATGCTTTTAACGTTATCCGAGTAATGCAGCGGTTAAATCCAGGAATTCAGTCTCAGGAGAGGCGCCTTAAAAGCATTAAGGAAAAGCACTCGCAAACGCAATAGATATTTAGCAAATTAGGGTGCATTACAACAAGTACTATGGGTCTACGTGGATCGACTCAAGTCTGTGGGGTTTCTCGCTAAGTGCAATCAGCTTAACAGACCAACACGCCTCCTAGGGACTTAAAGGAGAATACATACGAGCACTTTGGAAACAAAAGGAGGTGTACGTGTCATTCAATTAAGCTGATTGCACTTAGTGAGAGTCCCCTCGGAGTTGCGTCGATTCACGTAGACCACGTAGATGGTGGCTTAATGGGAATGGGGTCTTAATGTCAAATGATTTATTGCCTTTATACCAATTTATCCACTCACTCAGAGAGCTTGTTTTCAACACGTTTACAACCAACAAGCGGTCAGTCCCGGATGGTGAACAACGTTTATGATCAACATTGTTGTCAGCACTTCCCATTGGGAAACTATATAGTATATAGCAAATTAATCTACGCCAATGCAACTCTTCTCTATCCCTACATACCTATCTAAATTGCAAAACGACTTTTTTTTTTTTTTTTTTTTTTTTGGGGGGGGGGGGTATCTGCGAATTTGTCATACGGTATTTAAAGTGGACCTACATGTTAAATAATTCTTCAGATGAGAAATAGACGAATAAAGTAAATAAAGTAAAAAAAAATGACACACCGAGTGACACAAAGACCTCGTCTGGAATACTAGATCGGTATTTCCATTAATTTCCTTTTAGAAGCGGCCTTATGGTCCATTACTGTCAAATACGTTTTTAAGAGTGCATTACTTCTATAGCTTTTGCTTGCCAATAACAATACGCAAAAGCCCTGATAATCTCGCCTTGGACATACCATAATATTACTTATTAGCCGCAAGAACGCATTACCAGGTAAAATTGGCAATGGGTCTACTCGCAAAGGAAATTAGTTCCATGCTCTAGGTCAAAACTGTGTATCGCAACTCTTATAGTTTTATCCCAATTAAATTAGATTGCTTTTACCAGGCATACATGAACTTCATATACTTTTTAGGCATAGGCAGTGTATAAACACAAAATTATTGGCTAATAAATCTTTATGGCGTAGACCTATAATTTGTGAAGTCTATTATAGCTAGATACTAACCTTTGAACCTCGGCTCGCCAAAGGGTACTCTAGGAACCGCCATATTCTTTGCCGACACGAGTCACAGTCACGGGCGCGCTCAGCAACATCCGATGGCGTCACAAGTTCGCCAAACTCAGCGAGGAGTGCTTCGTTCTCATTCTGCTTCATCTCAAACGCAAAGCAGGACGCTCTGCAACAAGGTGCTAGGAATGTGATGTCGACCTTCCAAAAGTCCAGCTCCGCCAAGATGGCGGGTCCACAGAGGTTATGTGGGAAGTGCAAAGTCCCCGTGGAATAGAGCCCCAGAATGGCAGGAAAATACGTGGCGTCTCGTTCAAAAAATATGTCATGCTCAACCGGATCGACGTCATCTTCCGTCAGCTTGCTCAGCCTGGAATTTGGTATGCTAGCTAATGTGCCCCACTTTGATACGAATTTTGTGCCAGATATGTTTATGGTAACCCGGTTGTTTGCTGGCAACGGAGCCTTGGTTGCATGTGCCGTCTCTGTGACATCCTCAAGGTACCTTGCCCCATTCGGTAAGGTATCCATGATTTAGGAATGTATCTCTTGCTCCAGTCGGCTCCCTCTCGATCGATTATACTAGCAGTGTTCTATGCGAAATTTATATAGCAGTGAATGCCAGCAGACCTTTTAGTGAATCCTTTAATTCCTCTGAGTACAGCAAATGTAAACGATGATTCCAAATTAGAGAGAATTACTTCATTTCGTTTGCAAAGCAACTTACAATGAAGTCGCAAGAAACAGCTGCACATGCCTCAGCTATGAATCCCGAATTTTAAGTCGATGATGTAAACGGTTTCCACTTAATTTATATAAGAGCACATGATCAATACCCACAATTTGCATCAGTAATGATACACCTATAAATTAAGTGTGCAGTGCGCGCTAAGGCGATAAATATGTCGGTATTACATTATTTCTGATCCAGATCTTGCTCTCTTTTGTCAAGCTGTCTTCGAGTATGTCTTGGCTGAGATGCAATGTAGCCATATGTCATTGGCACAAACAAAACCGATTACTGAGTCGACTTTTATCTCGTGTATCGTTCTTACCACACGACTGCTAATGCTTTAAATACTTAAACCATGGTCCGTGACTATCATAAAAAATATCCGTATTTTGGTACACATCAATTACAGCCGATAGCCCAAGGACTAACCCCTACTGAAACTATCGGTTTACATAGATCGATCCAACCCCGCGTGGACTCTTGCTCAGTTTAACAGGTTAACACTCTCCCTCTTGATTCCAAGATACTCGTATAATCACCAATTTCCCTTTATTCTACTCAATGCCAGAAAGGGTGTAAATCTGCTCACTTGATTATATTCAGCGTGAGTCCCCGTGGAGATGGATCGATCTACGTAGAACTAATATTTCATTGGGAATGAGCCCATGGAAGAGGTATCCGTATTTTGGATCCTATCAATTACATCCAACAGCCTAAAACGAATATGCTGGAATATGCTGGTAGTTAATCCCCGTTCTAAGTAGTCTCAAATAACGCATTTCATAATTCACTTAAACCGAGCTACGATCATCGATAAAACTCTAATTACATTACGCAGCTTGTCGCAACATTGTTGGAAACCTATTAGTACAACATTTCTCTCCTGGCTCCAATTCCCTTGAGAGAGGCCGAGGATCAGCATCAGCCTAATAGATCACTCAGTTGTTAGAGTGTTGGTGTCCAGGAAATCAGCATCAAAGGAAGACTCTGGTCACGTTGCATTTTGATTATTTTAATTGCTGTTCAGGTGACTTTTCTCTCTGTAATGAAAATGATATGATTTGCCTTGTATATTTACCTGCCGAGTAATCATTCGTTAAACTCGAACGCAAAGAAATTCTGAATTTGTTTATTCATCAACTGGCAGGCAATATGCCGCTTTGCAAGTCCTTTCCAGCTGGAATAGACTTAATAAGGATTTCAAAGTACTAGTATTCTTTTCTGTTAACCAATATTTTCACTGGAGAAATTGAAGCAAATGTCACATAATACTTTTTTGTCATAACAACTGAATAATATTGCGTTTACTCGTGAGTTCATAAGCTGAGGAAATTGCGAATTTCGATAACCGAAATATGTAATTCAAATAAGCTACGAATCAATACAGTTTAGCCAGTTCGCTTAAACGGTTGAAAGATATCCCTTCTCATATATTGCTACATGTACATACCGTGCATCAGGTCAGGAAGCTCCTTTTATGTGCTGTACAAGTTTTTTTATCTTTTGTCATTACATATACATATTTAGTTATGGATTTGTTTTAGGTCTTCTCTGATCTTGCAGCCATCTTAAGGAGTTCCACGGTCATTTCAGCGTATCTACTGGCCAGCAAGTCGGTCACTCTGTTGGTTCCATAGCTAAGAGTGTAAGCGAAACGACCACGAAATTTGTGAAAGAAGTGGAGAAATGGTATAAATGTTTTCTGTGAGGCTGCAGACGTGACAATACCCGTGGCATGAACTTCATCGTTTTCCCCGCCAGGAGGGCACAGCTTGTCGCAGTCCCCAATATTGGAGGTGCCGAATTCAAATTTACATTCTGGATGTGACAACATGCGTTTTGCACTTCCGTCTCCAGAAGCGAGGTAAGCCGACATTTTACATTCTTGTATGACGTCTCCACCATCAATCTTGGCGTGGATTGCATCCGTTGCACGCGTTGCCAGTTCCCAGAATGATCGATAGGTGGCAGTAGTAGGGACGGTCAAAGTGACGTCCGTGATGCATACAAAATGCCCAAAAGCTTTGCTGAACTCGGGTGCCATAAAACGACGCATGTTTACAGCATGAGAGGAAGATATGTTCAAAACGCGTGACGTCTTTCCCTCATTTATAAGACTTGCTATGGCGATGGAGGCAGCAGCAACAAGGCTACCATGAACAGTCGCCCCATGATCTTTACATTTCGATATTATTCTTTCCGTTTCCGAAATAGTAAATTCCAGTGATAATGATTTCGTGTGGCCCCCATCTGATGTACTGGTAGAAGGTTGCGGGAAGCGTTTCATAAACAGGCTTTTACTTGGTAACCACCCTTTATACATAATTTTCATCGCATAGAAATAGTCGCGCCAACCAAATGCCATTTTCTCCTGTGGCAACAGTTCTTCCAAAGGAGGTTGAAGCATAAGAACATCGCTTCCCTCGGAGGGTGTACCTGTCACGACCTCGTTCAGGATGCAAATCATTCTGTGTAGCATGAATAAGAGAGAGGTTCCATCGACGATCGAGTGATGGATTCCAAACACGACTATGCTGGTGAACCAACTGTTGTCAGCTAGGAGGCGTCCTTCTTTTACGCCAGCCCCCGCTTTAGGCATGCGCAGAATCTCCACTCTCCATAGAGGCCCACTGGTTGCATCAAACTGTTTGCGCATCATGTTGTCGTGCACAGTTGTCCAATCGTCGTCTGACGCCATATGAAAGATCTCGAGGTCTACACAGTGCCCGTTCATAAGCTTGAAATGCCTCTTGCCGTTGTGCCAAACTATGGTCAATTGAAGATGCTGGACATCTGCTTGAAGACGCTTCAGACATAGTTTCCATATGTCATCAGTTACGAACTTTTTTGAATTTATCCACGAAGTAAATGCGACTGTGCCGAGATTTCCCTCTTGCAACACAGCAAAATAGTTTTCGACCCCTCTTAGTGAGCGAAGGATGTTCTTGGGTTTCAAAGAGCAGGTGTTCGAAGCCATTGTCTTAATAGGTGAACTGAAATAACCAAGAAATTGTATTTTTCGTTTGTGCTTCATCATAGGCAAGAATGAAATCCAATGACTGTATAACTAAAATAGCTTTATTAGGGATGTGATTGGCTTGGGTATCAATCTCTCCTAGGCTGATTTTAAACCCTCCTCGGCAAGATTTAAATTTTAATCTCGACTGGGCAGATTAAAAGTCTGCCTGGATTTCAATCTTGCCTGAGACATATATATTTCTTTGGTTACGGTATATTATCTCCCGGATAACCTCGAATAAAACTCTCTTTCTGGATTTCCCTACTACATATGATTTAGATAAATTGCGATTTTGGCTCAGTGTTTGCGAATTAAAAACGAACAAATATGTTATTTGTTGAATATATTGGTGCGAAAAAAAAACTTTGGTGGAACCAAACTTTCACGCATTTTACGTGATATATTCGAATGAAAATCAGAACAACGTGGTCGATTAGCACTTTAAGTCATGCTTAAAACAAAAGGAACATGGAATTGCTGTTCCAAGTCATTAAATCAGCGTTCGAATCCACAAACTCTTCACTCCAAGTAACAAACAGCAGTTATCGTAAACGCGGGCGTAATTGCAGACATGATGCAGGCAGAAGCTTTGCAAAGTCTTACGGTAACAATTGTATATTTTATGTGTGGAGCACAGAAAGACCAAAGCTCATTCATTCTGCCTTCTATCTGCCTCCTTTGAGCCACTTTTGAACAACCATCCATCAACTGTGGACAAGTAACATATTACGTCGTTCTACAGATCGCGTCTGCTTTGCCCTATGAAGCTATCATACAAGAAATTATTAGCTAAATAAAATTTGTTGGTAACGTCTCTTAAGGGTGGTGTCAAGGCCACCATTCAAGGTGACAGCAAAGCATACATGTTAAATTTGTATGTGATTTTGATTGTAGGGAAAGCTGTCCATTTTCAGTGTAATTATGAACTTTTTAAGTTACAATTTATAAAATGCACCCATCTTAAAATGTGTACCCCGTGTGTCAAAATGCAACGTTAGGCTAGTCTTGCTTAGAGCGCCGTGTTTCAACCCTGTTCTTCAAAATAATCATAAACATGTTGGTGTGAGTCAGAGGATAAGAAATGTTTTTATGGGGTAAAACCTAGTTCTTTGGCAACTGTAGTGTACACGCAGACTTTCAGTAAGTTACTTTTGCAATTCTCACTGTCTAAAGCAACCCTTGCTTCTTTCAAGCAGCATGTCAGATCCAGCAATGACATAACGTCTTTGAAATGGTTAACTTACACATTCTTGACTTACCAGAATATAAATTAAATGCAGCACCGTTTAACCATTTTGTGTTCGAATGCATAGCTATTTCCATTCTATTTTTAAAACATGGTAAATGTAGTAATGTTAACTTCTTTAAAATCCCTATTTACTTCTTAAAGGACATAAACACATTGTTTTTAAATATATGACTACTTGCAATCTATTCCAAAAAGGAAATGAAATTTCCACTGGTTTTTGTAATAAATCCTACTCTGCCCATTGTACCAAATTCCCTCTGGTTCCTACAGTAATTCCTATTATCTTTAGGATCCTCTTATAGAATCCTATAAGATCCTTTACAAAATCATCCCATAGGAAATTTTTGTAGAACGCTACAAACTTTCCACGCACTGAGAGCTAAAGACTGATATGCGTGACGTCAATAACCTGCGTTAGAACGCTTCATCAGTGGTTACATCAAAGTTAATTACGCGCAACATAGCACGTCTCTTAAATCACCTTTAACAGTGGACGGCGTCCTTTCTGCGTCCTTTGTTCGACCATGAAACTGGCATGGCTGTAGTCGTAAAAAGGAGGCACAAGCGTCGCTTTGGTTGCAGAATGAATGCTTAATGATAAGCCAGCTGTCGGCACTTAAAGTTTGTTTTTTTTTTTCTCTCAAATGGGCACGTACTAAGGTACGCAGAAAGGACGCCATCCAGTTTAAAGGGGGCTTTATATAACAGCGATACAAACTTAGTCTTCTACCAGACCGCAGATGGATTTTTCACTAGATATTAAGAGAAATGTCTTTGGCTAATTAATGACACGATTCTCTGGTGCTGCGCTGGAATAAAGTGCACATAATTTATCTGCAGCTCTGGTATAAAGGAATTGCAAACTTAACCACTAAAGATTAATTTCCACTTAACAGTCAGCGGCTTAACAGTCAACATGTTACACCCTAACTTAATGATATTATTATACCAATACCCAAACTCCTTTTTCTGCGATCAGTTTTGGATATGTTTTGAATTCGCATCAATCAAATCTTACAGGCATAGTACAGTATTTGAGATGCATCTCAAAAGATACCGATTTGCCTTAATGCCATCAGGCATCAATGATTGGTGAAGGTCGTTCAGAGAAGAATTTACTAGTTCAAGGTTTGAATCAGCATTTTTTTTTTTTTTTTTTTTTTTTTTTGGTTACCGTTAAATATGAATCAAGCGATAAAAACTTAAAATAGTCTCAAGGTGGAGAAATTCCACGACCAGAGGAGTCACGATATGCCATTTATTAATTTTTTTCGTTGAATTTAGGATCCCTGCTAAACAATCAATCAACAAACTCATCTACCGTCCAAATGACTCCTATTAAATATACTTACATTTGATCTTAGTATCTCTTTAAGTCTTAACAGCCTGATGTTCTGCTTCATGTGATCCACAATTATATCTCTATATATGTATATGGTACATAAACTCCATATTAACCTATGAGTGGAAGCTACCGGTACCACTACATGCAGGTCACTTGATCCGGAACGGACACGGCTGCCCGTGGAGACGAGCAAATGGGAGAAGTCTTTGACCCATTGACCCTTTTCGCCCTCTTGTTTTCGCCAAAGTTCAAGTGCAACAAAAAGAACAAGCCTATTTGAACGATTATACTGGATGTGTAGTTGGGGTAACATAAGTACCATGTTGGCTTAAGATTAATCACGGTTGTTTTTTTTTTTTAGGTTTTTCGGCACATATTTCTTTGAAATTTGCCCATATCAGCCGAATAACTAAACTGCAGTGTTTACCCTAAGATATATTATGTTAATATTTTAGAAGCAATTGTTGGTAGGATACAACCGTGTGACCTTAGACTAGCAACCATCCTTCCGGGTATTTACTCACAAAGGCGTAGGAAACTGTATGGGCTTAGTTGCACCAACGGCACGGACCACTGCTCGAACGTGACCGTCGTCAAACGCAAGGACAGGTGTCCTTTGCGCAGGTTGACTCTCCCTGTTTAATGTGTTTACGCCCGTTGCACCAAGACAAAACATGGCCGTCATAAAGAATTTTAAATTCAAACTACGCAAAAGTGACGCTTCGTTGGATCACTGTCCAACAGACTATGATGGTATAGCTGGACAAATGAGCCCCCGTGATGCCTTGTGTGAAGCAACTCTTGGAGACCATTCCCACAGTAATTTAGATCGATCTATCACCCTGGGGAGTCTCACTAAATTGCTGTCAGCTAAACTGACTTAAATGTCTGTCCCGCCTAATAAAAGCTGCAAGGGGGTAATTAACTTTGGTGCGCGCTCGGCTCCCGGAAGCTGAGAGCAATTTAGCGTGAACCCCGAGGGAGTTATGTCGATCCAGATGGTGTGGTGTGGTGTGGAGGTAAAACCTTGAAACGCAAACTTATGCTTCCTGTTCCCAAAGTGGATCCCAGGAACGTGGCTATCTTCTTAACCGAACAAGATAAACTAACATGATGCATATCAGAGTGAAGCTTATTTCAAGAACTATTCATTCCATGTCATAATTCAATTGTGTATTAGTTACTGAAGGAGATATAACCGCTTAATAAGTTTTTCCAACAGAAAGATTTAAGTAGAACCTCTAACCCATGAGCGAATACATTTTTCGTTAGATCTAAGCTTTGTTTGCAGAATGTGCCTGGAATTTCATAATACCAGCCTTTTTTTCAAAATGTGTTTCAGTCAAGATACGGGGGTATCGTCGAAGTGTTAATTTTTAAATTAGAATATCTTTGGTGATTAAATTCACATCAAGAACTTGTGGCACATTTCTGTTGATGTCAAAGGGGGGTAACCAACTAAGCTTTCTAACTGCGTGTGTTAGTTGTTAGGGTACAAAGACCATGCTAAGAACACCTAAACCTTGAAAAATCTAAGATGGCTGCCAATTTTTATAAAAACATACACTTGGTCTTGCATATAAAAGGACCTTTTCTTAGTCCATATAAATGCTCTAGTCCAAATTTGGACTATGAAATTGTTTGCAGCATTTCTAATACCTCTTGGGGTTGTAGCGGTGCCTTTTGACGAACACAAAATGGCTGCCAACAACCAGAGAAAATTTGCTTTTTGAAAATGGTTTAAATTTTTAATTGGTTTTACTTTCATACACAAAAGTGGGAGCTACTGTAACAACAAACAAATTTTGTTTATTTATTTTTGGAAGAGGGAAAGATGTGAAGGGGCCTCCTGAAAACTTAAGGTTGGACTTGACTTACTGTGCCACAAAACAACCTTGGATATGTTTCAGCATAATTGATAAATTAATAACACGCCAGTTACCTGCTTGCAACAAAACCATATTCTAGTTGCAGAAAATGTTGTTTTTTATATATTCAAGTTTATCTTATACTTGGAAAAGATCAAAATACATATACATGTACTTGCTTTATTGTCTTCACATTAAAATGTAAGACTGCCAAGGCAAAACAATGACTAAGCTGAGAAACTATAAATCAATGAACAGCAATTGTTTTGGCTTACACAATTATAAAACTTTGCATATTGAAAGCCAGTTTAGGCTAGCATAAATGTTAGAATTTACATTGTATCACAGATTTGTTAAGGTAGATGACACAGTAAGCTTACAGAATTAATTTTACATTTACGAAAATTGTTGAAATTCTCCAACATAACGCATGCAAAGTGTGAACTTTGCAACACTACATGTTCACAATTTTACACAATAAATCATTTAAACAATATTGTTAAAGGGATAATAACTCTTCGTATGAGGTCTATTTTTCACAATAAAAACATTGTGAATAACTCACAGAAATATAATATATTCTGTGTTATGACAAAAACAGCAGTTATAGCTATTATTCTGATATCTGAGCTTGTCTTCAGACCATGTGACCTCCATTGATGGCTATACTCTGTTATAATCTCTTAAGAGATTTTAACAAAAAAACAAACTTTTTAGAAAAAAACCAGAGACTAACTTTGAATGTAAAAATGAATTCATTAACCATTGATTAGTGTGGGAAAATTGTTGTTTACTCCAGGAAAATTCATTTTTTGGCCAAAACGAAGAGTTATTATCCCTTTAACCAATAATTCCAGTTAAATACAATACCCTGGGTTTAATACAATGTACAACCATTGTAATGCATATTTCAAAATCACAAGATTATTATTATAATTAAAAAAATTAATAATATAAATTTAAAAAAAATAACAAAAAAAAGTGAAAAATATGACCACAAATATGATTTTCAATCAATTTTAGTAAAAACCTTAATGTGGCACTTCTCACAAATAATATATTGCTACAAATAAATTATTCCATGTATCTATTCTCATTAGAATATGATTACCAATTTGTTTGTAGACAATTTCATATAATTGATTTGATCCATTTATATACATTACTCCATTAATTGTAAATGTAATAGGATTTCAAATCAGTCACAGCTCTTTGGGCAAACAAATATTCTGGTACTGTACTAGCAATATATGTAAATATGTCTATCCATCCAATTCAATTTTGACTGCCTGACTTGCTTTTTTTGTGAATAAAAATGTTTTCTTTATTTCATGTGCTTCTGCTCACAACTCTAATAAATAAAAAATAAAATATCTATCTTTTTCTCTAATACCAGTATTTACAAAGACTACACAAAGATGTATTTTAAAAACAAAGGAGAGCTCAAAATCTTTGAGTTTATCGTTGTTTTTTTTTTTTTTTTTTCAGTTGACAACCATGGCATTTCAAAACAGCAAATGATCCGAGTGTCATGTTAACACCCTACAGGATAGGCTCCGTCCCATTCCAGTCAATCTGGGCATCTTTCCATCTGAAATTTTTAGAAAAAATTTACTATTTTCCCTCTCTTTTCATTCTTTTTCTTTATGGTCACAAACAATTTGATTCAGCTCTGATAGGTAAGTAAACATAACATGAAAGTCTGGCAAGTCTCAGTAAAAAGTTCAGTTAAACCTGAATCAGATGTAAATGCGTCTTAAGTCCAGGTAAACCTACTTTGTTCTAATACAGTGCTCCAGGGGGGGTACCAGGTCATCATCAGAGGGGGGTTCATAAAACCTGTTGGTGGTCTCTGTAAAGGGACAAAAAATATCACAGTTGCTTTTCATTTATCATCAATATATATTATTGATTAACTTTTGAAAATTATTTCAATGAATGACAATAAAACTGTTATCTTTCATGTCTTTATCTTAGATGAAACTTATTATGTATTACCTGCAATAATTATTTCAAAACTGAAAACAATATCTCAGAAGTGAAATCTAGTCTTGTATTGAGATTATGAACAAAGCAAAAGCCCACACTCTAAATTGCAAAAAAAAAAAAAAAAAAAAAAAAAAAAGAAAAACCTATTTTAACCTTTTCATCATTTCCTTTTATCTTAAGGATGCACCAATGCAAAAATAAACATAAAGGAAGAGGATCTACCTACTTTAACATAAAGTAAGAAACGTGTATGAACCTGTTTTTTTGCTACAGAACTCAATATCCAGAAAAAATCTTGCCTCCCTTCTATGTATAAATAAATAAGCATAAACACTTCTAAAAAGCTGAAATACAAGTTTCTGGTTTCTCTATCCAAACTTAGATAGGATGTTTAAAAGCACCTATAAATAGATATTGTACCAGATGCAATGTACAAATAAAACAAAAAGCTACAAATTGAATGTTTTGTCGCCTTTACTTAGGACTCACTCTAACAGTACTTTCTGATAATCTATACAGATTGTCTGATGTAGAAAAATTTCTTTTTTAAGATGCTTTAAAAATGCCTATTCTTTAAAGAGAAAGATCCAGCATTACTATAAGCATCTTCTTACTTGTTTGGGTTTTTTTTGTTTGTTTGTTTTTTTGTTTTTGGCGATATTTTCCATCAGAGTGTGCCCAAGTAATACATACCTGACTTAATCCTTGTGAGTTCTAAATGATTTCATTTATTAAATAATCTGAGTTAAAAATACAAAAATACCAATTGTTGTTAGGCTTAAAAAAAAAGAAAAAGAAAACAATTCTCACTTACTGTCTAATATTAGCAAGATCACTTTAAAAAACGACCAATGTTTACAGCATGGTTCTTCCGAGTAACTTAAAACATTAATTTACCACAATAGGCTGCAATATGTATACTGTGACCTTGATACCAAGTGTTATACTAGAAATACAAACTGTAATCTTGGCCACCTCGGCTCATCCTGTGTTTGAGAGATAGTTTGAAACTCATCTCTGCTATCAGCATGCTTCTCTCATATCCAGTTACAGTAAATGGCAGAGCTTTATTGGTAATAGAGGAGTATCTCCAGTTATCTGAAGAACTCAGCGTGCACTGGCTATCCTGCCCACACACGTATGCACACATGCATACACACAAATACAAATGCACGACCACACATACAAAAGCATGCATGCACACATGCACGCAAGTACTCACAAACAAATGTCCACATGCATGAAAATACACACACATGCACAAACACAAGCCTGCAAACATGCACACACACACTATTGTATACTTACCTATAGTGAGGCGTATTTCTTCATCCTGCCTTGCCAATCCATCATAGTAGTACAGATCAAACTTCCTTTCCACTTTCCAGTCACTCATTAACTCTTTCTTCAAAGAGAACAACACACTGAAATGACTTTCGCTGCAAACCACCCAGATTGGGAACCGTGGTGTCTTGAGAAATGTGCCCACCTGGTGGAGAAGATAAGAAATAGTACAGAAAAAAATACAGCAGCCATATTGGAATCTGGTGCATCTTTATTAAACAAAAATTTTCCTTCTGTAGTCACTGCATCAGTATTCGGGCATTATTGCAATGGTCAAATGGCGAAAAAAAAGTCTCTGAGTCAGTCAAAAAAAAGGCTGGAATTCAGTATCCTATTAAACTGTTTGCCCTAGTTAACTAAAAACTGCATGCAATGTTAAGCAGATAACATGTACTCACTTCACACGACTTGTAGTGTTCAAAAAGAGACAGCAACCCTATGTCGCTCCTGGCATGGATGCCTTTTAATATCATCTTGGGGCCCGTGCCAGAGTCTAACTCCACCTTGTCATTGAACACATTGGAGGCTGCCTTGCCAGTCAATATCAGGTTGACAAGTTCCTGGGGAAAAGGAGAAAATTCATGTGTGTAGTCAGACTTCATCTGTGCTTGTTCAATGTGGTTTTACAGTTCTGTAGTAGATATGATGCTATATTTTTACATTCTAGGGGGCAACTTTTAAGTTGTAACTTTATCAACATGTTGAAATGTCACCATATTATAGTGAAAAAAGCCTGCTTTTAAAACTAATTGCAACAACTAAATGACCAATAAATATCAGGTTGACTTGTTTCTGGTGAAAAGAAGAAAATCAAGTGTTCGTTTATGCTTGTTCAAAGCCAGTTATACAGGGAAAAGATGCACATGGAGATGGACATTAACGATCATGATGACGGCTTTATTTTATCAATGTCTTAAACTGTCACCTTATTACAAAAACAATGACAATGATTTTGTTAGGTGTGACAGTGTCACAATCAGGCTCTCAGGTGTGACATTGATTGTACTAGGTGTGACAGTGTCACAATCAGGCTCTCAAGTGTGACATTGATTGTACTAGGTGTGACAGTGTTACAATCAGGCTCTCAGGTGTGACATTTATTGTGTCAGGTGTGACATTGACTGCGTTAGGTGTGACAGTGTTACAATCAGGCTCTCAGGTGTGACATTGATTGTGTCAGGTGTGACACTGATTGTGTTAGGTGTGACACTGATTGCGTTGGGTGAGACAGTGTCACATTCAGGATCTCACCTGGGAGCAGTACCCATGGGCCCCCATCAGTGTGTTGGTGGGAACATCCATATCCGACTTCAACCTAAAACGAGATCATATATTTTCCCATATTATATGTAGCACAGTGATTGAAATTACTGTCTACCAGTTACTGTGAGATACTGAGCTGTGTTGGTTTAACATGGAAATTAAAACAAAAGATAGGAATCTTGACTTGATCTTCTGACTTATAAAATGAGTAACATTATTCTCTCATATCACATGCACGTCATTTATTAAGTCATTGTACACCATCTAGTGGGAGATATGTATAACCATGTTGGTTTTGCTTGAAAATTAAAAGAAAATTTTAACTATGACTTGACATTCTGACTGAAAAACATCACATTCAACAAATAATGGTTGCAGTTTGACATCGATTTATTTTGAAAATTATCAACATCCCTATATTGACAACTCTGCACAGTCAATCTTCTACATCCACCCACTCACACCAACACATTACATTAATTAATTAATTAAAACACTAACAACTTACTCAGGAATTGTCCTTGATAGAATCAAAGAATAGGTGAACAGAACCACACCTGTGCTGCCCTCTAGCTCAAACTGGAAATGTAAAATAAAAGAGTTGTGAAATTCAACTATATTTACAGGTGGATTTAACTGTCCATTGAGAGAAATGACCAAAGAAATGCACATTTTTGAGTAAAACATGATACTTTAAATCTTTATCTATTGTGGTACATATATAATGTGGTAAAAATTCCAGTTCAAATCTGTTTTATGATATTCGTACATACAGTGATGACTCCATATTTTCAATGGGGAAAATATCAATGCTTCTGATACATAATTTAAGAATGATTTAAAATATATTTCTGAGTATCAGTAGCATTTTTGCTACTTTACGGTACAGAATAGAACTATCAGGTTGCCTACTTTTCAGTTTTGTTGCTTCCACTCAATAGGAACATTCTAAATTTAAGAATAACTTTAAAAATACAGTATCTATAAAATTCACAATTTCCCCATTGAAAAGATTGAGTCAGTATGGCAATTGTGGTTTATGTAAATACTCACAGTGTTGATATGTTGTTTGATGAATTCATGCAACTCCTCCTGTGTGCTGAAGATGTTCAGAACAAGCTGAAATAAATATCAGATAAATTTTAACTGACCCCTTCATATGTCTCCCTCTATGGTGTTTTTTTTTTCAAACCTCAACTTTCTGCCTTTTAAAGCAACACCAACACCAAATATTTAAAGTAAACTGTAATGCAACTAACTCCATGTATTTACATAATTATAATGGTATTGTACATATGCACAACTCCCTTAACTCCTTTTTGTCCTGAACAATGTTAAAAAATCCAATCTCTCACGGAATAACTTACTGTTTCAGTGACATTGTCAGGTTTATATCTTCCACTTCCAGCAAATATGGATCTTCCACAGGGCCTGACAGATAAAAAAATTGAAGTTAAAAAAGGGAGAAAAAATTGATAACAGACAAAATTTTGCCTCAGTGCCATTTATTACCCCTCCAAACAACATTAACTTCAATGTGAATGGACATTTTTGTCCATTTAAGGATCCCAAATGTTATTACTATAAAACTGCACCATAAATTTCTGCATCATTTTTTTTTCTTTTTTGTAAAAAGATTAATACTTACAATGTAACTACAGCTTCTTTCTGTTGGCCTGCTCTCCACAAGATGGCACTGATGGCTGCAGCAAGACAAGCTGTCCTCTCTTTTCTACTGGGTTCCAAACTGTGATAAATAACATCAATATATATCAACAAGATAACTAAATACAGTCAAAACTGATAAAGGTAAATCACAATTAGGTAAACTGCAAATACATGTTTAGCCCGAAACACTGAATGAAGACAATAACTGGTATGTGCGGGAGGGGGACAGAGGAGATGAATTTCACTTTTCATATACACTGAATCTTAAATATGTCCCCGGACCTTTGTTCTACCATGTTAGAACAAGTAACCAGAATATGATTCTAGGGCAATCCCACCCCCCTTCCCCAGGACAATTCCCTGGGATTTAAGGCAGGCATTTATAATTTTTCTCAATATCACAAAGTTCATTTTCACTATTATATTCATTACAGGGGGAATCATCCAGGGGGAAAAGGTCAATGTCAGGAATGTCCTAATACTCCATAATTTTACCTGTCTGATGTAGGTTTTGTTTCCTTGTTAAACAGCATCTCCTGTAGCACCATGGCTTGTACAGCTGCCAGCACACCACATGGTCCTCCCTGGAATATATGTAAAACACACAAAACTCAGCCCACAAATAAACATATTGCACTATTATCTGGAGAGCAATGCAAACTCGTAGAGACTGTCCAAAGTTGGGTAATTGAAAAGGGGTAATTTTCCCTGCCCTACACTATAATTCAGACAAATATGCGTACTTTAGATAAACGAAGGGAAGATCTGCGCAAAGCTTTCTTTTACAAAATAACTAAACCCTCTGTCAAACTGAATCACATTTTAATTGGTCAGTCCAATTGCTTTTTAAGATCAAACAACAGATATAATGTGCAAAAAATTAAAACCAAAAGATTCTGATGCTCCTTTATTCTATTTGCACTTTTAAATTTCCAATAGTAAAATGTTGTCATTTATCCTATTTGCAGTAATTTAAAAGTTCAAGTAGCAGTCTATAGCCAAGTTTCATTAAAGCATATAGCATCTTATTTTTATTACAATATATTTAACATTTTATTTACAATTTCCACCTAAAGGGTTGCAATATTAAGAAATTATTATTATTATTATAAAAATTATAAAGCAGTCTACTTCATATGAGGTTAAGAAATAGCATTATTTTGAAACTGCATAGAAAATTATGAGTCAATGCACAATGTTCAAAGATAATAATCTCAATTATAATACATGACAATCTACAAGGTCATAACAATGTATTCACCAGTGCTGGAAAAAATGATTTTAAAGTAAAGTTCTACTGTGAAAAGTGGTATCTTATTTCCTTTCAAAACAAAACTAAGAAAACAAACTGATATTCCACATTTTCTAACCATTCAGTTTATAAATCTAAACAGTATATAAATCTAAACACAATGGATAAAGCCAGATTTCTTCTTGAGTTTATAATTTACCTTTTTTTGCACAATACCATACTGCAGCCGAGGTTGATCAGAGAAAGTAAAACTCTGGTACAGCCATTCATCATTGAAGAACTTGGATGCTGTCCCAAATATTACTGTTTTTAGTTCCTGAAAAAAAAAGAAATGCCATTATATTTGAAACAAACATTCACAAAACAGGAAGACAATTACACAAACAAACCCTCTATGTAAGACATTCAAGATCTAGAATATGAAGCTTGTCTAGCAAATTGGTCAATACAACCATAAAGGTAATTGAATTTAAAATAGCAGAACACTGAACATGCCAAAAATGTAGGCACCAACTATTCAACAAAGTGGTCAATACAACCATAAAGGTAATTGAATTTAAAATAGCAGAAAACTGAACATGCCAAAAATGTAGGCACCAACTATTCAACAAACAGTGTTGTCCTGAGGGGACTTCATATAAAAGTGCCCAGTGTGAGGTTATATTAAACCCCCCAGGTTGAGGTAATATTAACCCTCCCCCTTGCCCAATCACAATCATCTGTAACCATATAACTATATTTTGTAAATACAACACTATTTCATTTAACAAACATGGACTTATACACCCAAGACTTGTGTACTCACCACAGCTGTCTGGATATCTATTGGCCTTGCATTAGTAATGAGATTAGATTTCTGCGTCTTTGCAATGGGTTTGTGCACCTCCTGGACATGTAATTCTGCCATTTCTGCCTCCAAGTCATCTTCATCACCAACTTCCAAATCACCAACCTTGCACAAGTTTTTAGCACCAGATCTGAAAATTAATGAATAATGAAGTATAGTTAAAAAAAAAGTTCATGAAATTAATTGAAAAAAGAATAAATAAATGAAAATTAATAATTTATATAAACAGAACATTTATTAAAATCAATTCAAAACTATAGTGTTTAGAAAAGTCTGGCATAGCTCGAGCTTTATCATTTCACAAATTCACAATCACGTTCCTGATTGGAAAAATACCAAACGTACCTTTTTTATTAATCTCTAACTGAATAATACAACCACTTATGTTAAAGCACAAGCAAAAATTTATAGTGCAAGTGTTCCTGAGAAACCTCCTTACCTGCTACTGGTAGAGGAACCACTTCCACCCCTAGACATAACATTCTCCTTGATACTTGATATATTCACATCATAACCATCAAGTTCAAGGTCATCTCTCTTCCTGTGCCTGCTATTAGGTCTAGGAGATGGCTTGTCTTGAGCACTAGTGCTGACATCTGGTTGGGGTTCTCTGGATTCCTTCTGACTGCTTCTCCGACCATGTCGACTTGTGGGTCTTTCTGGTGTTGATAAATCCAGGCCATCGTCATCAAAACTGTGTTGTTTTTTATTAGCAAGATTCATCTGTCCATTTGTTGAATCTTGGTCCAAGTTATGGTGGTGATGGTGGTGGCGTTTGTGGTGGTGGTGATGGTGAGATCTTGGTTTATGTTCCTCAGTTTTCAAGACAGGGTCACCAATGTCTAACACATCTTCAATTCTTCCAGAATCTTGTCTCAAATCTGTCCTCCTATGTCCCGTAGACTTAACATGGGAATCGTGCTGCGTCCTATGGCCAGCAGATATCTCTGAGGCATTTGAAAATGTGTTACTGATATCGGGTTCTTTGTATGGCAACTGGTTGTCCAAGGTGTGGTTAGTGTCAGGACGGCTATGGTGGTGTGATGATGTAGGCCTCTTCATTTTCTTTCTGTCTCTTCCCTGTATAAATGATGGTAAACATACAGAAAAGACATTATTCTTATCATTTATTTATTTATTTATAATATAAAAATATACATGTTCAGCCAATATGGGAGGGAGGCTTTAAATCCCTGAATAAACTAACATATCCCAATTCCATTAATTAATATCAATCCTTGCCATGTTAAACTTTATCATTAGTATTTTATTTTATTTTTTTTTTTATTATTTTTTAAAGGAGGCAAGATCCCCTCACATTGATTTTTTACAATAGCCTTGTACTTTTGTACCCACCTCTATACTGCTGGAAATTGGTCCTGACATCCCTCTCAGTTTCCCAGATTTCAACCTTGTCGTTCCACCAGGTGGCAGTAAGGCAGCAGTATCTTCTCGCTCCCTGTCCATGATCCCAGCTCGCCCCTCTCCCCCCAGTGTCTCTCCCTCTGTTGTGTCTTCTAGCAGCATCTCTGAGTGTTTTGGAGGTGGCGCTTCACATATAAATAGGAAGATATTGGGACAAAATTATACAGATATAGCTGGGGTAGTCGTGTCAATTTTTTTCAGCCAAATCACTACTTTTTCATCACTTTTTACTCCAGATGGTTTAATTTTGACTAAAACAAGTCAAATTAACCATTTTATGTTCAGCCAACTTCAGTCAGTTTAGCATTTGGCTAAACTGACAAGTGTAAGCACTACCCCAGTAGAGATACTGATAAAGAAGTCAATAAATACTTTATTTTTGAGCTGTGTTAGATATACCGAGGGGTAGTGTGGTTAATCCGTCTTTGAAGTACTTTATTGAATTATTTTTGTTAAAACATTCAAACTGTGCAAATTTCATCTCTGAGTGTGTTGGACATGGTGCTATGGATATAGAAAGGAAGTTACAGACACATACGTGGGAATATAGGCATAAACATTATAAAATATATTGATATCTGCAATCAACAAAAACAAATTATATGATCCACAGCAGCACATAGAGACTGTTTTATAAATCTATCTCATTGCACTGCATTAGTATGTTAACTGATACTTAATGTTGGCAAGTAATTAAAGTTAGGGGTATATCCAAACATAATTGTCTCATAAGTTTCTTTTTGGGTGATATATATATATATATATATATATATATATATATATATATATATATATATATATATATATATATATATATATATATATATATATATATTGAATCACTAAAATTCACATAGACAAAGTTTCAAATTCAATTACACGGCAATTACATTGTAAAAAAAAGGGAATCTAATTCTTACCTTTTTTCCTAGGTTTGGCAACAGGGGTCTCCAAAGCATCATCATATCTATGACCAGATGTATCTGAAACCTCAGCAGGTTTTTTCCTCTCAGCATCATCCTGAACACCATCTTCATTGTGGTTTGGTGTACTAGTGCTGCCTTTCTCCATGAGGTGTTTTATTATAACTTCCAGCATGGCACGCAGGGGATTTTCCAATTCCTGTAACAAAATTTCATGATATATCACAATACCCTAACTACTGCTTACACACTTACTGCAGACTTTAAAGGTTTTAACAATTACAACCTGTATTGCCTTATCTTTTCAGGCCTATACCACAAATAAATTACTGTATAACCATGGAAACGTACTTTTCTATGATATGATTTAATGTACAATAGAAACTGATGCTTGTGTCACAGTGGTTATAATTTATGAAGTAAATGCTGATAGCCTGTAGGAAGTACATGTAGTTTATTATTTTTTTGTGAAAATACACAAGACTATTTTCATTCCAAGACATATGTAAGACCAACATCTTTCCAAAAGTGGGAAGCATGGGCAACTTATCTGTCATGTGTAAGTGACATGTGTAACTAAAGCATTCCGTCTATCACACCTTAAAGTGCTTAAAAACTCATGCGTACCCTGTTTTTCTTCATGAGTTTCTCAATTTGTAACTCTTTGATGAGGAGTGGCCTTTTGCTGATGCAGTCCTCAGTCCTGGGCATCTCTTCATCCATCATCTGAAGGGTGCATCGCAGACCCTACAATTATAATGCTATTACTCACAGAAAGACAAGTGCTTTTTGTGTGTGATCAACAAAGCTTACTTTTTGGGTAGGTCCTTAGAAGTATCTGTGATTGTATTAAAAGAAGAATCGACGTATAAAGTGTACTACAACTAAGTATAACTGAAAGTTTAAAAGTAGCCGATAAAAAATACAAGAAAATAAAATAAAAAAAGGACTCTGATGAATCTACTAGTGTCTGCAATAACAATTAAAATAAATTATTTAATCACACAAAGATTCTCAAAACAAAGCCAAAACTGTGATTTTGCTGAAAAGAAAAATGCTGAAAATTGGGCTCCTGGAAACTCGACTGAGCGCCTATTTGTTTACATTGGATTCCACCAAAGAACGGGAAATAAATGAAAACCAGTACCTTTCTGCTCAAGTATTCTCTAACCACTGATGCTGCTACAGTCTCCGCAGTTGGATTTGCCATTTTCATGTAATTCAGACGACTAAGTTACGTAAAATGTGCATTTTTATCACTGAAATTCGCTAAATGATTTTTCTTCAACAGGAGGCCGCCATGTTCTATCTCGGAATTTCTCGCGACGACGAATATAGGTCTTTTTTTAACATTACTAATTGTTGCTAACTTTAATATTAAAAAATAAACTAATAAGTCGATTTATGTTTGTTAATAAGGTTTCATTAAGTTTGAAATATTAGATAGCAGTATGATTATAATCTCGCATTAACTGTAGATAACGAGATTTAAAATGGCTGAAACACAGATAATGGTTCGACGAAATTTGCCAGGCACAAAATATGAGGTTTGTTGCACTTTATGGTTCTGGATTGCAATAGATAGCTCTGCATCAATAAGTTTCGATATTTCTATCACAGTCTCAAGTCATTCGGTTATTTTTTCATGCTTTCTGACATCGATTTTGTTTATAAAAATCCCTCACCTAGCCCAAATAATGACAGTTCTTGCTGATTTATAAATGTGTAATGTCTTCAACTGACTGTTAATGTAACCAGGTTTTGTAGTAACTTGGTCAGCATGGATAAATGATAAATGAACAGAAAATGAATACATTTCTTAAGATCAAAGTCTGTTTTAAATTAAAGTTTGATGTGTTGTTAAATGAAGAAACTGATAGGCTAGCCACTTGACGTGAGAAACTTTCATACATGTATTATGTGATTTACCTTAGGAATGGTGTAACTGGCCTGATGAGACGTTTGAAGAGATGGACAGCACTCTGGCAGTGCAGCAGGTTTGTGGCTGGATGGGTCTACCACTAGTACAGTGTGTGACAGAGAGCGTATGTGTGTGTGTGTGTATGTGAGTGAGAGTGTGTGCATGCATGTATGTGTGAAAGAGAGACAAAGAGAGATAGTCTGGGTGGGCATACTCTTGAGAGAGAGAAACGTATAAATGAAATGATTTGCATTGCAATTTCGTGAATTCCATTCAAGACATAGTGTCACTTTTTTACAGACAAATAACTTGTGTGTACATGTATATTAATAGAGTTTAAAACTTAGTTACATCTCATAATGAAGTACTGCTCTGAAGACGATTAAACATGCAAGAAGTGAATGTGATTCTATTATTCCTAACATAAACACATACCTAGCCCATCTTCATAAGAAATAATGTGAGAAGTATGAAGAGTCAATATTATTGAATATTATTATTTTATTATTGAATGTCCCCATATGAATGTTATATCTGTTCTTCCACTCAGTATATCCAGCAGTCAATAAGAAAGGACATTCAGAATGTTGAGAACATCCTCACTCCCCCAGAGAGCCAGGATGAAGGGGTGTGGAAGTATGAACACCTAAGGTACTAGACAGGTTTCCCACGTATCTCCCTGGGGAGTCGCGCTATATTGCCATCAACTTAACCCATTTAAATGTCTGTCACACCTACCAAATCAGCTAGGGGGTAGAGATAAAATATTTACTTTAAATATGACATCTAGCTATTTTCAGAGGCCTCGAATTTTGACAAAAATAGATATAGTTTATAATGGGGATGCTAAACCCATTGAACTGTGTTTTTTCTATACTTTCAGGCAGTTTTGTATGGAGTTGAATGGACTGGCCGTCAAACTCCAGGTAGAGGTTAGTTGCTTATCCTGCTGCTTGTACTGGCATTGCTGCAGTCCTTCCTTTACATTTATGGTTCTGTTCACATCTGAACTAACTAAGACCAGATAAAGCATAAATGGTGTCGCCATATGACAGAGTGATTCCAGTGTCCATTCGAACTTTTTAATGTAAATTTTATAAAACTGTACTTGGCATATACACTTATGTCTTGGTTCTGGTGATGTCATTTGGATTACTGGTGTGATCAAAGTTAGTCCTTTTGTGAAAACTGCCTGTCTTTTACCTTCACCATGGTACCCTAGCAACCAAGTATCAACCCCAACTTCAAAATGTCATACTGCATATATATATCCTCACCATATGTGCCTTTGCAATCCTTCTGCTGGTCTAGCAATAAAAGCATAGCTGTTAGGTTTGGCAGCAGGGTTTTAGTCAGAGTCCAAATTCATTTTCTTACTGATAGAGGTCGTCTAGGTTCTATTTGCTCCAATCATAAGAATCTGAAAGAAAATGGCTGTCTGAAATTGACATGGAAAGCAAAAAAAAAAAAAGAATTTGGACTGGCTAATATCCCGCTTTGCAGCAGTCTGAGGGTGAATGTCGAGAGGGCTACATGAAATGGTCATTCATATCTTCAGGATATTTGATTGACTGTCAATGTTTTTTTTTTTTTTTCTTTTTTTTGGGGGGGGGGATAATTAACTGTACACAATGTGTTCAATTGTCAGAATAAGTTTTGCAAGTTTCACAATTAAATTTATTTGACTTGAAATCTAGTTTAAAAGAAAATGTAATAAAGTGGTGAATTTAAAAATTAAACTTTTAAAAGTATAATTTGAAACTTACTAATTAAATGAAATAGCACAGTTTTGCATTGGAGTAAAATTCCCCTACTCACTCCATTTTATTATCAATTTGCCTGTTGTTTCCAGAATGAATGTAACCCCGAGACGTGTACCCAGATGACAGCTACTGAACAGTGGATATTCTTGTGTGCTGCTCACAAGACACCAAAAGAGGTGAGATGATTCTCTTCTTCATCAATTATATTCGCGGTATATATATCAAGAACCTTTGATTATTGTAGCTAATTAAAAGAGAGCAAGAATTTATTTTATTATTGTATTTTATTCTATTGTTTTATTATTTTATGATCATATTTTATTAAGTATTTATTTTACTTTTATATATTTATTTTTTCATTTACATGTGAATGTGCATTTTGAAATATGATGAGCAATGTGCATAGAGTGACCTATGTGTGAGAAATCCTGTTCTCAAATCATCTTTTTTTTTTTAAATCAGGCAATACAGCAGACATTAAATTTTGTCACCTTGACACATATTTGTTGTAAAGAATGTGAATTTTTGTTCCTTTTCCAGTGTCCTGCCATAGACTACACTAGACACACTCTAGATGGCGCTGCTTGTCTATTAAATAGTAACAAATACTTTCCCAGCAGGCAAGTGATGATAAATTTGAATTCAAATATATATGTTAATTCCTTTAAAGATGCATATGATTCTGATATGAAGTCAATTTTTTGCCACAAAAGCCAGCCAAATGCCAGCGTATAGTTTCAAATAATATAACTAAGAGAATTACCAAAAGACGGCATTTAATATTACCCCCAAAATAATTTTGAATGTAATGACATTTTGAAAACTTGCAGGGTTAGCATCAAGGAATCCTCGGTGGCAAAATTGGGCTCCGTATGTCGGAGAGTCTACAGAATATTTTCTCATGCCTACTTCCATCATAGGTCACTATTTGATGAATTTGAGGTAAGGTTTCAAAACATGATCCTATACAAATATTTTGTCTTTTCTTACAGGAAAAAAATTCTCTACAAATTTTTTATTGCCTTATAATGTTACCTTTCTTTGATTTTTGATTATTTATAAAGTTATCATTTAACAAGAAAGGAAAGATAATTCTGTAGATTGAACAATGACTTGTTCACATTGTTGTTATCAATATTTGTGTCTCTGTAAGTATTATTTTTCAAAATAAATAAATAAATAAATAAATGCAGATTAATTTCACAGTAGATGAAATGATAAGATAAAAAGTGCTAAAAAAGAATAAGAACAGTGGACATACACAGATATTTACAAGACAATTGCCATTGCTTTAGCCCTCTTTATTCAGATATTAAATTCTCTGTGACACAGCCTCATACAGACATACTTCACTGTTTGACTTTCATCCAACAAATGATATGATATGAATCAATTTATATTTCAGAATGAAACAGCTCTGTGCAAGCGGTTCACACTCTTTGTCACCAAGTATAATCTCATGTCCAAGGACAATCTCATAGTTCCAATTCTGGAGGACCAACAGGAAGGTGCCAACGAAAGTGAGGCTTGAAAGTGGAGATGGTCTGATTCACTCAGTGGATGTGACTTTGCAGAGCATGTGCTGTGAAAAAGAGGCTCGAAAATGGAGATCGTCAAATGTGCTTTATGACGTGAACTGAGCAGAGTACCTGTTTTGAAAAGGAGGCTTGATCATATGACCTGCATAAAGATTGAGAGTTTTGCGCTTTCATTGAAATACCAATAAATGTGGCACTTCTTTAAACAGTCACAGAAGTCTGCTGTGCCGTATTAGAAAGTTCCACTAAATACTGAAAATGTAACAAAACAGTTTTTTTAACAAAAAGGCCACCAGGAATCCTGTGATGTGGTGCGCTGTAAAAAGATGAAAATGTACATTAATTTAAAAGTAGTTGATTTAAGTGTAAGTTAAATATTCGTATGAACAACCACGAAAAAGAAACCATGTGACCTGTGTCTTTTATTTATTATAAATTTTGTTAGTGTAAGTGTTAATTTAATCCTATATAAATGTAATGAAATAAATTGAAACGGTGAAAACATTTCAAAGTACAGGTATCATTAATGAAAAAGAACGCATCAGCACTCTGCTTTCTCATGTACCTCTTTAAAGGGAAAAATAATTTCCAAAGAACGGCCAAAAGCATCAAAGTACACTTATCAAACTGAAAGAGTTAAAAGAAACACATTTGAAAGGGTAGAATTTAATGGCCATGCTGAACATTGCAGGGAGGCATTATGTCTCCATCTCGAAAAGAGGACCTGGGTTTGGTTAAGCCATAATGTCACGCAACCAACAAAAATAAATAAATAAAAACGCATTTTCAAAGTTAACATATTTGATATTGCGTGACAGGGCATATGAATCGGCTTTCCTAGGTCGAATGACAAACTGGGGCGGTATTGTCATAGAAAATATAGGGTTTTTATTANCTCCACTCTGGCTGAAGGATACGACAGGTTTTTCGAAGTCGCCACAAGGCTCTTCGTACGCGAGTCGTACAAAGATAAGGTCTGCAAAGGTTACGACACCGTGCCGTTCCTTCGAAAGGTCTGTGAGACAGGATTTGATGTGGCGTCAATGGCGAATGATATCCTAGAAAATGTCCAAGAGTTCCTCGTGAAATGTATTGCACAACCAACTTTAGACTTTGCCCAGAAAGTAATCACATCTATAACAGACGGTGCATGGAAAGCTGCCGAGGGGTTTTCAAGAGCCTGTCACAATGGGATGCACCTGGGAAATAGAATTACAACTTACATTTATCAAATCTTGGACATCGAAGCGGCTAAAGGTGGGCAAAATATAAACTTGTCTTTTGTTTTTTCTGAGTTAGCAGTATAAGAACAGTTGATAGCAGCAATAATTGGCAATTCTGGTTAAAGTTATTATCCAGTAAAACTCACGTCATCAGAAATGTTTTATGATTTTGATCCCTTGGATGCTTTCAATCTAAACTCGGCAGCTATTTTCACTTCAATATTTCAGTGTCTACCAAGTGTTCAGCTGTTCTTTTTTTTTAAAACTATTACCATACTTTTGAAAACATAACACAGCTTATGACATTCGGTGCTGGATTGTCCTGTTCTGTTTTCCAGCTCTTCTGTATTCTGTGTTAAAGAAGGCTGCGTACAAAGTCCATGACGTCTACGTACGTCTTCCCCGCTTTAATGGTGATCCCATACATGATGGGCTGGTGGTTGTAGCCTGGGTGGTGTGTGCCCTAGCCCAGGGGTTGGTGGTCTACTGGGCCAAGAGGAAGATCAGTCTAGGTAAAATATCTTGCCTTGTTACAAGTATGTATTATGATAAATATTTCCAGGCCTTACCATTGCCTCTGTCTCATTAATCAACAAAGGAAATGGAAATTTTATTTTGTTTCGTTTATTATTTACACAAGAGTGAAAAATTTACACAAGAGTGAAAAATACTTAAATCTTTTAATCGAATCATGAAAGTGGCCTAATATTTGTCCTTTTTACTGCATTAATTTCATCTTATTTTATCTTATTTTATTCTTATCTTTGTAGATAATAACATAAGAAGGGCCCGTCAAATGCGACTTCGTTTCTCCCATCCCATATCATCAGAGGATTACTATGACAGGATTGCGAGACTAATTAGAGAGGAGGATGGAAAAGATGATACAGAACGCGAGGACGCCGAACACGTTGATGAGACCGAGAGCTTTCAACATGTAGAATCCACCTCTGGTGTTACTGACAACAAGGTCAAGGACACAACCAGTTCAGCCGACGACTTTGCCAACGATTCCGGGGTGTGGGCAGACATGTCTCTTGAACACATCGTGGAGGGAGTGGAAGAGAAACCAACGGTACCAGCGCCCTCTGCAGTTCAGCCAATGGCAGTAGAAGAGGAACTGGTCCACGCCAATCCTAAACCAGAGGTTAACGCACAGCTTCTGGTCCTGAAAGATGACACAACCATTGAGAACAGAGAGCACGCGCAGCCTGCTGAGGACACGTATAACCAAGAACAAAGTGCCTCTGGAACAACCTGTGAACAGAAGCTAGAAAGCCCTTATAAGGATGCATGCAAGGACGGGAAAGGAGGACTGAACGTTTCAAGGTCCGATGCTGTTGCTCTAGCTCCAGAGAGCGAACCCGAGCCAGCTGCTGCATCTTACATGGATAAGAACAACAATGACACAGAAAGTTACGACAAAGAACAACTCATTGAGACGGGTTTAGAGGTAAATTTTACGTTTTGTTAGCTCGATCAGACTTGTGAGTGCGAGGGCCGGAATGTTTTATATTGTCTATTTTTCTCCATCTAAAACTATAAATATTGCTTATCATGTTAATATTTTACTGAAACATTTACGATTCAATAGGTGCCTTATTTTTGTCTATGATTCTTAGCTTAGCTTACGATTGATTAAAAAGGCATCTTTATCGTTGATCTCTAGTTGTACCTGACATTATAAGGTATAAATACTAAAATAATTTTTGATTAAAAAGAGACCCTTTATTTTACTGAAAATAGTTTCAGGGAAGTGAGGAGCTCACTTTATGCAGTGTCCCTGATGTCAAGATGGACGACGCTCGCAGAAAGTTGATAATCTCCGAGGCATTGAAGCGAATTGATTCGTGGGACCTCCCGCCCCGTCAGGCTACCGAGTCCAGCGAATCCAGTCACTGGACCAACGTCTATTTTCGCAAAATCGGCCGTGGCGCCTGGATTGTGCTGAAATACATTTTAGAACACCCAGAGCTTTTCTAACTTTGTTTTGTTTTTTTTTGTTTTCTTGTGAACATTTTGCTTTCTTGTCGCTCTGGGTGTATTCACCCAACAGCATTTAACTTCCTGGTGGACAATGGTTCATGGATACTTATACTTATTTTGTTTACTGAGCTTGTAAAGAAAAACTCACCAGACGCAACTTTGTTTATAAAAAGAATAAAATCATTACAATGGCAGTCATTTAAAGGTAACAACTTTTTTTTATAGAAACAGAATCTAGAATTTATCAACTTATGTGTTGTAGGCTACGCATAAATTTTGTAGAATGCTAAAGCAAATTCGAAGCAACAGATTTTTAAAACTATCTAAAAATCCTTACCGAAATACTTATGCTCAAGAAAATATTGGCAATGTAAACTATTTGGTCTTTATAGTAAAACCAAGAAGAAATGCTCCTTGTTTTGTGTTTGATATAATATTGCATTCCGTTGTGGACTTCAGTTCCAGAGTAAAGTTTAATAAAATTCTGTGAATCGGATTCGTCCGAGTGTCCCTGTCCATTTGTGCAGACTTCTTTAAACCTAATATATCATGAAACTATTACATCATATCACGGTTAACTATTCCTTCTTCCTGTACAACGTACAACAAAGCGCGATCGATCGCTGACTGCTCAAAGACGAGCAAAGTCGCGGAAGTCGTTGCTCAGTCGCACTGCGTCAAGGCAACTGGCTGGGAAAACCTGCGATTTCACCGTTAAATTGCTCAAAAATTTCTTATTAAATTTCTGTAGTTTATACGATATTGCTTTAAGTCCTGCTAAACTATTTAAAACATGTAAAACAGACAAAATATCACTTCAAGAAATAATAATAATATATTTATTTTAAGTCTAAAATCCATAAAATGTTCAATAGACTGTACAACATAAAAGAAGTTTATAGATAAAAATGGTTAAGATATATTTTATATAAATAAGAGCTAAACTAAATTGTAATAAACAGTAGGCCTAATTTAAAGTAAAAAATCCAAGGTTTCTTTAAAATTGTAAAATTTAAAATTCATGAATAAAATGTCTTAAAAATATGAGTTTTTAATTCCTTTTTAAAAGATTCTTGTGATTCTATTTGTCTAATAAAAATTGGCAACTTATTCCATTCTACTGGTGCAGCTACACAAAATGATATGTCACCATATGATTTTAACCTTGATTTTGGAACTTTCAGTAAAAGTTTGTCACCAGACCTCAGGGATCTTTGAGGGCTATAATGTTTGACTAGATCAGTTACATATGGTGGAGCTAGATTATAAAAAGCAGCATGTGTAAAAACTAAAACCTTAAATAAAAGAAATCCCCAAAACGGTACATTATTGATTCCGTCCCAGTGATTCCCTCCGGCGTGATCTATAAAAGGCATTACGGGGATACTTCCAAAATAAGGCAAATACGTGCAATGTGCCTTATGCCCCTGTCTCTCCCCCCCCCCCAACACACACACACACACACACACACACACACACACACACACACACACACACACACAGTAAACAGTCCCATAGAGACTCATCACCGCATCTGATATTTCATAATATCGAGACCAGCTTTTCCTATAAACAGCGCCATCTATAATCACATCCCGTAGGTTGTGTCCACAAATTACAATGTGTGTGCACCGGTGCAGTACGTAAACTACAATCTGTGATCATGCAAGGGCAAATTAAGGTGTGGTTTAAATATTAATATTTTGAGTATTGTAAGTAATTACTATCAGACATTCTGTTTCTAATAAGGGTATGCAATGCTGCTTTAAATAAGGTGCATATATCATCTTGACTACTCATGATTGCTCCATGAAGTTGAACAGTAGCACTGCCCGATAGTTGAATTACGTGTTCCATATGCACTAAAGACACGCCAGAACAGTGAATATCTAATAAATATATATGCAGTAGTTCTAAAGTACGGCAACCCACAATATTTCCACGGGGTCTAAATTCAAGGCTTGAGTCGAGAAAGGGGGATTGGATGGAAGGGGCGGGGTAAGCTCTGTTGTGAAGTTTTTTTCACTTGTGCCAGATACAGGTTTTGGTCTTGTGTCTGGTAATGTGTTTCTCATGCAAGTTAAAATGATAATTATAAGTTCACTAGATCCCGTCCCTCAAATATATTTAGAATATTTTATCACACAATTCTAATAATAAAGCATCACACAGTTTTGCAGTATATAAAATTTTTCTTTCAGTGATGTTATATGTGAAGAAAGCAAAAGGTTCTTGAGACACATATTAAAATGAAAGCAATAGGAGAGAGACTGCAGACTGTGAAAGTCAAAGGCGTAGCAACCTTAGGGCTCTGTTTACTGATAGCCTTTCTGCTACGACCCCAGGATAGTTACAAGCTTCAGCCGTCTTGGGTAAAAGAAAGGTCGGAATCAGAGACACAAGAAGATTTTGATGCTTATAATATAGATATACAGCTTCCGCCCCCTGTGATAACAGACCTTGAAAGTGATGGAGTCAATGAAGTGGTTTTGATTCTTCACAACAGTGGGGGCCAGTTTAACTTGGAGATTCTTGCCACGCCTGAAACCCCAGTGGCCAGCATTCAGCAGACTCTCCCACATGTGGAGGTGAGAAAAGAGGTAGTAATGCCAATCGGGAAGCGAAAACACCAGAAATTTGATCAAATAAGTGTTCCTGTTGCCATGGCAACTGGATACCTGGAGGAGTATCAGTCCATGGTCCAAGTAAGAAAACAGGTAAGTTAAAATATCATATTAAATAAAAAAAAAAATTGAATTTTAATTATACGTAAGGTTTTATTTATGACGTACTGTATAATGCAGTAATGTGTAAAACATACATGTGCTGTACATGATGAGACATCTTGCAAAATAACAAATTTCCTTAATTTAATATGTTTAGGTGATCGTCATAGTAACCAGTGACTGGCGTGTACTGTGTTACGATCATGAACTCAATCTGTCTTGGCAAAAGCAGTTAATAAACACACACGGGACCAGGGGGCGCTATCATCTGAAAGCCATGGGGGCGCTAGTGTTACCACTTCAGCTGAAGAAGAACGACAAGGGAGTTATTATTGTGGGTGGATCTTATGAACATGCAACGCACGATGCTGAGGAATTAAGGTTTGTGGCTAGTTATGGAGATCACTAGAAACTATATTTTATTCACATGCCTATGCTGTTTCCTGTTCCCTGAAACTTGAGGAGGGCATGGTAGATTTTCTGTGCAGGATTTAAAAAAACTTGTGAATCCCTTCACCAAAAAAAACATGTATAGTGCCTCTTCCTTACTCATGCCTTTCAGAAGATTCACAGAGGTGCAATGTAATTGTTAAAATATTGCTCAGAGACATTAATTTAGTGCAATTTAATTTTTATGAAATTAAAAAAAGTCTTAGTAACTCCACATATTTTCAGTGGCAAAGATAAAATGTCCAATTTATCTTCAGTTTAGTACAGTGGTGGATAGACACACCCTCCCTTTACCGTAGGAGGTACCCCCTTTTCCCTCCCCCCCAAATTTGGTATAACAATCCCAACAAGACAAAACCAAGCAATTTTTTCTTCCGTGTGCCTTAGACATCACCATGAAATCCACTCTCCACATCTCTTTGGTATAATTGTCATTTTGATTTTACAGATCTGGCAACATGAAGCACCGTCCACCCAAGTTAAACACAGGCACTAATGATGATGACGACGATGACAAAGTACTTCTCACCGAGAGAGACAACTTCACTCATTTCTCCACATTTGCTCTCAGTGGTAGAAATGGATCCATCCTGTGGCACCACCTCCCTTCCGAGTTTGATGAAAAGATAGAACTACAAAAGGTGTCACCATAGTATTTTTCTACAGTTAACACAGATTGTAATTTAGCAGCAACTTGTGTTCTGCAGAAAAGGCCTGAGAATGCATAACATTAATACAAAAGAAACTAATTGTGATAATACATGAATTGAAAAGGGAACGCTACATTAACACTTAAAAAATTATATTTTATAAAGTAGCCTCTACCTATGATTTTAGAATCTTCTTATACTTACATGTGGTTGAATTTCCAACATACTGTACAATAAATGTGTTTTGTAATGAGATTACAAAAAATAATAATAAATAAATAAATAAAAATAATAATTCAAAATAGAAATTCATTGTTAAAATATAATTTCTTCCAGAGCATGTTTGATGCACACCATTGGAAGTTAGGCCTGAAGAAGGGGCACATGCACACTGGAGAGGTGCCCTGGAATAATTACCACAGGGATATAGTCAGACAGCTGGTGGGTATCAGCTCTGCTCCATTAAAGACCTTGAGCCAGTTTGCACAGAGAAATATGTTTTTGAATAAGTTAGACACGCAGGTCATGCATATGGCTTAAGGGGTGTTGGAGGCTGTAAATTTCTGCAAAATTGCATGTTAAAAAGGGAAATTGATAAGCCCAATAATATTTTCATTTAATTTACTGAACTCCCAGATGAACTGTAATTTAATTGTGGTGTGCTTGTAATTTTGAGTATTTCATTACTGGCATTTTATGCCCTCCCTCCCTCCCCCCTCCGTTTTTAAATACTTCTAAATTATACTGAATTTTTTATTCAACCCTTTCTGTTGTTTCAGCCTTACAAATGGAAAGAGGCCTCTGACACAAGAATCACAGTGGCTCGTTTCAGTCGCCATGCACAGGACGACCCATCCGAAAGTGAGGGCGACCTATTTTCTCACATTGTCAGTGGAATCGGTGATGAGCATCTTAAGGGGTATGCTTATGGTGGACAGAGGCCTCACTCTGACACTGAGCACGTGAAAGACCCCAATGTCATAGTGACACACAACCATGAGGGGCTTGAGGTGCTGAATATGTTGTCTGGGCAACCACTTACAAGGTACTGGTACCGTGGGCTCAACAGGGTGAAGATTATTTACCTAGGCCATCATTAACTTGCCACTTATATTATTATTATTATTTTTAAAAATTTTTTTAAATATGTACTTATTTAAATTTTTTAATTTTTTAAATATGTACTTATTTATTTATTTATTTTGGTTCATAAATTGTGTTTTGTGCCTTTGCTTTTATATTAGGTGCAGATGGTAAGATTTCACTATTATTATTATTATTATTATTATTATTATTATTATTATTATTATTATTCCCACAGGTGGCACGTTCTAGCAGATAGCTACCAGGGCATCTTTGGAGATATGGATGATGACGGCCTGGTGGAACACATATATGTACAGTACTCTGAACTGGAAGACAGAGAGATCAAGGACTGCCATGTTGTGGCTGAAACTGTTTTTCCTGTAAAAAAGATATTATTCAAGCGAGACCTGTGTACAAGTCCCTCCAGCACGTGGCTTGGAATGCTGGGAGTTAATGAGGCCAGAGCCTCAGAAGATGTGGAGAGAGATGTACACCCCATGTTGGTGAAGAGGCAAGTGTTATGGTGGTGTACTGAAGTTTTGATTCAGAGGGAAAGTAAAGTTGAGATGCCATTTCTGCAGATGGAAGAAACTAAGGCCCTATTCCAATAGACACCATAGCCTAGGTCTATGTAGATCGATCCAATTCTGAGGGGACTCTTGCTGAGTGCAATCAGCCTATTTGAATGACACTCCTCCGAGAATACAGAAAAGCTGGTGATAATATATTTATGATGGAAACAAGTGATGGTGTGTCATTCAGTTAAGCTGATTGCACTCAGTGATATACCTTGCAGAGTTGTATTGATCTATATAGACTGATGGTGTTTATGGGAATGGGGTTTAAGTGGAGTGGTTGGGTAGGGTGAAGGTGGTGGTGGGGGGGGGGGAGGGCTCAGCTCAGGATGAGGTTACACTGCAACCCCTCCATATATTCTCATTCCCTGAATAAATCATCTTGATGGGACTCTGAAATATTGGCTTGAAAGTACCGTTATCTCTAGGTTTAACTGTTGTTTAAAGAAACTGTTTTAGTGAAATTGAGTGTGTGATAAAGGCAATGAAATACTTAATTGACTCTGAATTGATTATAAGACTCCCTGAAGGTCAAGTCAGATTTTTAAATTGTTATTTGCCTTCCACTGAAAAAGTTGCATTTTCCATTAAGTTATAACTTATCAGTTTGACGCAATTTCCCTGACCTTTTCAGCATTGCACGGCGACGAGGTATCATTCCACACCTCACAGGTGCTACATTAAAAACAAAACATAAAGGCCATGATGCCATCTTTCTCCTTAGTAATGGTCGTGTCACTTCTTATGGACCAAGTGGAGAATTGCACTGGCAGGTAAAAGAAAATAGCTGCTGTGTGCCTAGAAAGTTTTTTCTTTTTTTTTATTGTAAGTTATCATGTTTTTATTTATTACTTTGATTTTTCTATGTATTTTGCACTTCCAGACACATATTATCTCATATATACTAAGTAACCAGTTACTCAAGGCATGAAAAAATACTACAAAAAATGGTAATTATTAGCAAGTGTAAAGATTTATATCTTAAGCAACCACAAAACATTATTTTCAAGCTCCCAATAAATAAGTATATTTCCAAAAATTATTCTTGGACATCTTTTTATTATTTAGGTTCAGACTCCTGCCAAGTGGAACCACATGACTCTGTTCTATAATACCTATCCTGATCATAAACTCTCTATCTCCTATGCTCAGGAGTTTATGCCCAGTATGAAGGCAATGTCATTTCAGGTATATGGACCACAGGTGAGTGGAGGTTCAATGTTACAATCACTTATTATTCTTAATATTGATTGCTTTATTTTATTATTAGAATATAAGGGTCATTTTTGTATATTTATTATTTTTGTTATATATATTGCAGTCTTAGAATAAAAACATTGCCAAAGTGAAAACCATGTTCATCCAGATGTACGTTTTCCATTTTACTGTTGCAGCACTATTAGTATAATCATGAGATGTGTTATTCTCCATCGAATTTTTATTATTCAAAGAAACTTTTTCTTTCATATGTAATGCTAGTTTTAATTGAACAAACCCATCCAGTTGCAGGGTTTTTTTTGTTAATTTAATATTTAGAAAAAAATTTGTCAATGATTAATTACCACTGCCTCTATTTTCCAGGAAGCTGCTGTGGTAGCAGGATGGGATCATCTTGCTCTTGTAGATCTAAAGGAGGGAAATGTGCTTGGGGAGCATTCATTACCCTGCCTACCTATGGTGCCGGTAGTTACTGGGGACTTTGATAATGATGGCTGGACAGATGTTATAGTGATATGTAACGAAGGGTGAGTGTTTATCTTATGAAAGCCACAGACTTTTCATTTACTTAATTATCTTTGAAAAAATTCTCCCTTCTGATTTGGGGAATTTTTTATTGGCAGACTGATACGAGTGTGACTTGGAATCAAGGGTAATCCATTACACAAATGACATCACATAAGTCAGAAACATTCAAACACTTTATTCATTGATTACCCACGGTATCAACTGCTACTCTAATAAATTGCACTATTTGAATTTCAGCTACTTTGGCTTTTCAATACAGCGGGCTCCAAACAGGTGGTCCACTTTCCTGGCTGGCTTTGCCTTCATCTGTGGCGTCATGCTGATCATGGATATCTTGCTACAGAAGTCAAAGAGCTCAGAGCAAGGAGGCACTCCCTCAACCATCTAATATTGACTCCCATGAAGACAATGCACATTATACTAACACATCTGTCATAAGAATCCACCCCAATTTTGTATTCTGTCTCATTATTATTTTTCCTTGTATGTATTCAGTTTTGTTATTCAGTCATTGCAAAGTGTTATTTGTGAGCAAAAGCCACAGATAATGGTCATTACATTTTTTTAAATGTTTTGTACATTAATTTTATTTTTATTTATTTTGGCGGGAGGGGTTCAGTAAACAGTTTTTTTATTGTGCAACAGCAGATAAAAAGATTATAACCATGTAATTCAGCACAATTACTTCAGAGCTTTCATCTGATCAATGCATTTCCAACCAGTGACTGATCTTTTACTCCAATTTTTACTATAAACTAAAATTATAATACATAAAATTGCCTGCTGTATTGGAATTTGCTTTTCAATACTTTCGAAGACATATGAAGCCCTATATTATATTTTATATAATATAATATAATATAATATATTATATTTTATATAGGTTCTGCCTACAGTTTTGCAGTACATATCTTTTCAGAAACTTTGGCACAAGTGGTGCTGCACTTGAAAATATCTCTAGGCTTATCATGTTATATCTCACGGGAGGGATAATTTGTTAAGTTGAATAAAAAATCATGCACCTTTTGTGTTGTTGTTTTTAATGTCACTGCTTAATGAAAAAGTGGAGTCTTGTGCCAATTTTTAAAAAATGAGCAAATTATCATTGATAAATTAAGGCCTTTATAAATGGGTCCACCAATGGCTTGGTAGATCACTCAAATATATTAATTATATTTTTCCCTCAATAGAAAATAATTACATGCATAAAATTGATTTGTATCTTAGTTAACAAATTGGTATTATTCTTGTAACATCTTAAGTTAGCTTTAACACAAACTTGAATGCACTTAGTTTAATGGATTCTCTGGTTAAAATATCTTCCATCCTTAAAGGAGTAGTTTTAATACATAAACATGTTTTTTTTAAGTGATGTGCATGCACTGAATGTCTTGAATATAAAATGACAGATTCTAAACATTATTTAGCTGACAACTTCTTATATAGAGACTTGCAACAAAACACAAAAATTCTAATACCACAAAATGGCATGTTTTTAAGAATAGCATATCACATTATTCTTGCATATTATACTTCATTACACAAAAAAGCTTAAACTTAACATTGAAAATAACATTTCAAAAATGGCCCATAAAGACATAGACATGCTCAGAGCATTTGAAACTTTTAAAACTGCATTAATTTACTGAGAAAATATTGATATGACCATATCCAAGACTTTTGAACTCCCATCATAATGGCAAGAGTGTATGTGATATGCTGAGGGTCTGGCCCTAACAAACCCCAACTGTGACCATACAGCATTTTGTCAGAAGAAGAAATCTATGACCTACAGACTAGCTGGGTATTAAAAATTGTAAAAAGAGGCATTGCGGTTAAAGAGAATACTCTGAAATGCTGAATATATGCAAAATAACAACCTGTACATCCAAAAAAGGAATGTTTTCGATTCAATTTTTCTCCTACATGCTGAAGCTGTTGGATGCAACATGCCTATTAATATTGAATAAAGGTATAGTTCTTGCATTTTATATATATGCATATAATATTTAAGGTAGAGTGAAAATATATTATAATAGTAATCTGAGAGATATTTTTTGCAGAATAATTATCATATAGAAACCAGGAAAAGAAGTTTGGTTGACAAAAAGAGGACTGGATTTGTTTCACTATAATTTTATGTAACCATTAGTTGTTAAGCCACTGCATCTTCCACTGGAGAAACAAACAGCTTGGTGAGATGCTCCCTAGGCTCAACTTCACAAGTCTCTGTGCAACAGAACGTTAAAATGGTCTATTCTGAATGAAATTTGTAAACATTTCAAGAGCTTGGATTGGCTTGTCTTGTGGGACCATGTGACCAGCACCCTAAATAAAAGATGATAATGTTTACATTGTCTATTGAAAAATATCTTAAGTGTCTATAAAGATGTCTATTATAATAATCATTTTTTTAGTTTTGTAATAAAGAACTAAGTTAAAATACAAATAATTTCTTACAATATCATTCAGGATATCATACTAGAAATCCAACAAAGCAAGTCACAACACATTATAACTTTATATGATCTTTTCATTATTAAACCAAGACAAAATTAACATATATTTCATCAATGATTAAGTTTAAATAAACTAACTAACCCTCACAGTAACAAGTGACAGCTGTTTGTACTGTTTAACAAAACCAGCCACCTGTTTTACTTTATACTTCAGGTCTGTAAAAAACCAAGCTTTTCTCTCAGTCACAACCTGAAAAATACAAACATGCAAATAAAAATTCTTTTCCTCTTTTTAAATAATGATTTTCCAAACATGCTAATTAATAATCAACTGAAAAAATAAAAGTGTGCAAAAAAATAATTCAGATAAAAAATTTTGGAAGCTGTATATTGCAATAATGGTTTGAAGACCAATATTATGATAATATTAACTATCATTATCAATATCTTTAATTTAGATCATTATTATTATTATCATTATTGAGTCCAGTAAGTTTGTTAACTGAGAAGTTTACAGACTCAGTTTACAGACAAGTTCAGTAGATTAATTCAGGCAAGTTAAGTATATATTACTTACATGCAATTTTACTGAGTTAACTTGCAGGCAAGTTCAGTATGTTTACAGGTAACTAAAATGAGTTAACTTTGTTTAACACAAACTCAATGAGTAAACTTACAGGCAAGTTCAGTGAATTGACAAACCACTCATCTCCCAAAAAGTTACAAGCCATATCCACATCGCCATTGTATACCATAGCTCTCAGATGCTGAAAATAAAAAAATAAAATAGAGAAATCAGACAAACAAACCATTTCTCTTAGCTATAGATATTGAACATTGGTAATGACATTATATAAATTTACCAAGAAACTCCCTTTCAATGCAGTGTTATGAAATCCAGTGCCCATTTCCATGAAACTTTTTGACTCACTCATAGCTCCCATTCTTACCTATGGCTCTGAAGTTTGGGCACCATACTTTGTCAAAAACTCAAGTAAAGACAGCTACTTCCTAATTTGTGACAAACTTTCCATTGAAACCTTACATCTCAAGGCCTGCAAAACTATCCTAGGTGTTAACCGAAAATCTCCCTCACATGCTGTCCGCGGAGAACTGGGCAGCTTCCCAATACTGACCACTTCCTACACACTGGCCCTCAAATACTGGCACAGCCTCCAATATAAAAAGCACCATGACACCACCTCCTTAGTTACTCATGCACTTCACGAAAATGAAAATTTAAACAGACTTAACACCTCAACCTGGTCAACCGGCATTAAAAATACACTGGCGCTCATTGGACGCCCTGACATTTGGGAGGACCCTTTTAAAATATCCATGACCGCACTCTCTTCCATAATAAAACCGCTTATCCAAATCTCTTATAGTTCGTCNCCCACCCCCTCTTAATTCATTCTCACTAAAACATTGAACTCACCGCCATAGAGAGGATCTTCTGGTACTGATAAGTCATGTTGTTGTACAATCTTTTGTAATTTCCTCCTACAGCACCACTGGAAAGAGAAACATGAACCTCTAAAGTTGCAGTTGTATATGTGCAAAGTCACAGTGTAACATAACTGACAGCGTGTAAAACTGCATGATGGCATACTCTTATAAGCACATCACTTATAAAGGGTATTTCAAATCTGGCATACACAACAGCCATTATGAGTTTCATAAGTTACTGGAAACTCCAGTCTATCAACAGTTTACCTCTGTTAATTGGGGCCCACGGCATGCCGAACTAAAAGGAACCTTGAAAATCAAAGTAGCTTACAGCCAAGTCCATACAATTATTAGAACTTCCAAGATCCATAAAGGCGTGATGCACAACTAAACTAAGATATATACATATCTGAGTTAACTATTCCTATCAGTACACAGTCTATATATCATATTTACCTGCAAATCTCCCAAGGAGGCAACTGATCTGGTATATGGAGTGCCTGTCTGACCTCTTTAGTATTCAGGTAAACGGTGGAACCAGTCACATCTATACAAGGGGGGACTTCTCCCACCTGAATTTAACAATAATGATAACTATTGTTTTAAAATCTATAAAGGCCATTAAACAAACAACTGGGATGATATATTTTCACATTTTTTAGACACCATTTCTGGATTTACACTGTCTGCCAAAGTTCTTGCGAGGAGGATGAAATGTCAAATTAGTCATATTAGAATTTTTTTTTTTCAAAATTAATATAGCATCATTAACCTTTTGGCTCTTAATATGTCCTACCTTAACAATTTTCAATATTCAGTAAGACAGTTTAGTTTTTACACGGTAGACCTATAATTAATATGAGATGCAAAACAAAGCATCACAGTAAACATCTAAAAAACCACACATAAATCCATCAACACACAAGGCAGTATTTATGAAGAAAGTATCAGCTGCACCTACCTTATTTCTAAACAACCTAAAGTAATGTTTTAAAGAGTCGGTTCTTGCTTTGGCTCCTCTTGATGCCAGTTTGTTCTTAGGTGGCGGTGCACAGGGAGCATACAGGTTGTACATATTTAGGCCAGTCATTGTGATAACACCAAGAACTGAATTGGCCTGGAATGTGAAAAAAAAAAAAATTTAAATTTTTGTTATTATTTTCAAAATGTTTTAGCAACTTTATACAATTTTTCAATGACCTCCATATGTCTGAAACTGTCTGTATTTAATGTGTTTTAGTTCATTTTTATTAACTTATATATATATATATATATATATATATATATATAGAGAGAGAGAGAGAGAGAGAGAGAGAGAGAGATTTTCTCTCCACACACCAGATTTTCACAAGAAGGATCAACCAATGTCCTGCTGACAATGTCACAACCCGTCTCATTGCCATGGCAACAAGTGCTTATCAGCTGTCTCCATAATCTGAATGAATAAATAAATTGCCTTTAAAATCTTAAGATTTGAGCAAATTAGACCGTTGCAAATTTACTCTTGGCCAATTTACAAGAAAAAAGAACATTTTCAAAACTTGAATATAAATGGTCGACAATTACTTACAGAATGTGCTTTGTGGACTGGATCTTCAATGTGCATCCTATTCATAATTTTCCTTGTTAAAAGCTTAGTGTGACCTCCACCTTATTCATTTATTCAGAAAAATTATACTGTATCTTTTAATTATTTATAAGTCATTATATACATTTTTAAAATACAGAGAGTCTACACTTATCTGATCTTTATGTCAATCAAAGAACAACTGTACAGTTAAGTAAATTTTTTGAAAAGCCTTTTTTTTTTTGCACTTCATACTTACTTTTCACCAACGATTCCATGGTAATATAAGAAAGACATGAGAGAATTGTCATTCATAAAATCACTGGACAGGCCATTCCCCACAGCAAAACCCTAAAAACAGGGAAAATATTACATGTTATGCATTTGTTAAGATTTGTGCAAAAGCAAGTCTAAAGCTTTGAGTGGACAAACATTCATCTGTTTTCATACCTAACAGACAAACTACAATAATTATTGCATAAGGTCTTGCTATTTTTTATGTGGCCTTCAACCACAAGGAATAAGATATATACCAAATTTGTGTACAATCTGAACTCAGTTTTGTTTAATAAATATACCATACTGGCGAACTTGTTGCACTGTTTAAGAGTAAAGCTTCAAAATTTAAATTTTTCTAAAAAAATTTCCTACAAATAACGTCTTGAGCAACAGACAAACTGCAAGGTAACACAATCATTGCATCTTAAATTTATATGCAAATGCGTAAACATTCAGTTATCTTTATTATTATTATTATTCTTATTATTATTATTATTATTATTATACCTTAAAGTTAAAGGACCCTAAGTCCTCTGCAAGCCGCAGTGAGAGGGTGGGGACATAAATCCCACCATAACTTTCCCCAGTCACATAGAACTCATTGGTCTTATACTCAGGAAACTTGACGAAAAAATGATGCAGGGCAATGAAGTTATCCATGGATACCTAAAACCAATTAACCTTGTTATAAGATATATCAAATATATCATATCTATATCTATTTTTCTATCTTGATTAAATGCAAATATTGATACATAAACAATACAAAGACAAGATGGACATTTGGTTTTCTGACCTACACAGTCAGGTAGGGACTTTCAAAAATATGAAGTGCATCAGGAAAGAGAAGAAATGGCACATTTATTTAAAATTAAGTAATACAAAATGGATTATTTCATGCTAATGTTCTACCAACAAAGACCAAATAATTTGTTGTTTTACAATACATTTCTGATTTTTACCAGTTGTTTTGTCATGAGAAACATCAGCAAACCACTTCACGTTTTATTTATTTCTGAAAACAACTTCTTAATTTCATCATCATTTGTCATAATTAATATTTGTCATATGCACAAACAGTGAAATAATATCAGCCAAATACATACTAGTATCAGAACATTTGATAATATTAGCCATTTGTAAACAATGGCAACTTCCATTCTAGTTAGACAATACATTATTGTTGACTATGTATTGATCTAGAACTTGTTATCATTATTATCAATGTTAAAGGTCAATAGACAATCCGAACTTAATTATTATTAATACCTGTCCAACTGGACCCTGGTCATTTTGGCTCAAGATACAAAGTGACCCTTGCAATACTGACCTGGTCATCATCTGTGGTGTAGTTTTTGTCTAAAGAGTATGAAAACCCCACTCCTGCAGGAGCTTCCATATATAGGACATTGGCTACCTGGAAATATGAGAGGTAACACAATGAGGTACAAGCCATACCTTTTTTTTTTCGCTTGTCTTATTTTTTATTTCAAGATTTATTTTTATATGCATGATTGTTGGTAGACTATTTTTATAAAGAACATAGCTTGACATTAATTCATGTTATCTTTTGGAAGAGGTTTCAATATAGTATGATATCATAGGATTCAGCCCCATAAGGTAACATGTTAAAAAACTTTTTCATCTTTTTTTCTTGCCATTGACTTGGACAAAAAAGATTTCATTGCTTGCCCAAGCATGGTTAGCCAGATTTCAGTGAAAATCAGAGAAATGTATGATTTTTCTTTTTTTTTCTTTTGCCAAATAAATCATTGATTCGTTTTCAATTTTGGATTTGGCTGAAGTCATCCAGCTGTTAAGCTAAAATTATTCTTTTATTACAGATCAAACATGTTTTTAACTATCACTTTCACTGGTTGCTTTGGGCAATAAAGCTGTCTTTCTGTTCTTATATTTGTAAAGGAACAATAATTTGCTTTTTTTATATCCAGTATTTTATTGATACTCACATTATTCCAGGCATACTTGTTCAGTGAAATGCTTTTTCCATCCTCAGACACCTGATAGTACAAAACAAAAACAATGTTTTTTAAACATCACTGATAAAATATAATTATTGTAGATACTTGTAAATAAATTTCTTTTGAACTTGTTGAGTAAAAGCCATTACCCCTCTATCACTTATATATGGTTTGATCCAGAGACCATTCTGAAACATCTTTGTGCATCAACCATCCCTGTATTAGGGTTAATGTCCATGTGATCATAACAGTGCAGATTAAATTCCACTTATGATAATACAAGCAATATGAGCAATTCTAATAGTTTCCCTAAATTGCACAATCAATGAACTAAAATTACAATTTACAAATTTCACAATAAATGAACTCTGATATTTATTATGATATGATAAAATTTCAGTACATTTTACAATACTGGTAATGGTTTAAAATGACTCACGTGAAATGGGCCATGTTCAGACAACATTCCATCTAGAGAACTGCACCCAGGACCTCCATTCAACCATAAAACAACTGGATCAGTGGCTGGGCTGTTTGCAGACTCCACAAACCTTGGAAAAATGTGATAAGTTTTCATCACAACAATAGTATTTCCCTTCATTTTGTAATCTAGTTTCAGAGTTTCCAGAGTGGTACCAGCTTCATTTTTTCTACTCGGAAATGTCTCACTGATTAGGGAAGTTGAAAATGATGACGATAACACACGTCATTTAGAAGCTCAGTGTTATGTTAAGCAGCAACTTTCTTATATGGTCCTGCATATTATAAACAAGACAATTTTCATCTAAATAGTCAACAAAACTACTAGTAGACTTACTCGATCTACTGTCCGTTTTAAAAAACCTTTTTCAACTTTACTTAAATGTTATGCACTATACAATGTTGATAGATGCCCAACAAGTATAGTCATGAATTCAAAACTGGCCCTATGTTACCACTTGGCCCTGATAATTGTAAGTAAAGAAAAATATCGAAGTAAACAGCAAAGCATGTCAAATTTTATTATGGGTCACAAATCATAACCACCAGTAATGCAACATCCTTGTCCCAGTGGCATTGAGGTACCCTGAGTAATGCTTGAAGTATGGCTGCTTGTTGAGCCCAGGTAGGTACTTCACCTCATCTTCCCTTGGGGCACACACCACCAACCCCAGGGTGCAACTCCCTACCAGCACAGCCGTCAATAGACTTGTCCTCATCTTAAATCAAAATATTCAAATTATAATGATGAATAACACACAGATTTTTCCCAAATGGTGATGACTCACATGCATTAACATCATGTGAGACCTAAAGAAATGCCTGAGGTGTTTGTTATCAGATGAGATGATTTTTCTCGAGTTACTCAAATGCACCTTAATTTACACCATCTTCCAGGCTGTAACGGTGAGTGACTGTGAATGAAGTCGCACTGCCTGAGGCAAATCACGCGACAAAGATATAAATACTCTCCCAACTTCTTAAGTAGAACACGCTGCGTTTTTGCTAGTTTACTAGTTATATAAGTTGCAGGCATTGAACTTGTTTATCTGAAAATAAGTGAAGTAACGCAGTTCTACAAAAGATGTTAGGCATAAACGAAGAATCACTTCCCTTTCTCACTGCCAGAATATAAGTATAGTTTACTTAATCACATAAGATTGCAGATACCTAACCTTGAATAACGGAATCCTTAAGTCACAACCAATCTGTTCGGATCCGCCGGCTGATTAGGGAAGTAAGTCACGTGCTTCTGTTTTGTTAAAGCATCGCCATCTAAACAAGAAAAGCTAGAAAAATAATTTCTTTGGCTAGAACAACACCGTTTAAACGACCCATCTAAACCTCTGAAATGCTATTCTGTTTATTTTTACGTTAAGAAAACCCATCTCCATCTTAATTTATTTTCAGTAGTTTTGCATTTAGTTGACCAATTTGAAGCAACAATATCAAAAGCAAGTGGCTAACATCGATAGCCAGTTTCTTTCCAACTTAGCGCAGCGCCATATTTTAAAATGTCTTCACTTTCTGATCGTACTGTTTTGTCTTCTTTAGTCCCTTCAGGGGTGAGAGATAAAACTCAGAAAAACAGAGAAAAGAAGCGTAAGACCCTTCAAACATTGCAACCAGAGGCTAGGAGGAAAAATGTCCTCGTCGGCAAAGAAGGACCAGTCAATTCGTCCTTTCTCAAGAAAGAAAAGAGAAAAAGAGATGAGCATCTTGACGACGGAAAAGCTCCAAAATCCCCGAAATTAATTACAAGTTTACAACGATGGGTAACCCCAGTGAAGGTATATGAAGACCCAAAGCCAACACCAAAGGAATTCAACAAGAAATTAGTCCCTAGCGTTGAACCTTCAGAACAAAAGAAACCTGAGTCCATAATTTCAGACAAAGAAGCTCAAGAACTATTAGTCCAAGAAGAAATACCAGAAGCTTATTGGAAGGAGGTATTTTTTAACATGTCTACTTTGTTAATTTTTGTAAACAAACATAAATAAAGTAATCAATATTTAAATAAAGGGCACTGTCCCTTATGTCCGGGAAAAGTTTCACATGTTAGCATGCCTTTGTGGGGGCCGTAGCAATAGTCCGAAAGGTTCAATAGTCCGAAGGTTCATTGGTCCGAATGTTCACTACAGAACCTTCGGACCAACGAACCCTTGATTAAAAAACCGATAAAAATGTTACCGTTTTTCGGACCAATGAACCTTCGGACCAATGAACCTTCGGACTATCGAGACGCCCCCCCTTTGTGTTATATGAAATCATGGTAATCACCTCAAACCCAAGATTGAACTAACAGACTCTCAGCAGGCCAGCCAGCACCCTTCCCCCCCCCCCCCCCACCCCCCACCAAGTGTCACGTGCTGCGTAAGGTGNCCCCTCCCCCAAATAAAACAAATCTTCTGCTTTTTCTAGGCAGGTGGTTCTGTCTGACCTTTTTTAGGAAGTTACATCCAACATGTTTAAAATATTCATTGTTAAGTTCAAAAACAACTAGTCATTGTGTAACTTACATACTATAGTATATACACCAGGCTGTCATACCTTTTGATTTGATGAACTCTTACTTTAGCCATTTACAATTATTTTTTTTTTAAAATTTGACTCACTAGTACATTTACGTATATTCAAGTCAAATTTTTCAATCAGTTTTTGTTTTAGTAGCAGTTGTCATAATGTTGATTTAATGATTTAGTAATTATTATTTTTAGGTGGCAGAAGAGAGAAGAGTGGCCCTGGCTGAGGCATTAGAAGAAAATGAGAAGTTACATAGTGAAATCAAAGAACTGAAGGAAGAAAATGAACAGCTTTCATCTCTTGCCAGCCAAGCAGAATATTTTGCTGGAATAGTAAAATTATTGACTGAGGGAGGGGAGGATGAGGAGAAAAGTGGACAGATATCTGGGGGAGAGGAAAAGGGTAAAGTAAAAGATGAAGGAGAGAAAGAAGATACAGAAACTGATGGACAGTCTTCAAGTGAAGCAGAGAAAGATGCCAAAAGCATTGTGAACTTTTCTCTGCCAGAAGATAAAGAAGTAACAGAAAGCCACAAGCAGTCTTCAGATAAGGAAGAGGATACCAGCAAAAGTGGTTCCTAGTCAAGGCTAAATGTGGAAAATGATACAGAAGCAAATAGATTTTCTTCCCAAATAAACAGTATTTTACCTCATTGAACACGTGACTTTACTTGCTTTTGCTGGTTCTCAATGCTCTTGTCATGAAAGTTTTGTTTAAAAGGACAGTCATGATTTTGTTTTTCAGAGACGAGAAAAAAGAGAGAAGTTGAGAATCTTTGAATTTTTATTTTTGTATGTGTTTAGTATGTATATATTGACAGTACGATATAAGCTAATACTTTTTATTTTTTATTGTGTCAAGAACAGATGCATATCATTCAACAACAACTGCAAAAGTCACAGTGAAGTAGGCTTTACTATGCCAAGATGCAAACATAATCTTTCATTGAAGCTGACAAGAATAACACTTTCAAATGATCTAGTTTTTAGTTTCACATTTTTTCTGAAGACACTGTGATGTAGCAAACATTATGAAGCACATGAGACATGCTGTTTTGATAGGTTTTTTAATTAAATTGACAAACTTCTATAAATGTTTTCTGGTGTCCTTATTTACAAGATCCCCATTAATCAAATTCATCCTAGAGCGCGTTCAGAACAGCGAATTAAAAGATTCACAGATTAAATATGCCTGACTCACTTGAATGCTTGTTGTGTAATCCCCTCAGGGAATCTATTCCGTGTCTAATTGATAATTTAGCAACAAGTTTTAAGTGGGTCGTCATATTGGATCTGTTAGTCTGCTTTTCTGAATGCTCTCTTAGGGAAGGTAAAAAGTTGAATTTACCATGATTTTCAAAACTGGAAAACTAAAGAGGTTGTACAATAGATTTCAGTTCTCTTAAGGGCTTGTATTTATGCTTCAAGATGAAATGCCCTAATCCTCCAATCAGCGTCTACACAAGTGCCACAAGCAAAAGACCCAGAAATAACTTTACTGAAAGTCAGCTATGTGATTTCATTAATCCCATGCAAAAATCTTGGTTGACAGTAGAAAATAATTCTCAAGTATAAGCAAGAGAAATATGCAATTCTAGTGAAAAATAGATGTTGCCCTGGAAGAGAGTATAGATAAAGGCTTATACTGTAGTTTGGGAATAATAAGTCACTTGTTTATCCATTTATTGGGATTAAAAAGAAGTGCATGATGAAGGGAATGGCTACATATAAAAATGCTGTGTACAAAAAAAAAAAAAAAAAAAGAGTTCCGTCAGTAATTTAACTTCTTGAGTACATGTTTCTACCTTTCTTTTTTGAAGTAAAATTAAAATAATGTAGTAAAGGACAAATATCTGACAGTGTGAACTTCATAATGAACTTTATTTCAATGTTACACCTTCCTAATGGGAACAATAATATACTGCTGCAACAATTCCTGAACCATTTAAGCTGCATATTTCCACTAATTTGCAAATAATTACTTTTGCATTACTTTCTTTAAGTACACGGAGTAGGAGTTCCTGACACATAGAACTCTTCTTCTCCTGCATATTTAGATTATCACTGAAAATGACCAAGATGGAAACTGTAATCCTCTATCATTGCACACAGGTTTAAAAAAGATAAATATTAATAAATAACAATAATAAAATTTTTAAAAATTCTTAACACTCTTTGAATATTCATTTTTTCCTGTACATGAACTGATTTTGAGGAAAATGTATTCATTTGGAAAGTATTTTTCTCAGCACAGGTGACCTTCCCTGAGCAGTGATATTTCCAGTAATAAGGCAAGAAGTTGCTAGTTCAGTCTCTAATTAAGTGCCCTATGTAGTAGATGTTTTTACTCAATTCTTGCCGACCTGTAGAGTTGACAATAAGTTTGCACAGCTTCCTTTTCATTCTTAATGAAATTTCCTTTTTCCTAAAAAATAAATTTAATGCAGCATTCATTAAACTGTTGAGTAAAAAAACATACACAAATAGCTCATCATTCGTTTACATTACATGAATATTTATTATATCCCTAATGTTTTATCACAAAAATTACCCTTTTTCTTTCCTTTTCCCTTCTTTGGTGTTTTTTTCCTTCTCTTACTGCTGGGCATATCGTCCTGGAACAAAATAACCAATTTTTATTTCCTTGTCGGTACTACACACTACATAAATTTACCCCCATTACATTTTACATATAAAAGAACAAAAAATCATATATTCCAGTCTCAAAGTCATGTTTACAAGAATCACCAAGAGTGACATTATTTCTAAGATAATAGCATGTCTTTAACATAAAACAATTTTAAATTATTTTACATTTCTTATTGAAATACTAAAACTAAAAAACATGGAATGTTTAAGACATTTTAGTCTTAGACCATTTTAGGAGAAATTATTACATATGCTCATTTACGAACACTATTTTGGGGTTTTGCAGAATCGATTAATGTTTGTTAAGTTATAGAATAAATTGAAGTCGGCATAAACTTCCTCCAAAATTAATTATTATTCCTTGATTGGATTTTTTTCTCAAATTTAATTCAGCACCCCTTTCATTCAAACAGAATCATGAACACAGTGAAAGCTTTGTTTGAGAAGTTGTCTTTATTCACGAATAAGTAACTTGTGGAATGTTACTCACATCATCTAAATCTGCCGCTTCTTCCTTTGAGAGGACGCTGATGTCTCCAAATCTTGTCAACTCGTCCAAATTGGACATTGTGCCCAGACGCCGCATGGCAGCCTGCGAAAACAGAAGGAAACTTCAAATTTAACTGTGTGAGACAGTATTTATGCAATTTTAAAAATCTGTTTTGGACTGAAAATAACTGACAATAGATGGTTACTATGACAGCAAATGGGAACTATAACAATGACCTCATAGTCAATGTTATCCTCTATTGACAGACTGTCATTCAAGAAATTGATTATTTAAAATTTAAAGAAAGATGTAATGGACTTTATGCTCAACTGAGGATGCACTTCCTGGTTAATACATTATATCCAAGAGAAGTCTAATGATCATAGGTGGCAGAAAATTTCCTGTTATAAATTTTTGTAAATCATACACTTCATCAGAGAATGAAAACTTCGAGAAGTCTAATGATAATAATCGATTTAAAAATAGCTCTCAATACACTACCTTGTCCTTTTTGGTTATATTCATTCTCACAAATCTGGACTCTTCATATCTGTAAAATTCACATAACAGGTTATAAAGACAAATAATATCACATTACCAACAAAAGGGTAATGTCCAAAAGGTTTTGCTATCTACATTTAAAATAGTCTTTGCGTCATATTTCTCTGCCTACATATCCTGCAAAGCTACATTCCATTTTGACTTTAAAAACGATAAAACCTGACAAATAAAAGTACCCGATACCAGAGTTTTGTTCTGAAACATTCAGGAAGACATGGCTGGCCAGTCTTTTAGAACTACATACTGAATTAGAAATTGTATAAAACAACCATTCCAAGTGCAGGGACAAGGTGAGCATAGACCTGTGATTACAAGAAAACCAATTTTTTTCTTTATTGAGGAAAATTGGATTTGACAATCCCAAAAAAGACACCTTTCAACACAATACTTACTCTGTTCTCTCCGCCATCTTCTTATCCATTTTAATCTTGTGTAAATCTACTGTCTCCTGTATATCATAAGCAATAAAAAATATGACAATTTTCTAATTAAACACTAAAGATTATCAAAAATAATTCAAAGAACATATTTAATTTGATTCCAGCCAATAAAAGTGGCTGAAAGATAAATATGGCTTTAGAGTACTTATGTTCAACAAAAAATAATTCAAATAAATATTCTATGGAGTCTTTTACCCTAATTTCCTCTGGGCCCTCATGATATTCCTCTCTAAGTTCTCTCATAATTCCACTACTTAGAGCTCTCTTCTTTGCTCTCTCCAACTTCATTTGTTGTTTATCTTTTTCTGTGATATCTCCATCTAAAAAAGCAGAATGTTTCATCCTTATCAAGGCAGCATGTTTTCAGTGCCTAATTAAGCAGGTAACATATCCAAAGAAAATGTAATCAAAAGAGTACTGAATAAGAAGTTGCAAAAAAAAATGGAATGGCTACATTTATAAAAGCCGAAATTCCCTTCATGATTTCTTATAATTTTTGAATTTGAAATACATGAAAGAAAACATCTATTTATTGAAGTCTACATTAATTCCTCATCAGCAAACCTCAACTTTCAACTTACCATAATGAACAGCTGCAATCTTGGGAGGTCTGTAGGCACCGGATTTTTTCTCTCCATCTCTTTCTCCAACATCTTCTTCCTCTGAAGTTCCAGATTCTTCTCCTAGCTGAAATATGTGAAAATGATATATAAATTGTGCAATCCTTTAATGATTGACTGAACCACTACTAAAGCGGCTTCTACAATGCTAAGAAGCATAATACATCGAATATGGATCAGTTTTTCTATATACCTTCTTCTGATTAAACTAAGGTAATTATAGGCATCAAATATAAGCACACTGACATATATTTAATTAGTCAGAGACATTGCACAGCAATGATCTTTACAACAAGCAAGAGAGTATAGAGTAAATGGCTTTGCCTAACTACAATAAAAACCCTAAGAACTTATGTGTCATCAATGTTCCATTTAATGATATCGCAGACTTAACAATGTGATCACAATTTACTAAATTATTACTTCTATCAAGTAATGATATAAATTAAAACTTGTACTTAATGTCAGACCCCCCACACACACACACGCACGCACACACACACACACTACATGTCAGAACATTTATTGGAGCACACTTAAACTACAGCATTCTGCACCATACAGGTCCATTGTTTCTGACCCACCTTGCTGACCAGGTTATCAGGGTTTGGTTTGAGACGCAGAGGATCACTAGCTCCTGAAGGCAAATGCAACACTTCAACACATTAGTAAAAGTTCTCACCAATATCGAAGTAAAAGCATAAGATAATACTATTTCTTCAAACAAAGAACATATTGGAAGGAAGTAAATTCACACACACACACATAGAGAGAGAGAGAGAGAGAGAGAGAGAGAGAGAGAGAGAGAGAACATGTAGGCCTACATCATTAACACATTGTGAAAATTTGAAATACCACATATATAGGTTTACACATTATATTAAGTTAATTGTGATAAAAGGAGAGTGCTTCAATCTACTAGTAAAATAATTATGAAGCCCACCAGACTGGTCAATATCAAAGGCAACCCCTTAAAAATTAAAGCTACTTACAGTAACTTAATGTCATAATATTTTACACACCTAGCGCTCCAGTAGTGGCAATTTTGATGAGCTTATCAATTTGGTACTTCAGTTTCTGGTCTATGGGTCGCATTTTTTCCAGAACCTGTTGAAAATTTGAACATTTCTTTAAACTTCTGACTACTGAGGGTGATTATGCAGCTACTATAAGATGAAACTATTACTGTCATCTTTTATTTGGTCATGAAAGAAAAGCTATTCATAATAATAAAAAAAACAACAACAAATGTTATGACAATTAATTTCAGGAGGGAAATCACTCACATCTTTCACTTGGTATTGAAATAAAAAAGTAACATACACCAATAACATTAGGCACAAAAAAATGAAAAACTTTCCAACTTAGCAAATTTTTGAGAAAAGAGCTGTTATTCACCCTCTCCTCACTCAACCCCTGTGTAATTTCCCCCTTCACTGATATGACAGTACTCACTGTCCTTATCTCCACCAGTCTTTCAATGGCAGGTTCTCCTTTAATGCTCTCCCCTCTACTTTTCCTGAGGATCACTTGGGACAGGTTCATCAAGTAACTGAGCAGCATGTGGTACTTGACCTCCAGAAAACTCACTCCCTGGAGATGGTAGAAATGAAATAAAAAGAAATAAGAACACCATTCATTTGCTATACATTATCATTCACTTCCAATGCATTATGAAATATCTGATTATTAAATTGACAGGACTTATTCAATATATGAGTTACATTAATTTTGTAATCCTGAAAAAATTTGGTAAACTCCAGAATGAACCTATTCACCTGAAGGCAGTGACAGTTCTGGCTCTAGCATAATAGATAAATGCAGAAAACGTGAATAGGAGGCAAAGGACGTGACTATAGTATACCTTAGCAGTGTTTATGTCTCCCTCCTTAACTTTTCGGATCAGACCCTGGATATGAGTGGTTACTTCATTGATTCTGTTCTTCAGGTCGTGCAGCAAAGTCACCGCCTTCGGGAGGTCTTCTGTTATATTCATATTTCCGCGATGTCTAAAACAAAAAGTAAATTACGAGAATGAATTATATCAATCATTTCAACTTCCAGAATCACCCCCAGGCTCCCCTCCTTCAAACACACACATTTTAAACTGGCACTTACATGACTTGAAATAGCCCTAAATCAACCCTTCTATGAAATCGAAAACTTATTAAACATAAGTACCTACTGCTATTAAGTATTCACGCACGAAGCAGTTAGATAAAGTAATAAATAAGATACCATGCTTTACCTACCTCAACACACGTGCACTTCCGCTATTTTTAATTTGGGGTTAACTACGCATGCGTGATAATTTTTATATTTCCGGTGAAACATCATGGCATCGCCAGCTGGAAGAGGTCCTAAAACGCGAAAATGGCAAATAGATTTTTGTCACAGGTATAGTCTGATTAGATAAAATAAAGCTAATGGCATCACTGAAGTCATGTAAGCATTTATGAGTGATATATCGTCAAAGGTTTCGTAAATAAACTTTTCGCATTTAGTCTCTGACACGAAAATAGCCTCTCAAATTTGACAATTAATACTTACACTTTTCGGTATATATGCACCCCCCAACTCGAAACAGAAGCATATGAGTCTACAGTTTTTCATTTTTCACCTAATTCAATGTGGTCACTTAGATCAATACCTCTGCTATTCAACTAAGAGTTTTGCAGAAAATCGGACTTCTACATTATGTTGAAAGG